ATGAAATTTTCAGGTAAATGGTGGGACTTGGAAAGGATCATCCTGAGTGAGCTGTCCCAGAAGCAGAAAGACACACACGGTATATACTCACTCATATAGACTTATAGGATAAACCTAAAATCTGTCCATCTAAAGAAACCAATCAAGAGAGAGGACCCTGACTAAAACTCTCAATCCCCATCCTGAAAGGCAAAGAGGGTGGACATCAGAAGAAGAAGAAAGCAGGAAACAACCTAGGAACCTGCCACAGAGGGCCTTTGAAAGGCTCTGCCCTGCAGACTATCAGACGCTGAGACTTTATGGCCAACTGTTGGGCAGAGTGCATAGAATCTTATGTAAAAAGTGGGATATAGTAGGTTATGGAGAGGACAGGAACCCCACAAGGAGAGCAACAGAACTAGAAGATTTTAACACAGGGGTCTTCCCAGAGACCCATATTCCAACCAAGCACCAGGCATGGGGATAACCTAGAACCCCTGTGCAGATGTAATCCATGGCAGTTTAGTGTCTAAGTGGGTTACATAGTAATGGGAACAGGGACTGCCTCTGACACAATCTGATAGGCCTGCTCTTTGATCACCTCCCCTGAGGGGAGAGCAGTCTTACCAGGCCACAGAAGATGACAATGCATCCACTCCGGATGTGATCTGATAGACTAAGATCAGATGGAAGGAGAGGAGGACCTCCCCTACCAGTGGACTTGGGGAGGGGCACGCATGAAGAAGGGGGAGGGAGGGTGGAATCGGGAGGGGAGGAGGGAGGGGCTTATGGGGGGTACAAAGTGAATAAAATGTAAATAATAATAATAATAATAATAATAATAATAATAATAATAATAATAAAAGTAGAGCATGGTCGTTGTATAAAACACAATGTTTCTGGCAAGTGTTTGTATTTCACACTTTTTTTCCTAAATGTAGTAATAATATATTAAATATTACCGAAAGCAAAAGAAGTGATGTATGTTAGTTTATTTTTCTTTTACTCAGAAAATGGAAAGCACACTATAAGCTTCAGTTTATCAAAATCTTCTTCATGGGTCCATTTCTAAATTTGCTCTGATTCAGTTACACATCCAACAAAGAACATTTATATATTTTCATTTTGCTTGTTACATAAGTACTTGATTCATCTGAAAAGTCCATTTTTTCAAGAATCCATTGTCTTTCTTCCCCACAAATAGTTAAGGAATTCCCTCATTGAATTAACAGCGACTCCATTCTGCATCAGTCAACAATGAACGACGTTACACAGACATGTAAAGATGCGTTCTATATTATTCTTTAACGTGTCTCAAATACTATAGCAGTGCCTATACTATCCAGTAACATATTAAAATTTAACTTTAGATAGTCTGAAGATCACTCGTGTCCTTCAGACCAAACCTATATTTTATATTTATTTGTCCCTAATGCCTTAAGCTATTCTGGACACTGAAATTTCATATTTACTTTTGAATAAGTTTGAGGTTCCCTGAGAAGAACCAGGAGACTTTCCATGGCTATGGCATGGAAGAGTTCAGTCTAGAGAGATTTAGCATCTTCGTTTTGATAAGACATAGAATACACGAATGCATGTGTTATGGACTAGATTGTGACATTTCAACACGTGCATTGGGCACTGGTCAAATCAGGAACAACTTTCCAGAGTCAGATCTCTCCTTCAGTCATTTGGTCCCCTGAAAGAATTTAGGTCACCAAGACTAGAGCAAAGTGTCTTTCTTTATCTGATGAGTTAAGGTATGTTTGCCAGCTCTGGTCATTTCTTTACATGGGAATCTTTACGCACCTCACTTCTATACTTTCATAACTTACATAATTGTGAGCTCTAGTTGTCATTCTATGCTGCAGGACACTAGAAATTATATTTTTTCTATCTGGATTTTGGTTCCTTCTACCCAAAGTTGGTTCCTTTTACCCACTCTACCTCAAACACCCATCTCATTAACAACTTCTAGTAGCTGCTATCCTGAATTGAGATCAGTATTTTTACTCACCTCCTATATGAAAGATAAAGCATGGTATCTATATTTCTGTGTCTGACTTATTTCCTGTCACACAATGTCCTCCAGATATATCCATGGTATCACATATGACAGTAATTTATCTTTCTTAGTAGCTGAATGACACTGTTTCCCAACTATTTGCTAGTTTTGCTCCTCAAAAACTTAAATCTTTGTTGATTAAAAAAATATATCAGTTTCAGCTTTTACTTTCTTTAAGCATGCAAGCTTGTTTCCATGCTATACCCATAGGGTCTCACCAACATGACTGGCCAAACATAGTCTGAAGAAGGATGACACTACTGGACATGTCAAACTGGGTGAGCAAAATCCCAGCGGGCATCAACTCAGACCCCCTCTCCTGCTCCCAGCTTTCATCAGTTGCCTGTAGTAAGAGAAAGAGGGCCTCCCCTATCAGTGGACTTGCAAAGGAGCATGGATGGAGATGAGAAAGGGAGGGTGGGATTGGGAGGGAATGATGGAGGGAGCTACAGCTGGGATATCATGTGAATAAACTGTAATTAATATAAAAAATAAAAATTTCATTAAAAAAGAGATTCCTTCTGTTCTAGGCTTGTTAAGAGTTAGCTGTATTCCATTAATTTGTTAAGTAGAACTTTGAACATCCATTTCCAAACAAAATAAAAATTTTATTATTTCATCCCTGATATATATATTTCGATAATTGTAATATCCATCTATCAGAGTTTTAGTCATTTATTGATTTTAACCAAATGAGACTTAAATTTGATTATATGAATGATGTCTCCTCACCAGCTTCTAGCCATGAAGTTTTTCAGTTGAGCTGTTTTCGTCCATATTTGGCTCATCAATATATTTATCAGCATAGTTTTGTTTTATTTTGTTTGCTTATTTTTTATTTTTAATGTTAGTTACAGTTTATTTACTTTGTATCCCAGATGTAGCCCATTCCCTCATCCCTCCCAATCACATCCTCCCTCCTTCATCTCCTCCCTGCCCCTTTCCAAGTCCACTGATAGGGGAGGTCCTCCTCCCTTCCATCTGACCCTAGCTTATCAGTTTTCTTCAGTAATGGCTGCAATGTCCTCCTCTGTGGCCTAGCAAGGCTGCTCCTCCCTCAGGGTGGGGGGAGGTCAAAGAGCCAGCCATTTAGTTCATGTCAGAAATAGTCCCTGTTCCCCTTACTAAGAACCCACTTGGATACTGAGCTATCACGGGCTACATCAGATCATCTGGAGGTATCATCATCCCTGATCGCAAGCTGTACTACAGAGCAATAGTAATAAAAATTGCATGGTATTGGCATAGAAACAGAAAGGTAAATCAATGGACCTGGATAGAAGACCCAGAAATAAACTCACACACCTATGAATACTTGATTTTTGACAAAGAAGCCAAAACCATACAATGGAAAAAAGACAGCATCTTCAACAAATGGTGCTGGTCCAACTGGATGTCCACATGCAGAAAAATGAAAATAGATCCATATTTATCATCCTGCACAAAACTAAAGTCCAAGTGGATCAAAGACCTAAACATAAAACCAGGTACACTAAATTGGTTAGAAGAAAAAGTGGGGAACAGCCTAGAACTCAGCATAGTTTTCATTTCTCAATGTTCTGCTCAAAAAGCAAAATAAATACACTCCTTATTTTTGCAAGTGAGTACATGGAGTGCATTTTAGCAGACTTAGACTCCATTACTCCACAAATGTTATGTAAAATGTTGTCATGTAAAATATTGTTTTAAGTAAAATACTTTGAGAAATGATGCTTTCACCTATACATATTAAAAGGCAACTCATAACTAGAAGAGTGTGAAAATCTAAGATTATCCTAGTAAAAAAATGTAAATGCCAGATTGCTTCATTAAAAATAAGCCTTACATTGATTTTATACTTGTTCTTTAAGATTGAAAACTAAGCATTCAAGTACTTGTTTTGGTCACACTGAAAATGAATACTTTTGAGTAAAATTTGAAAAATTAAAAAATTTATTACTCAAAATCCATGATTCTAAAATGAAAATAGATTAATAATAATAATAATAAAGCTTACAGGTGAGGCTTCACTTTGTTGTTTTGAGTTTTGAGATTGGGTCTCAGTGTGTGGCCCTGTCTAATGTGGAACACATTCTGTAGACTAGGCTGACCTTCAACTCAGACACCTGCCTACCTCTGTCTCCCAAGTATGAGATTAAAGGTCTGCACCACAACTTGCCTGACCCCTCACTTGTGTCTGTACTTCCGGAATTACCGAGGCCCTCGGACTATATCAATTTACTACTTTTAAAAAGAACTTCCTTTACTCCTTTATGACAATTTAAACTCTTTTGTTTTTGTTTTTGTGACAGGAAAATGTTTACTTTTCAGTTTTGAATGTAGCCCATCTCAGCAGACGGATTTTGTAGTTGCCAATTAAAAGGTACTGTTCAGCAACTTCCCTGCATGATAAACCAACTTTGTCTCTGTCTCCAGTGCGTCAAAGCAAGCATATTTACATTAAAATTCCTCCACAGTACTCATCTCCAACTGCAACCCTGTGACTTTGCTGAATTTGTGTATGTTTTATGACTTATTGCTGAGAAGCCTACCTGTATCTAGGAAAAGAAAGAAAAATGGAAATTGTTTTCTGTAAAGACTATCACAAAGAGGAGAAATGAAAACACAGTTTCATTCCTCAGTCTGTACAATCTAACTTGCTCACTATTAAAGGATGATTTTAATCGTCAAACTTTGAAATTTTATTAAATGTTTGTGGTAATGTATTGACTGAATCTCAGACATACATAAGTAAACAGGCAGCTGTTTGCAATTTGCATTTTATCGGTTTTGAAAGAGCACAATGTTCTTCCTTCGTCTTATTTTCAGAATTTGCATTTTATCGCCGTTGGCTACCCACTATATACTATGGAGTACTTGAGTATCGCATTCTTGGAATTTTCATTTTTGATTGTAAATCAGATGATTGCTGGCGCTTTTCTCTTTTCTCATTTTTCTCTTCTCTCAACCTCCGAGTTTACTTACTCCCATTTCTTCTTGGCTCTAATAATAAAATACACAAGACATTTAATTTTCTTTACATTTTGTCTGGGACATCGTTAATTCATACATATTTTTTTTAACTACCATGAAATCTAAAGGCAAAAAATAAAAATGAAACCAGGGTTAGTACTTTATTCTGTAAATTTTCAAAATGCCTTTCAAGCTTTCTAGATTTCTTTTTCATGTTTTTTGACCATTGCATTTTTAGATGGATGGTTGGAGAAAGACTGAACTAATATTGCATTTAGAGGACACCCGGAAAGAATGGAATGAATATCCCGTAATATGAAGATAGGCACCCCCATATTCACTCTCGTATATCCTTATCAGGAACACATGGGGCCACAAGGGAAGACTGACAAATGAGAATCTCTCCACCACCTTTTGCTTGTGCCCCTGAAGAAAGGCAACCCTTTCTTCCTCTTTCCATGTACACCCATAGCATCCTGCAATCTTCCCAAAAGAATCCTCTGGCCTGTTTACACTTCTGTGATCTTGGCTGTGAGAGCCCCACAGAAACAGGCAAGCAGCAGCTTGTGCTTTCTCTCCTTTCTCTAGCAATCCATCTGTCCACTGGGAAATGTCACAATAGCTGTTTTGAGCCCTAACAAAGATATGTGTGGGAAAACCACAAGCACATCTTTCTCTCTTCATTCTGAAGATTACAACAAAACTAGAAAGGATGAATTTGGAAGCTACCAGTTTCCCAAAAGTATATAAGAAAACAAACTTCAGCTTCATAAAACACTTTAGATTCTCATTTTAGAAAGTATTGTGTAATATGTGTATCTTAAATCTAAGTCCTCATTCTTCCTGAAGTAATAGATCTTTGTACACAAATTCACTTGGATTCAGTAATTTCTTAGTCATTCAGTCATATTGAAATATTTTTTGTTTTTCCTCCCCAAGACTCTGTGCCGCTCTTACTAATTCCTGGGATGGGTCAAGGAAAACGGTAGGTGCTATGTGGCAGCCAAAGAGAGAATACATAATTTTGACAAACCTGATGCAGCTGAGTCTTGAGCCAGGTAACCTGCCTAGAATTTCAAAGCATTAACATGCACCCTAAACCCCTGGTCACATTGTTAGGATGAGATTCTGCCACAGCAGATATGTCGAGATTCCACATTTCTAATGAACTCCCAGGGGATGACATGGCAGCTGATCTTCAGATTATACTTTTGTGAACAAGTATTTGCTCCCTTGGGTGCTGGACTAGTTTTTACTTATATTTCTGTCAGGGGCCATCTTTTTTGAGATTAAAGCTAAACCACCCTCATCCCAGAAGAGCACAACAATAAATGCATCTTTCTGAAGTTCACCCTGTCAACTGTTCCCAGGCTATGTTGGGAATTCACTCTCTGGTCTCTCTTTCTCAAGACTGTTCTGTCAACTCCCACAGGACTGAGTGGCCCACCTATATCCCCCAAGGAAATGGAAGTAATCATCAACAGTCTCCCTTCAAAAAAAAGCCCTGGGCCAGATGGATTCAGTGCAGAATTCTACCAGACCTTCAAAGAAGTGCTAACTCCAATTCTCTCCAAACTATTCCACAAAATAGAAACAGAAGGAACATTACCAAACTCATTCAATGAAGTGACAGTCACCTTGATACCTAAACCACACAAAGACCCAACAAAAACAAGAGAACTTCAGACCTATCTCTCTTATGATCATTGATACAAAAATACTCAATAATATACTTGCAAACCGAATCCAAGAACACATCAAAGATATCAACAATCATGACCAAGTAGACTTCATCCCAGGCATGCAAGAGTGGTTCAACATACAGAAATCCATCAATGTAATCCACCACATAAACAAACTGAAGGAGAAAAACCACATGATCATCTCCTTAGATGCCGAAAAAGCATTTGACAAAGTTCAACACCCATTCATGTTTAAAGTCTTGGAGAGATCAGGGATACAAGGCACATACCTAAACATAGTAAAGGCAATATTCAGCAAGCCTATAGCCAACATCAAACTCAATGGAGAGAAACTTAAATCAATCCCACTGAAATCAGGGACAAGACAAGGCTGCCCACTCTCTCCATATCTCTTCAACATAGTATTTGAAGTCCTAGCTAAAGCAATAAAACAACTAAAAGAGTACAAAGGGATACAAATCAGAAAGGAAGAGGTCAAAGTGTCACTATTTGCAGATTATATGATAGTATACATGAGAGACCCCCCAAAATTCAACCAGAGAACTCCTTAAGCTGATAAATACCTAAAGCAACATGGCAGGATACAAAAATCAACTCAAAAAAATCAGAAGCCCTCCTGTATAAAAAAGACAAAAGGGCCGAAAAAGAAATCAAGGAAACAATACCCTTCACAGTAGCCACTAATAACATAAAGTACCTTGGGGTGACTCTAACCAAGCAAGTGAAAGACCTGTTTAAAAAAAAAAATTAAGTGTCTGAATAAAGAAATTGAAGAAGATATCAGAAGATGGAAAGATCTTCCGTGCTCATGCATTGGTAGGATTAACAATTGTGAAAATGGCCAGCTTACCAAAAGCAATCTACAGATTCAATGCAATTCCCATCAAAATACCAACTCAGTTATTTACAGACCTTGAAAGAAAGATTTTCAGCTTTATATGGAGAAACATAAAACCCAGAATATCCAAAACGATCCTGTACAACAACAGATAACCAGGAGGTATCTCCATCTCCGATCTCAAGCTGTACTACAGAGCAATAGTAATAAAATCTGCATGGTATTGGCATAGAAACAGAAAGGAGGATCAACGGAACCAAATAGAAGATCCAGAAATAAACCCACACACCTATGAATACTTGATTTTCAGCAAAGAAGCCAAAACCATTCAATGGAAAAAAGACAACACCTTCAACAAATGGTGCTGGTCCAATTGGATGTCTACATGCAGAAAAATGAAAATAGATCTATATTTATCACCCTGCACAAAACTAAAGTCCAAGTGGATCAAAGACCTCAACATAAAACCAGCTACTCTAAATCAGTTAGAAGAAAAAGTGGGGAAGAGCCTAGAACTCATTGACACAGGCGACAACTTCCTGAACAGAACACCAACAGCACAGGCTCTAAGAGCAACAATCAATAAATGGGACCTCATGAAACTGAAAAGCTTCTGTAAATCAAAAGACACTGTCGTCAAAACAAAACAACAGCGTATAGACCCTATATCTGACAGAGGGTTGATATCCAGAATATATAAAGAACTAAAGAAGTTAAAAGGCAATAAATCAAGTAATCCAATTTAAAAAATGGGGAACAGAGCTAAACAGAGAATTCTCTGTAGAGGAATATTGAATGGCAGAGAAACACTTAAAGAGATGTTCAACATCCTTAGACATCAGGGAGATGCAAATCAAAATGACCCTGAGCTTTCACCTTACACCCATCAAAATGGCTAAAATAAAAAATTCAAATGACAACACATGCTGGAGAGGTTGTGGAGAAAAAGGAAAACTTCTCCACTGATGGTGTGAATGTAAACTTGTACAACCACTTTGGAAATCAATCTGGTGCTTTCTCTGACAATTAGGAATAGTCCTTCCTCAAGACCCAGCTATACCACTCCTAGACATATACCCAAAATTTGCAGAAGTACACAACAAGGACATTTACTCAACCATGTTTGTAGCAGCTTTATTTGTAGTAGTTAGACCCTGGAAACAACCCAGATGTCCATCAGTGGAGGAATGGATACAGAAATTGTGGTGTTTTTACACAATGGAATATTACTCAGCAATCAAAAATGAGGAAATCATGAAATTTGCAGGCAAATGGTGGGATCTAGGAAAGATCATTCTGAGTGAGGTACCCCAGAAGGAGAAAGACACACATGGTATATACTCACTTATTCAGAACTATAAGATATGATAAGCATAATGAAATCTATACACCTAAAGAAGATAAAGAAGAAAGAGGACCCAGGGTAAGATGATCAATCCTTACTAGAAAGACAAATGGGATGTGCATTGGATGTAGGAGAAAACAAGTAACAGGAAAGGAGCCTACCGCAGAGGGCTTCTGAAAGACTCTACCTAGCAGTGTATCAAAGCAGATACTAAGACTCATAACCAAACCTTCGGCAGGCAATCATGAAAGAAGGTGGAGTTAGTATGACATGGAGAGGATAGTAGCTCCACAAGAACTAAATATATCTGGGCACAGGAGTCTTTTCTGAGACTGATACTCCACAAAGGACCATGTATGGATATAACCTAGAACCTCTGCTCTGATGAAGCTCGTAGTAGCTCAGTAACCAATTGGTTTTTCCCTAGTAAGGGGAACAGGGTCTATTTCTGACAGGAACTCAATGGCAGGCTCTTTGACCTCCCCAACCCCCAAGGGAGGACTAGGCCACAGAGGAGGACTTTGGGGCCAGTCCTGAAGATACCTGATAAAACAGGGTCAGATGAAAGGGGAGGAGGTCCTCCCCAATCAGTGGACTTGGAATGGGGCAGGGAGGAGATGAGGGAGGAAGGATAGGATTGGGAGGGAAAGAGGGAGTGGGATATAGCTGGGATGCTGGGATACAGAGTTAATAAAATGTAACTAATAATAAAAATTAAAAAATAAATAAAAAAAAGAAACTTCAAGAATTTGTCTTCAACCTTTTATGTGATGCAAAACCTGCCTTTTCCCTGGCCACATGGCACTGACACATTCTCTCTAAAGCTTTTCTCCCTGCTCTGAACCTAACAAGTTCAACATACCCCTGCCTGGATGCATAGACTGTGTGCTACATAGAGGGTACATACTCACGTGCTGAAGTACCTTTCCTTCCCCCAGGTACTCCTACAGCGGTTGTTTAACTGCTTGTTTTGGGGAAGAGGAAAGGAGCTACTGGCGTCCAAAAGTAGCCACTCTGACAATAGCAAGCAAAGAGCACATCCTTGACATTCCAAATGCAACCCTCTCAGATGGAACCATAACAAGGGTTGTAATTTAGAAATGCCTAGTTCCTTCAAGATTTTCATCTTATCTTCAGTTTTCCCTGTTTCCTTTCTCTCTTCCCTTTCAAATTAATATCACAATCCAGCCAAAGTTAAGAGAAAATGTGGTCAGTTAAATAATGCTGTATGAATATTCTCTTACAGTGTAATTTGGTTTGTAAGATTAGGGAAAATATGGAGCTGTCTCTACTACATAAATGTATACAGATTTTGGGTACTAACTCACGGCTCAATTCAAACGAGGTTTTAAAAAGTGTCACATAAGCTGTTTACTTGAGAAAAAGCAAAATATCTAGTGTTCATGTGAACCTTCTCAGGTCTCTGGTATAAGACCTTATAGATTTAGAATACTTTAAATTTTCTAGGATATTTATTTAGATACAAGTTCTCTATCTGAATTATTAGTAGTCTGAAGAGTAATTTGCATTGATTGAAACTATTTTCTGAGCAAACTAAGACATCAACCTGTTTAGCAAAAGACCCACCTATGGTCAGGACCCCTAAAAATATCTAACCTGAGATTTCCAGTGTTTCTGTTTGATGTTCAGTGAGCACAGTGTATAACAAGGGGAAGATATAATCACTTGATACCTCCTTAGAGATTGATTTCATGCACTGCTAATTCTTACTAGCCTATATCTGTCTATGATAAATACAGCAAGCATTAAGACATAGAAATCTTACCGCATCAATAGGTAAAGCTGAACACCAGGAAACAAAGGAACATTAACTTCCCACTAGGGAACGACTAACTCCCTAGCCTCATAAGTTCTTAAGTGATCTTGAAATTTTGTATTAATTTTAAATGTTTTAAAATCTGTTTCTTTGGGAGGGGCTACAGCTAGGGTACAAAGTAAATAAACTGTAATTAATATAAAAAATAAAAATAAAAAAAATGTTTCTTTTTAAAGATTTTTTTTTAATTATTTACTTTATATCCTCATCGCAGTCCCTTCTCCTCCCGGTCCCACCCTCCCTTCCTCTACCTTCTACCCTCTTCCCCTAGTCCTCAGAAAGGAGCAGCCTCCTTCCTTATCAACTGACCACAGACCATCAAGTCTCACCAGGACTGCTTGCATCCTCTATCTCTGTGACCTGGCAATGCCACCTATCCATAGGGAAGTGATCAAAGAGCAGACAACAAAGTCCATGTCAGAGACATCACCAGTTCCCCTTACTAGGAGACCTACATGGAGACCGAGCTGCCTATGGGCTACATCTCAGCAGGGGTCTAAGTCATCTCCATGTATAGTCCTTGGTTGGTGCATGAGTTTCTGTACTCCCCATTTCCTCCCCGACTCTGGGCCCAATAAAATCTGTTCTTGACAGAAGAACTTGTTAATTTTCAGGACTACATGGCACATTAAAGTTACCAGTGAATATTTACCTGGATATATCTTTTCAGTTTTTGAATAAGTTTTTGAAAAAGGAATTCTTCTTCTCCAGGCTGAACCATTATATGATGTTGACATATGTTTATCTGAGAAAATAAATAAGGAGACTGCTGCAAATATTGCTAAATTGAACAAGTATAGTCCAAAGACGTTTCAAAGCTATAAACACCTCAGCAGTAAAAACTACACGTGTTTCTTCTACCATTTGATAAGTGGGACAACCATAATACAAGCCCAGTTAAGTGATCAGTAAGCGTGGTTACAAATCTCTTAAAATACTGTTCATTTTCTCAAATAAGTTTCTATTCCATGAGGCTAATCTAGAAGACAGAACAGTATATGGATACAGTATTCTACTACCTTTCTTCTGTGACTTAAGATAATCTTTTACTAATGTTTGGAGAGACTATGAAGTTGAAGGAGAGCACAGAGGGGCTTTGTGGGAAGACTTGGAGGGAGAAAGTGAAGGGAGAAATGATACAATTATATTATATTATCTCAAAAAATAAAAATTAGCATTTCAGACAAGAAATAAACTACTTTGTAAGTATTTTTAATTTTATTTTAAAAACAATAAAAAGTGACATTTTCTTTTATAAATTATGCCTTCTGAAAACAATGAAATAGTGGGCTTGATGCCCCAACAACCAGAGCAGGTACTCACACACACACACACACACACAGAGAGAGAGAGAGAGAGAGAAGTACATACACACATAAACCCACATTTATAGACCAAGTCATCTATAAAGACATGCTTTTCCTGACTCACTAACATTGTTATATTGTTCTCGGGTTATTACGACTCATCTATAGTTCTCCGAAGGTAGCATAATAATACGAGGAATTTTCTTTTTGTGTTATTTTTGTGCATTGATACTTGCATGAATGAGGCACAGCAGTATCCAGTATAGTTGCTGGCTCATTCAGTTCACACATATCTAGACACTGACAGCACACTGTGCTAGCTAGCATTGTAGTTTTCATAACCATCACAGTGGCACAGCTAAAATAATACATATAATAGCACAGTAATAAAATTAGAACAGTTTCTTCTTACTGCATACTGGTTTGCTTACATATGCCCGTATGCCATTGTATCCTAAAGCAAATAAATAAAATTAAATAAGTATGTAAGTTGTCAAAGACAGACATAGAACCTTTACCTATGTTTCCAAAAGTTCCTGACAATTGGAACTCATAAAACATTGTGAATACAAAGCTACAACGTGAATTATGGAGAACTGAATGGCATTTTGTTAAGTTGAGAGAACTGAAACCCAACTTCAAAAGCACAAATTCATCTAAAGCAGGAAGAAAAAAAGACTCTCCCCTGTGGCCTTGTACTTCCTGACATACGCCAAGCCTTTGCCTATTATATGATGAAATGATTTAGAAGGGCATGGTGGGAGAGATGAGAGGTTGTCAGAAATATTGCAGTTAACCCTCACACTAACCCTTTCAGAAAGTAATCATGATGTCCTCAAGAAAAGCCTGGGTGGTGGTCTGACAGTAATAATTGAACAGTGCACTTAGTGGAACAAGAAAATGTCAGCCACGTAAAAATAATCCTCCCTAGTGAAATAAAACTACACAGGGTGAACAAAGCGCAGGGCATGGAGGCAAAGCTCCAGGGAGGCGTGCTGTCAACGCATCAGCACCCAGCATGTCCTTCAAATCATGTGCACGACTGCTCACGGATGCAATCCTCCGGCTAGCACTGAAGAAGCTTCAATGATGGTAGTCCAGGAAGAGCAGTCAGAGGGAGGAAGTGAAGACCGGCTTTCCATTGTGGAAATCCTACTACACTAAAACAAAGTGCAGTCTTTATTGAGCTACGTCAATAAAGAGCCTCACCTGGACAGAGGTTGAGTTTGGGTTCCTTGTTGACATCAGCTTTGTTGTAGGACCCACCACTCGTGGGCCTGCTTCGGGGAGGGGCATTCAGTGTGACAGTTCTTACTGCGTCTCTTTGAACATGCACGTAGGAGGTGTTCTCAGCATTTCGGTTTTTATTGTGATGATGGTAACTCATCTTATGTTTGGAATTTGGGGTGTGTACTGCTGTAAAACAAAGGAGTAGAGATGGGGGATAAAACAAGCTGGATTCACATTCATAAAAATAGGCTGCACAAAAGCATGCAAGAAAAAAAATAGAAGACAATCCTAACTAAAACATGACTCAATCCAGGAGAATTGGGTAACCTTTAAAGTAGACTTGAAGTTGTATGACAATGAGTTGCTCTGTAGAGTGGTAACTATTTGATATTTAGTTCTGTGAAAAATTATAATTAGAAATACCAAACACTTGGATACTCTACCTCTCCGCATTCCAGAGCCAGGAAAGTTCTTTGGTTCATCATAAATCCATTTTCTTTTCTTCACACCTTTAAAATGAGGCTTCCTCACTGGCTGGACATCATTCACTTGGAGAAGATAAAAATTTGTAGTTTTTAAGAGATACTTTAATCTGAAAATTACTGAGGTGATAATTACATATCTGTGCATTCTCACATCAAGCAAAACCATGCCACTCTAAAACTAGTTTTTAGAACAAAGAGAGAGTGGTTTTTAAGTGTCAAAAAATCCCCCTTGGAAATACAATAATGATAAAAAAAAAAAAAAAAGCCTTTGGTAAGTTACTTTCCTTTTAAAAAAAAAAATCTTATTGTTCTCTCAAAGGAATGTGTGAACTCTTTAAAAGAACAGAAAAGTGCACTCCAATCATAATTACAAATTGCAGCATAATGCTATTTTAAGGTTGTAATTGTTATCCTCAAAATAAATCTTTTTGTACATTTTAAGCTCAAACTACTATTTCTTAATGCTTAGATTAATACATAAAGCACTTTTATTGAATTTCACTTTATCCCTCTTTACAGTGTTACGGGGTTAGGTGTACAGATAGTTTGGTTGAGTGAGACTGAATATTAGAAACTGTTAAGTTTCCAGTCATATTCATCTCGCATTTTACATGCATATATTCATGTCACCATTTCTACATGCATTTATGGTTTTTCAAAACTTTCTAAGAAATATCTTTTAGAGATTTTACACCAATTTCATTCTGTTATCTATAAATGACCTCAAGGAAAATGACTGTCAGGGTACAAATTACAGTAGCCCTCAATTAGTAAGCTGATGCATTTATCTTTGCCTTAGCTTTCAACCTTAGCTTAAGCTTTAAGCCCTCAGAATCTTTGCCTGCTCTCCACACATTGTGTCCCATCTCCATCCCAAACTCCCATAAGAAAGATGTGAACATCTAAAGTTTTAACAAGTACCATTAACACTAGTTTCCTGGGGCAGTTTATTGTGGATCTCCTTCAGGGCCTGAGAACCAAGAACATTACAGGAGTTCAGCAAATGAAACAAGTAAGAGGTGGAATGTGTTGGTTTGAATAGGAATGGACCCCACTGACTCCTGTGTTTGAATGCTTGGCCCATGGGGAGTGCCCTTATTAGGAGGTGTGGCCTTGTGATAGTAGGTGTAGCCTTTTTGGAGGAAGTGTATCTCAGTTGGGGAGGGCGTTGAGGTCTCCTATGTTCAAGCCCCATCCAGTGTGGAATCCATTCGTCTTCTGCTGCCTGCCAATCAAGATTTAGAGCTCTGGGCTCCATCTCCAGTACCATGTCTGCCTGCCCAATGCCATGCTTCTCTTCGTGATCATAATGGACTAAAGCTCTGAAACTGTAAACCAGCCCCAATTAATTATTTTTCTTTGTAAGAATTGCCGTAGTCATGGTGTCTCTTCACACCAATGGAAATATTGGTGTAGAAACCCTAACTATGACAGGGAAGGAGAGAAAGAACCAAGCAGAAACCATCAAAGAAGTACCTGAAAGCACCATTGCCAAGAAGAAGCCAAATGGAGAAAAATGGCCCCCAACACTCACAAAGCTGCCAATATGTTCCATAACGGGCAAAATCCAACGTGCTGTGCTAGCAACTTCCTGCAGGGGCAGTTTACTATGACATTAATGCGCACCTTAAATGAGTGGATTCCTATGACCTGTACTACAGTCTGTCCTCTGGACTTAACAATTTTATTCATTTGCGCCTTAAAACTGCAGACTTTTCAAACCGGACTTTCTTCTTTCTCTTTCCTTTTCAAACTCTATTCCAAATAAGAAAAGCACACCCGTAAAAAGACAAACAAATGCAAGTGATAGTACTACTGTCTTACTTGAAGAGGGGTTCTCTCTGCAATTCATGCTGATATTCTCAGTAGCATTTAGTACATGTGTTGTAGGAACTAGGCGAGAAGTTAGGGGGTGCTTTGGATGAAGACTGTTTTTGCTTTCTTCTAAGGCAAATTGAAAGAATAAAATGTCAATATTAGTAAAAGAAACACTTCAAATAGGTTCACATTCTGTGTGTGTGTGTGTGTGTGTGTGTGTGTGTGTGTGTGTGTGTGTGGCATTTTCTAGAAGGCAAATTTTCTAATTGCCACACTATCTCTCAAGTACCAATGAAACAAACAAAAACTAAACTATAGCTATCATTTTAATGCAAAATGGAGTAGTAATGTGCCAAATTTGTTAACATCTCTTAGAAAACCTTAAATAAATTACATGCCTTGCAATATCAAGACACTCATTTGCTCTGTGCTTGGCAGAAGGACTATGCAATAAATTTTCCACAATCATGAGGATGTTCTAAATCTATGTTCTTTCGCACAGTAGCCAGTAGCCACCTTAATTAACTGACTGTTTGGTGTGGGGGCTGATGCAGTTGAAAAGCTGAATTTACAGCTTTATTAATTGCAGTTAAATGCAGACATCATGCATAGCCAGCCACTGGCCCTCAAAATAACTTAGCTGGGTTTTTTGTTTGTGTCTTTGTTTGTTTGTTTGTTTGTTTGTGTCCATGAATTTCATTGATGAAATAGGGGTAAAAAATTAATTCCAAGTAGGAGACAGATTTACATATGAATTTCCATTCAATAACTTGACACAAATGTCTTTTCTACACTTCTACCAGAACACTCCAGATGCAGACTGTTACGGTAGCACGAAGCTCTAGAGCAGATGATTTAGCTCTAGAGCACTGATTCTCAACCTGAGGTTCAAGACCCCTTCAGGGGATGGAATGACCCTTTCACAGGGGTTGCATAACTGATGTTTACATTATGATTCATAACAGTAAGATTACAGCTATGAAGTAGGAATGAAAGCAATTTATGGCTGGGGGTCACCATGACAGGAGCTGCATTAAAGGGTCGCAGCCTTTGGAAGTTTGAGAACCAGCAATCTGGAGTTTTCAGAGGTTGTTAGCAATTATTGTATAATGGGTATACCCTCACAAGAATGAATCTCTCCACAGTGTTCATGAAGTGTTTCTAAGGAAATTCAGTCATTCTGTTTTAAGTAGCAAAAAGGAAACTTGAAAGGTCTTGGTATTGCATTTAAGAAGGACAATAACTTTAGAGCTGGAAGACTCCTCCTTGGAATGTCATCTTGCAACAGACAGACTGTTCAGACTAGAACACAAGCTATCAAAGTTAAAACAATTAAGCACACAAGCAGTCCAGAGCCTTAGGGCTCTGGAGTCCTGTTCAGTGCTTTTTGATATATTACCTTTTCGGTTACATTTGGTTTTCATAACAGCTAAGACATATGCTTGACTTACCTACCCAAAATACAAATGGGTCAATTTTATAACAAGATTCAATTACCTTTGGCATTTGAACATTTTGAGGTAGTTTCTTTCTCTTCAGCTAATGCTTCACTTTCATCCACTCCAAGAAATATGATCCTCTGTGGAGCATAGCAGTCACCTCCTAGAATAAAATTTTACAGTCAAAGGCAGCAATAGCAAAAAAAGGCATATGGTTGCCTTTCAATACAGGAATGATCTTTTTACAATATCTCTCATGTCTACATTTGCTTAAACATGTCTCAGATTGTGCTATCCCTATACCATTACATATTCTACCAGAGATGCTCATGTTAATGCATGTGTATTAAAGTGTGTGTGTCTGGATATGCCCGTGCTACACTTCACATGTAAAGATCAACATGTAAAAGGACAACATCAACTCTTGGGTTTTGCCTTACATCATGATTTCTTGCTTGCTGCTATATTTGTCTCCAGCTCCCATCTTGCTTTAGAGACACTGAGATCACGGACATGTGATATTGTTTATGAAGGTCCTGTGGATGCTCATTCTTACCTGCCAAACAATTTACCTACTGAGCCATCTCTTGAGCCCCTAGGTAAACACTTTTGGAAAATATTCAGTTGAGGATGTAGCTCAGAGGAGGAGGCCTTGCCTAGCATGCACAAGGCTCTAGATCAATCTCCATCCTCACTGTGACAAAAGTAAGCCTTAAAAACATAGTTATGGAATAGCCTGTGGGAAAATCACACAAGATGTCTTCAGGGGTACAATAGTGGCATTTATATCTTGGGGATGATGAATCATCTAATTGATCTTAAGGCATGTTCATAGAAGGGTATTCACTCCTGGTCCTGAAAACCTAGCCAAGTACCTGTGACTGGTGAAGCCATGGAACCAACTCCTTCTGCTTTTCTAAACTAGTATAGTTCCTAGCTGCATTCTAAAGACATATAATTATATTCAAATTAGTATGGCTCTCATCCTCATCAAAGAAGCATCTCTTTACAGCAAACAGTGACCATTACGGAAGGCTGCACCGGTCAGAATGCTCTGAGAACAACTGATGGTTGATGCCCAGCCCTGGATACATCTCAAGCATAACCCCTACACCTAAGGCTCAAGGAACATCATGGGAAAGGGATGTAAACAATCAGAGGATGAACACATTTGCTGGCAGTATTTTCTATGTAGGGCAATGAAAGTGCGCGCAGGAAACATCAACAGCATGGTTGCCTAAATAAGACCTGCACAATTGCTCCATCAATACAGATGGCGGAAACCTCACACAGCTCCACCCCTCAAGGAAGTGCCATAGGTGGTTAATGGCTGCTGAGAGAGAGAGGGAGTCAGTATTCTCTAGAGATAAGACAATGATAGGTTATCTAACCACAAGAGGTCAGCCCTACACAGGTATACATATGAACAACAGGACGTGAACTCTGCAGGTTGTATTTATACATACATTCACGGATGCATACACGAAACATACATACAGCATACATACATACATGCATGCATGCATACATACAAGCACGGTGTGTGTGTATAAACAATAATAATAAAAAATGAGTCATGAATTTGAATGGTAAGGGGATACAGTTGGATGGAGAGTGGGAGAATGGAAAATACAGTACTCACATAAAATTTTCTTGTGTACAATAGTACACAATAGTACTGTTGGAGACTCGTCTGATGTAATTACTGGCCCTCTGTATATACCTGCCTAAGTCATTATACCTGATTGGTTAACTAAACAGTCTAAACCTGGGCAGAGCGGAATGGGATAGGCATTGCTAAGGTTCCTGGGCTTTGGAGAATCCCATGGGGAATCACAGGAAGGACAGATGGACAGGAAGAGAAGAAGAAGGAGGATATCAAGATGGGTTAGCCTGGAGAAAACAGCACGTGAGCCAATGAAAGACTTCAATAATGGCATGACGAGATCTACATGAAGTATATAAGCAAGTACCATGGGATTATTCATGAAAAGTAATCCAGTTGAGGAGGATTAAGGTGGATGGCATTGGATGGGGACATGGAGATGGATGGTGAGGGTATTGAGTAATTGTAAGTGAAATATCTGCAGGCCCAAAGTAAATAAGGCAATTATAAATCTAAAAAAAAAATTTCAAAAACGTCTAAATAAAAATCACTAGTGGAATAAAAATTTAAGTAATAGTGATATAGTAATAGCTGACACTTATAAAGCAGTTTTCTATGGGTCAGAACCTCTTTTGAGTATTTTAAATGACTTATCAAATTTTAGTATCTCCGTATAGTCATCCTCCTACTACAACTCTGACTACTATAATAAACACACTTTTACTATACTTTGCCATTAAAAACACATTACTGAATAATTTTGAAACATAATAAGAAAAATTTCAGCTCTCACTAATTATTTTACATAAAGTTTTTGTCCACCTGAAGAAAAATAAATCCTACAAATCATTTGTGTTTTGAATCTAAATGTAAAGCGAAAAATAACTTTGTCTCTGTTTGCTATCTACTTAGAGTTGGGTCCTGTTGCCAACACACTGACTTTCAGACTCAGGAAATTTAGTAATCATGCCTCTATTCACCTGGTCATTACATGACTGTAAGTATGCAATCACATATTCTTCAGGTGTTTGTTGCTGAACATTTACCAGTCATTCTGTTGTTCATTTATGTACAGTAATTACTCCCTCTTCTGGCCTCATGAATTACGTAAAACAAATATTAAACATTGTAAAAGGAATTCTAATTTCTGCTTCATGAGCCATTCATTCATTGTGTTGAGATTTGGGCTGGCCTCATCTGTGCATGTCTTGTGCATGCAGTTTCTCTCTCTCTCTCTCTCTCTCTCTCTCTCTCTCTCTCTCTCTGTGTGTGTGTGTGTGTGTGTGTGTTTTGTGTGTGTTCACACACGCACAATGGTGCTGTCACGTCAGGCAAATACTGTTTTGCTCCAGATATCCACTACTTCTGCCTTCTCAATCTTTCTGCCTGATTTTACATGATGGTCACTGAGCCTTGGGTTGAGGGCAAGTGACACAGATGGCACATTCAGAGCTGAGCACGATACCATTTCTTATTTTTGTCCATGTCAACCATGTTTGAGTCTCTTATTAATGTCCACCTACACACACACACACACACACACACACACACACACATCTCCATCTACTGAAACACACACACACCAAAATAGCTGAGGAACTATTAGAAAGTGTTAGTTGCTGAGGAAGAGGGAGTCAGTTTTCTTCAGAAAGACTACCTATGCTCCAAAAGATAGACCTACAGCTGTGCACATACAAGGAGACTAAGTGAATTCAGTGCAGTTTTAGAAAGGGCACATGAAGCCAAAGGGGGAACAAGTAGTGCAGGCAAATGGAAAGGAACTGGAAATGAGCAAATGAGTTATCTTTGATCAAGATATTTATATGCATGAGTGGGATCCTCAAACAATAAAAAGTATCATCCAAAAAAAAAAAATGGCCTCGAGAGTCTTGAGCTAGTACTAGTCAGAGATCTCAGCAGCTGCATGCTGCTTAGGAGGAAAAATCTGGAGTGTAAGAGATCTTAATGACTAGCCCAAATAAACTGAGTTGAGGTTTTACAAGCTATCCAGGAGAAGAGCTGAATTTAAGAGAGATGAATATACTGTATAAAGAATAAGAAAGCCAAGCTGCAGAAAAAGCATACAATGCAGTAGAGCTGGCCCTGGTAGCATGGGTACTGGAGAGCTGACCCCACGGCATAGCCACAGGGAGCGCTGGCCCCTCCCCTGCCATGGGCAAAATGGAAGAGCTGGTCCTGGTAGGGTAGGCACAGGAGAGCTAGTGAACCAACTCAGGCCCAGATCCAGGGCTTTGAAGGGGCCCACTTCAACATCTACGCCATCTATGAACTACTGGAGCAAGTAAAGGGTGTGGTCCTTCAGGACCAAAGCTGTAGGATCTTCATGACACAGGGCAACAACAGGGTATCTGAGAGGAGTCCCAGTGAGGAGCCAGTATTGATAGTGTAGCAGAAACCAGAGGCCTGGAGCCAGACCAATGACTCCCTGCAATGAACATTTGCAAGTAAAGCTGTTTGGACAAGGGGGTTTATACTGTGGGACACACTGTGACATACTGCAGCTTCCCTGGCGAGATGTTTATACATAACTGTTTTGTTTGGGGGAGGGGATTCAAGGGAGAAGAGTGTATAGGTAGGGAAGGGGTACATGAATGAGATTGGGGTACATGATGTGAAAATCACAAAGAATCAACAAAAAGTTAAGGAAAGAAAAGAGCACAAGGGAGTTGAGGACACCCACAAGCTGGAAATGATGCTCATTGTCTCCAGCACTTTTCACAAACACCATACAGAGCGGTAGGAATTTGAATTCTCAGCTTCATACGTTACTCACTGAGGCCTGACAAGGTTATAGGCTCAGCAGTCACATTTGCATGCTCGTTCAGAGATGAGCACAGGATGGGACTTCCAGGAGGACAACACAGCATCGTGCCGTCACTTTAATGCAAGGGAAGCTGCAAGGGATCTGAATCCTCATAGTGGTGCCTTTCTAGTGGCACAGTCTCAGCAGAGACAATGCCCCGAACGGTTTCCTCTCTAAAAATATAAGCAGTTTAATATATGCTCATTCAGAGTTCATGCCATATTTACAGTTGTTGGAATCCTTTATCTTTCTCTCTTCTCCCTTCCACCCCTTTTCTCTGTGTTCAGAAAGAAATGCATGCATATAGAGAAAATTGCTTTAAATAGGTACATGCAAAGGCATTTGTACTATCTTCATATACATATTGATGTACACATTTGAAAATTACACAGCTAGTGCAACTTTCAACAACGCGACTATGTCTCATATAGCTCATCTTAAATACTAAAATAAAATACTCAAACTAAAGGTGTCCAAAATGTATGTTTCCACTCAAATAACATTTAAAAATGCAAAACTAAACTGGTGGAAGATATCAGAGTGTTGATTATCAATGAGAGGGCACTTTTGCCTTAGCTAGGAAGAACCCTCTCTTAGTGAGTGATGCTAAAAGGATAATTTTAATAGTTTGAGATATAACAGAACTGCTTGAAAAAAAAAGACATCAAGTTATCCAATAAGTTCATGAAAATACGGATACATAGAGAGGTATACATGTGGAATTTTCCCAAGCTATATACCTCAGAGTATCATGATTCATTAAATTCAAAGCTTAAGAACACATTAAAAACAATAAAACTAAAACAATGATTTACATGTTTAAATTGAATATGGACCTACTTGCTATAATTATAAAATTCACCATTTTCCTCTAAGATATTCTATCAACTCTTACAAAATTAAATTATCAACTTAATATGTGCTGCTCTCTCATATGCAGGCACCCTGGCTTCTAATTGAACAAAGACCAACACGCACACATTCCTCCTCTCAGTCTTTTCCTTTCCATCTCAGGAAAAGGTGTCCACATCTCCAGAGCTGAGCATTTCTATCAGAGGATAGACTTTTTTCCATAGGCTAATGGGCAATAGACTTAAAATATTTAAGCTGTGATAAACAACAAGAATGTATGTCTTGGAGTAAATGATACATACACGCCAATATTACTGCCTCAGCTCTGTCCAAGTGTGTATTAACCACCTCTTTTGTACTTGCTCCTGTGTTAGTACATTATTTTATGTGCTTAATATCCGAATTAGTTATAGCCTGGAGCCGAGCATGCACACTTCCAGACCAGCTCTCTCATAACAGTATAGAAGCTAGAATGCTCCATCTTGCACATGGAGTGTAAATTTTCTTAAGGCATTGGGTAGAGATACCAGTCTTTCATGACATCTTACTTTTTGTTGTGTCTCCAAACCTTGCATCAAATGGGAAATAGAAAAAAATAAGGATAAAACGTTAGAGCTGGAAATAATATATTTGGAATCATCTAGCTCACCTCCATTTTCAAAAGCAGCAATGTCAGTCCTTGGTTTCCTATCCAATGATGTTTTTGCCTCTCCCGTCCTCTCATATAGGCTAAACTTTGTTGGAACTGTAAGACCATCCCCTAGAAATGGAAAGAAGTAAAAGGTCACTCCAGCAACCATTATACTATGAATAAGATTGTGATAGAATTCACGGTTGACAGGTAAGTAACTGAAACACTGATACATTCACTCTTTGCATAATGATTTGATGAGGAATATATAAGCATATTGATTTCAAACTAATTTTGTAATTGACAAAAAAGTATTTTCTCCCATTTGGATTGTTAACTAATCGGCAATTTGAGTTTTAAACAATCTTACACTACTGTGTGGGTCTAATAGGTTCAGTTCATTTGGTATTGTGTTGTAAAGAATTTGCAATATTTATTTTGTTTCTATCTCTTCATGATTAATTTTTCAAACAATATTGTAATCATTATTGTGCACAAAATTCTACTGATACTTAATAATTAAATTTTTTTATTTGAATCCAGATAAATCTACTTTGAAAATAAACTATTGACTTTAGGATGAAAAGAGACATGGCAGCCTACAGCAGTGTGAGCTTCTGAATAGAATAATTTACCAAGAGAGGATAAATTCACTTTGTGACCATCAGTAGCACAGTTGGTGAAATTTGTGGAGAGGACCCATAAACAGTATACGTAACAATATATCATAGGAAATTTCCTGACTTTGATACTTTTGCTACAGTTTTATAAGAACAAAGAGTATGTGTTGGTTCGAAAACAGTAATTACTCTAATGGTAAGTAAAAACCCAGATGTAGCAAAATATTAACAGTTGCTGTTGGTACACATCAGGGAATCTCAACCCCGTAGGTTGCGACTCCTCTGGGATTCAATGTCCCTTTCACGGAGCTTGCCTAAGACCACGAGAAAACATAGATATTTACATTACAATTCATAACTGCAGCAAAATTACAGTTAGGAAGTCTCGACAAAATAATTCTATGGTTGGAGGTCACCACAATGTGTGGAACTATACTAAAGGATCACAGCATTAAGAAGGTTGAGAACTGGGAGTACAAGAATTATCTTTTTGAAAGCAATACAAGGCAATTTTTACATGTACACAGATGTATGCATTATTTGCTTGATAATCTTACATTTTAAATTCTGATTGGTAACTTTGTTTTTTGTTTTCATTTGCTTGCTTTAAGGTTTCTCCAGTGTGCTTCACCTTCCCATGGTCTATTGCTGCCACCTTCTGCCAGCCATTTGAAACAGCCTGCCACACACAGAGGCAGGAAGGTACAGATGCCCTGTTCTGTATCTTTCCGGTCATCCCCAGCTTTTCTCATCTCTTCGCTCTGTTCTCTCTGCTAGCCCCTCTTTCTTTCCTGTCTTCCAGAGGTGCAGGGAGCAATTAAATTCACTTCTCCTGCTATAGTATGTACACATAAGCTCACTCTAAAGATGGGAAACCTAAATAAACCTATAGAACCCATGGACCCTTCTTCAAGTGCCTGCTTCTCTATACACAATACAGAGGCTCTTTCTCTTGCATGTAAGGACAAGATGCTGATCAGAAGCACTAAGACCCACTTAAAGAAAATGCACCATGAAGGACAGAGCCTGGGACTTGTCCATCAAAGTGGCCTTAAAATTGTCTGATACACAAAAGGCATTCATTTAAACAGACAGACTGGTATTCTGGCATTGACATCATTTGGCCACCTCACTTTTGTCTACCCTGATATGGGTTACCCTTTCCATTCAACATAAAACATCGAGTTCTATTTTACAGAAAGATTTACCGCTGAGACAGAAAGACAAATTATTTACAGATTTCCTGTGTGGTGTGTGAGAGTTACCGATCTGCGAAGCCTGTGCACTTGGTAGCTCCTCTGGAGAAAGATCATTACACTAATAGCAACCTTTCAGAGGAAATTTGGGTCATCCAGTAAAAAGCTTTTTCTCACTCTCAAACTAGATGTATTATTTAGCATTTAGTCCTGCTCTAGGATACACTGCCCTGAATAATTCAGATTGTACTCACTAAGCATCTCCTACAGGTCACTGTGAACATTGCCATCTCGTTTCTTACCTTCTTGTAAATCACTGCCATTTTCCAAAGGCTTTTCTAACTCCTTTTCCACTGTAGGAACTAGGCTTTTTGATGAGATGTCTGGTGGTGCATGGAATCTATAGTATTCACCTAAACTCCCGAGAGAAAAGAATGGTTAGCGTGTGGATCATATCAACCACTGGAGATTCCACAAATGTTTTCTTTCTTACCAGATTTATAACACATCTCCTTTATTGCTCTTTTCTCTTCAATTTCTTCAGGGGTCTTTGTCCATAAGCTAGAAGCATCTATAGGATATATTTTTTTAAAAATTAAATTGTCCCAAATTCAAATAATCTGAAAATTTATAAATCAGAAAGAAAAATCCCAAATATTGTTTTCATGGATAGATTGTTCTTCATCTAATGTTTCAAGTTTTTTTTTAAGTACACTTAACAAGCTATGGGCAGATGGCAATGGACTCTGGGGTGGAGGACTTCCCCCTTTCAGTGGACTAGGGGAAGGGGATGGGGAAAGAAGGAGGGAGGGAGTTGAAGAGGGGGTTTCAATCAGGACACATAATGAATAAATTGTGAAGAAAAAAATAATTTGGAGAAAAAAATTACAAACTTTTATTTCAAAATGTTTCCATATTTAGTATTTGAAAGAGTCATTGAAGAGAAATTATATATTTTATGCTCTGTGTCCCAAAATGAGAAGCTGAAAGCACAGACTCCCTAAGATGGTGTGTGGTAGAGCATGTGGGCATGAGGTAGAAAATATACCTGGCAAAAAAAAAAGAGTGAAGAGTTCTGTGCATTCCTAAGTACAGAAGTTATGGCAGTTGGTACCCACAAAAGATGCATTCCAGGGCAGGGAAAAAGCAAATTTGTTTTTCGAGGTGTTTATATGGAGTTTATCTGACTGGCTCTGCTCTGTGTGGTGATATGGGAAGCAACAGAAAGACCATGATGCACACGGATCTTAATCCTGTGCCTACTTCTCCAAGGAATATTGGAGATGGTGCAGATGAAAATAATTCATAAATTAGCAGCTACTCTCTGCATCATTAAAACTTGAGGAAGTAAATGTTACAAGAAATAGATGTGTGTACATCAGTACAGCACACAAGAGACAAAAGTACACAGCAGTTATCTCTTGGAGGCTATCTGTAACCTCTGTAAGTACATGTACATTTTTAAACATAAGACATGTCTCCCAGCCACCACACCACAGAACCTTCCAGTCCAATATACAGACCTCTCAGCAAAACCTGGTCTATGTACTGCATCCTAAGCCTCTAGTAGTTGAGGAATACGTGGAAAATACTGTGGGTTTTTACATGTGAACTGCAATCCATGAAAAGATGTACTAACCATTTTGTTCCTCTTCTTCCTCTTCCTCTTCTTCAAAGTTAGTTTTTAAAACTAATGGATGATGAATGGGTCGTGATACATTCTCCATGGGTTTCAGAGGCTCCTGACTCTGGGTTGGGGGTGGGTTTCCTTCCTGACTTTCTTTCTGTAAGGTGGTGTCTACAGAGAGAACACAAAGCTTTAGTCTATTCAACCATTATTATTACAAATTCATTCTGTGACCACCCATTCTTTTTGTTGATATTTTCTTATCTTTCTTGGTTTAAAAAAGTAGAAATGATCTCATGTCTTCTGGAGGTGATAGAACTGCTGTGCTCATGAACTGACAGTAGCTATGGTTTCCTAAATAAGATGTGTTCAAAATCAAGCCAGTCACCATTTTATTATGGGTCAGAGTTCACAAGGCCACTTCCCTAATTGCGAGGCTATTGACAATTAATAGTTTTTGGAGGAGGAAAAATTACTGATTTACTTTTATGAGTGTGGGTCTCGGCAGATTGATCACCTTCTACAGTGAATGGCCACATACCCATGAGTATATGGACAATAGAAATTGGTCTTGATAGGTTATTTAAAAAACAAACAGTGAGTAGAAAGGTGAGGAGTGGCTCTGAGAGGACTTAGGAATATTGGGTGATAAATATGATCAAGATGCATTTTATGAACGTCTTGCAGAGTTAAAAATATATTTAAAAGAAAACAAAATATTGCAAACAACACAAAACAAAAGAAAGGGCTGGAGATTGCTCAGTGGTTACCAGCACTTGACTGCTCTTGCAGAGGACCTGGCTTCTCCCAGTACCCACATAGCCATATGTCATTTACATGTTATCATGCAACTGGGCCCTGATTTGGGATGATCAGATTTACAGTAGTGTGAAGAGACGATCATCGAGCAGAAACTGTACTTCAAGCTCTGGATTTCAATGATTTCTCAAGATGATAATATCCTTTAGATAATGAATACGATGCTGAGCAGTGGCTGTGAGCACAGATATGAATCAGCAATGTAATAAAGAAGTAAAGGTCTCTATATACTGTATTGCTAAATCAGAGAGCTCTGATAGGTCGGGTGTATTAAATGCATTTTTCAGCTTATGATAGGTTGACTGGGATGTAACCCCAGGGTAACTCAAGAAGTAGTAAGTGCAAATTGATGACAAGTATTGCTCTTAATTACAAAGTAGATCTGTGAGACGACAGTGACTTTAATATCATGTGGTTTTGTGTTGAGACATACATCCCCAATTATATGTTTCAAGCTCACTACACACTAAGGTTGACCTTGAACTTCTCATCTGCCTTCCACCTCCTCCCAAATGATAGGATTATAGGTATATGAAAGGAGATGAGATTAGCAAGCATTCTACCAACTGAGATACATCCCAAACCTAATACATTTTAACAATTACAAAAAAATAACACTACAAGGCAGTGCTTACAATGGGATAGTAGATATGTCCAAAAGAACAAACGACCTGGTTCCTACAGGCTGGAGATGGAATTGAGTTTGCTAATCAGCTAACTTTAAAATTGGCAGAGTCCATGCTAGAATAAACTGAAATTAAATGCATGAGAGAGTGTGGTGGAAATTAACACTAATTGTGAACATGATTGCTTCTTCCATTTCTGAACTTCCGTCAAACAATAAATGACTTGATCACAAAAAAAATCTCTAGAGCACACTTCTGTAATTTTGCAAGTCTGAAAACTTTGCAAAGATTCTGATTTTTTTGTTTTAAATTCCATTTTAAATTGATTCTCTTGTCACATTTTTACAATAAACAGCCAAGAATAACCGTAATGTAACTTGAGCACTTTGCTTAGTGGTTTCTCCTCCTATTTACCACCTGAAGTTCAACCTTCCACGGTCTTAATGAGGTCTTTGTAATGTTTCTTATTTGTGTCTCAGACCACACCAGATTGTCCTTAACCACATGCTTCTTTCACACAAGTGACCCTGGCCAGTTATGTGGTTTCTAAAATTGCCTCCTATAGTTCTTCATTCCTTCTGAGCCTCCCCTAGAAGTACCTTTACTATTTTATGCAAAAAAAAAAAAAAAAAAAGCTTTTTCTCAAATTTACTTTCAACAGTCTTTCCCCCTTCCACAGCTTATCTTAACTTATCCTGGCTAATTTACAATGGTAATGATAATGGTGGTGATATTGAGCAATCGGTGTGAAGCTGATACATTTTGGAAACAACCCCACAGCATAAACACCGTTGCTGTATCATACAGATGAAGTTACTGTGCCCTAGAGAGTTGCCCAAGGTTACTTAGCAAGTGTGTGTGGCAGGCTGAGATTTTAACCCAGTTTAAGCTGTAGCCAGTGATCCTTATCTTTGCTAATTCTACTTCCAATGTCTAAGTCTTCTTCTGGAGCAACAGTAGCATATGGAAAGACAGTTCTGAGCCAAAAGCTGGTGAAGGAAAACCTGTGTCTGAGATCAGCTCTGCCCTTGATCTCTTCCGTTACATAAGCCCCAAATTTCCAGGTTTTTTTTTTTTTCTTTCTTAAATCAAATCAAATAGGTTTCTTTTCTAAAATCCAGTTGTGGGCTGTAGTTGGCTCAGACCAGCATTTGAGGACTAAATGTTCAATTTTGAGGACTATGGATATGTATTACTATGCCCAGGTTAACTGGCACACCCCTGTAAAAAGAACCACACGTGACTCATAAATCCACTTAGAGCATAGGCATGATATACAATGGCGTATCAGCTAATTGGAAATTGTACCTCATCCTGAAAAAGTACAGCGGGTGATTTAGATAACCTTCTGTGGTTCTATCTCACCTCCTTTACATGTGCTATCTGGTAGGTCTCCATTCAGCAAGTGAACTCCCCTCCCCCAATTTCGCTTGTTGCCTTTTTAAAGATCTAAGTTTTATCTTATCATGGCCCGAGAGACATCATTGCATACAGATTACATATTGCTTTGCATTAACTAATATTTTCTTAGCTGTGTCATAACATTTGCACCTTGAATTTATAAGTAGTTATATGTACTTAATGACAAACAGAAAGGTAGACTTTTTCATAAATGTACTACATGATACTAAGGTAAAAAGATTTAAGATTGTAGTTTTGATTGACATAGCATTTGGTAGACAGATGTTGCTAGAAATATTGTATGATTTATAAAGTCTATCAGGGATCAATTTATACCTTTTATTGTGTTCATTTCTTTCCAAAATGAATAGGTCATATGGTAGTTCAATACATATGTTTTTAAAAGCCTTTGATAGTATGTTTGGGACACAAAAGCTAATATGCTGAAATCTTTGACTTCAGTGTGGTGGCATGATATAGTGGAACTCTTCAGATTTGAGGCCAATAACAGGCAATAAGGTCACGAGGTTGCTACTGTCATGAATGGATTAATGTTCTCTCAGGTCTTCTGCGATTCACTGAGTTCTCATGAGTGGATTGTTTTAACAAGAGGCTGGCATCTCCCCATGTGCCATTTCCTTCTACTTCTCTGCTACATTGTGTTGTAGCTTGGAGACCTTCACAGGATGTCAGTACTGTGTTGTTTAGATCGTCTATCCACTAGAATCACATGCCAGAATATCACACACTCACACATATATATTTTAGCATAGTATGGAGCCTCTGATACTTTGTAAACACCAAAACAACAGTCTGGGACAACAGATTATCTAGTACTTAGAAGTTGCATCCTCTTTCTAGAGTATAGAACTGTCTGAGTAGAGGAAAACTTAACATTTTCAGCATTTTCAGCTTAAAATGAATAACTCATACCCAAGATTGTCTAGGGTATAATTCTTAAATGGTAACACTACCTGCCATTATTAAATGTGTAGCGTTGGTAAGTGAACAAACTAAAGTTCTTGGTCTCATGGAGTTTTTGTTCTACAAGGAAGCATTAGACAATGAACAATGTGCATAACAAACAAGTTACACTGCAACAGAGAAAGTGATGGGGTGTAGCAAACCAGAAACAGAGGAGGGCAAGGCAGACTAGAAGTGTATATAAAGGCGGTGGGACAGCAGCCTACATTTCAATTATGGTGCTAGCATAGACCTCATTAAAGGCAACATTGGAGCAAAGCTTTGAAGAAATAAAGCAGTTTGTCATAAAGATACTGAGAGATAGGCACTTTGTGCAAAGCTACTAAAACGCTCTGTGAAAGGCAGGTAGGGAAACAGATGGTTGGGGCACAATGAGAAGTGCCTGAGTGTGGGTCGCTAACAGAGTACATGATCAAATAACTTCCTGAATCTGAGCTCTTGTTAGGGCTCTGACCTCTCTGAGTAAGATGAAAGGACACTGGAGGATTCTGAGTAGAGAAGTAAAACCTGATTGATCATAAGACTGTAGGCGCTGTGCTTTGAGTAGATATGAACAGATAAAGCAGTGAAATCGGAAGCTGCTGTAACAATACAGTTATAAGGCAATAATGGTGGCTTGATCCATGTAGAGATCCATGCACAGGTGATGAGGATGTCTGACTCTCATGTATCTGGATGGTAGAATTACGTTTCTGTATGGATTAGATATGGGATACGACAGACATTTCAAAGAAGATTCTGATGACCTAAGCAACTGCAATGATGGGCTTACCATCAAGATGAGTCAGAAACAGCTGTGGATGGAGCAGGTTTGAGAGAGTGTGGATAAAATCATGATGTTAGTCTTAAACCTTTAAGTGTGAAATGTTTGTTAGTCATAAAAGTCAAGACATAAAGAATTTGGGCATCTCATGGTGGTACGGAGAAGTACTCCTGAGTGCAGGGAGCTAAGAGAGTACATGATCAAATAACTCCCTGAATTTGAGTTCTTGTCAGGTCTGGAGTTGTTATATAAGCTTCCAAGTCAATGGTGCATGAATTATTGAAACCACAAGGTTGGGAGACAAGCTCAGTGATGGAAGACCATATCCTGCACAACCAAGGAGGACTGGAGTTCAGATCCTAGCACCCATGTGACTAGCTGGAGTCCTGTGATGGCCTGAAACTATAGTGTTGTGGGATCTGACATCTTCTTTTGGCTTCTACTAGTACACAAGTAGGCACACACTAACACACACATGTATATACACTCACAAATAAATGCACATGAATAATTAAACAAAACAAAATAGAAAAGAATTACAAGCTGGGGAAAAGAAGGGAGACAAAAGTGGTGAGAGGGACAAGACAGTAAAGAGGGGTAACTGTGATCAAGATCCATTATGTACACGCATGGCAATATAAACCAACTCGTGTATAATTAAAATGTGATGATAAGTATTAAAATATAAAAAATATTACTGGATGGTATTACAAGACAGGGAGACAGAAAAGAGAGAGTCAACGACTTTCTCCTTGGATACTACCCATGAGGGGTAACCAGAAAGGGCAAGTCTGTGGGGACAGAATAATGACAGTGTGGAGAAATGAAATCTGCTAAGGGATTATGTAAAAGGGGAAGGGGTAACAAATGCGTCCACTTCTTCTAATGGCCCAAGTTACATAAGGACTCAGATTTGACTAGTGTATTCAATAATCTGCATACAGTGAACAGAAAGGTGGAAGAAGCGTAATTATCAAAAAAGAGGAGGGAAGGAAGAAAGGAAGAAGGAAGGAAGGAAGGAAGAAACAAGAGACAGAATGAAAACCAGAGAGTTATGGAGGGAGGGAGGGAGGGAAACTAGGCATTATATTTACAACAAGAATAAGCAAATTCTTTAAGAGTCACTGCAGTGAGCATGGAGTGGCTGCTTGTGAGAGAATGGATGGAGAAAAATGTTATTTAGTAACTAAGAGATAAATGTAAATTTTTATGATGCAAGAAATGACTTGACAAGATTAAAAATAATTGTGTAGAAGTCACAGGAAGAGTGATTTTTGACTATTGAGTTAGTGTTCATTTAGTTACCAAATGGGAAGATAAACTAGATAGAAATGGTAGTTCACTGTGGTAAGTGTAAAGAGGAGCCTAGTACAGATGCAAGATAGGTGGGTAGAAAGAAATCTACAGAAATTCTCTACTTGTTCTTTAAGTTCTTCAGGAAGATATGAGGGTCATTAGAGGAGATGTTGGAAGATGGAAGAGAAGGGAAGACAATGCAAAATCATGTTCTAGAAGAACGGAGCTGTACCCGGGAGACTATCAGGTACAGTAGTACCTGGGGACTATCACAGAGTATGACTGAAGCCAGCAGTATGAACGCATCTGAGGTCTGTAATCGTGAACGTAAGCCACTTAGCCTGGCCATTTGTTTCTGTAGCCATGTAAAGTTTAACGTATGCACGCACAAAAGAGGTGGGGAATCATGTTCCAATATTACCGGCGGAAGAATAATTTGCTGCAGTGAATAAGTGGTAGCAGATTGGGATTTGTGTGAAAAATGTTGGTTGCCTGGGAAACTCATGAGAAGATATTACAGCACTAAGTGAATGGGGATTTAAAAGCATAGAGAGGCTACAGTGATGATAGGGTAACTATGTTCATGTTGAAATTACCAAGAATTAATAAAGCAGTACTAATATGGTGACAGTGATCTAGGAGTTGCATACTGTTGAAAATAAGATGAAAGGACATAGATGGACACGGGCAAAATCAACACCAAGAGACAAAATAATATAGATGACATCAGATTCATGTTGCATCGTATTAGAAAGAAGTGTCAAATAGTTTGTACTTGGCAGCAAGGACCAAGAAAATCTATCATTTCATACTAGAGATGGTGGGATTTGAGATTTGAGAGAAGGAGAATGGGGCTAACCAGCAGTGAAGAGTCCTAGAGGAGGACTAGAGTCCTCAAGGAAAAAAACTTCTTACATTAAAGTGTAAAGATGAGAGGAAAATTCAGAGAAGACAGAACTGTGTTGACAAAGGGAAACTAGAGATGAAAAGGAACAAAGGACAGGCAACTAACACTTTAGAGTCTCTTATGTTCGTTGACATAAAAAAAAGTGCCAGTATGAAATTAGCTCTATTCAAAATATAAAGCATGCACGTGAATGCAATAAGCCCATGTTCCATAGTGTAGTGAGTGTGGGAAATTCTCTCCTGTCTTCCAAAAGAGCCGAGAAAATTTAAAGAAACTGGCCATTATAGGTCTACCCATCCCCTTAGTATCTTCTCATCTTGTGCTAGAATGTTTAGGGGAAGGGATTGAACCCAGTGCATGAATGTAGATTAGACCCTATCTAAGAGTTAAGGAGGCTGACGCCAAGTGTCAGAGTAATCCATAACACATGCTGGAAAAGTTGAGACTTCCAGAAAGGCCAGTTCTATTTAAAAAAATACAAGAACAATCCATCCAACCACAATACAGCACTTATCTCAGAGCTAATTTTAACAGTGGGAAGACCAATAATTGTCATTCACACAGGCATCCCATCCAGCTCTACCCTGAGAGGAGGCAGTCTTTGTTTTCTGCTACTCTTAAAAGAGCTAGTGAAATCACTGGCCTTAAAATACCAGATAAAAATAATGTACTGGTAATGTTTTTCACTGGATAAAAATCATACTACTTGTAAACTAGTGAGGCCAAGTCAATCAATTACATCACTTCAATACTTTCATTCCAATAAGTTACTGCTTAGTTTTTATATCTTCATGTCCACCCTTATGCCTAGCATTATGTCTAAGCAACAAATCTACTACACAATGTTATTATTATTGTTAATATTATTTTAATAATAATTAATAATAATAATTATTATTATAGGTGCAGGCATTGGAAAGCAATGCTGAGGAAATTATGTTCCCCAGTCTCCAGATGCTTACAGTCTAGTAAGGAAGAGAAACAATAATAAAAGTATTGCATGTGTGATGTGTATTATGAGGTCAAAAATTTCCCAAAATATGTAATAAAAGAGCATAAATTGTAGCTACCTGCTTATTGAGGTTATGCAAAACTAATCTTTCAATTCCCAAGGGACTAATATTATATTCTTCACATATCTAGTATCATTCCATCAGAGAAATGATAAAGATTGTTATGCATCAGGAAAACCTTGAAGACACCAATTTCTCCAGAAAGGTTTCTTTACATCTGAGGTCTTAGAACCTATTTGAATTCTCACCACAAAACAGCATTAAAGTATCACAGCAGAACAGACAAAACTGAGACACACACCCCAGAGCATGTCTTTGCTCTCTGCACCCATGAGAAATTCCTGCATGTCCCAGTTCACCGTCTGCAAATGTGCCACTAGGCTGCTACTCCAAGACCAGACTATATACGTAGTATTGTATATCATTACAGATATACTCACTGCTACTTGGTGGCAAAAATAATCCATTGATATTTCGTGGTTTGCTGTGGTAAAAGATACAACTGATCTTCACACAACCAAGAGGTTGGGTTTCCCAGAAGCATGAAATGCTGCAGTTTTGCTGGGAAAAGGAAGTGGGGAGAAAAATACAATGTTTAAGTACTCACAATACGTGCAACTTGTTACAACACAATGCAATAAGAACAGCTTTAAATGGTGACTTACAATCATCTGTGGTTCCTACATTTTACAGCATCTAAGCTTTGCTATTTAAAAAATAAAAGTGTTCTTCCTTTTTATTTTCTACAAGTTTAGATTGAGCAAAGTGAAATACACTTAAAAGTTTTTTTTGGAGGAGGAAGGACTTTTACTTCCCTGTTTTGTTGTAAAACTTTAATTCAAGGATAGAGGAAGGAAGGTTCTTTTCATGAAAATAATCATTTTACCTGCATTTCCATGTGTCTAAATCTGCAAAGTGGGTCTAAACATTTTCTCTCTCGCCATAATGAGCACACAGTGTCACTGCCAAGGGCTTCTTCACAGTGTCGGAATCGGCACTGGGAACCCTAAGAAACAAACAGTGCACAAGACACAATATATTGTTAGTGCTTAATAACAATGTATTAACCATTGTGTCTATGAAATCAGAATCATGAAAACATACACTATCAATGCAGATCTGTAAAGACTAAATTGTAGCTACTCTCTTTAGTGAGAAAATGATAAGAAAAGGTAATGATCAAATAGTACAACATACCATATCTTAACTCACCACAAGTTACTCTCAAAATGCTGCCCTTTGTATCCAGTTAGCCCACAGAATTCACTAAAAGCAAAGCAGTGAGAGTAGAGACTCCTTTGATTACAATGCAACAATAAGGAGGGTTTATTTCTCTTTCTGGGGAAAGCGTACAAGTATCTATGAAGTGCTAACCCCATTCTGCATGTGAAGATAGTCTCTACCAACCACTACGTCAATAGTTTGTCTTCATAAGTCAAGAACATAAAACATGTATGTTATGTGTGATGTGAAAATTAGTTCAGATTTCACAGTATCACACAGTTGAGGTTCTACTTTCTGTGTCGATATCAACACAGCTTGCAGCAAATCCACAGGAAGTGGTATTTTTATGTAATAACCAAAGTAGATGTAGATTATGTCAATAGTATACTATCACTTGATTTTTGAATTCTACATTCTTTTATGAATGTATCCACAGTTGGATAAACTGTTGTCCACTGTCTTGTATACAGGGAAATGTGAACAATAACAACATTCCATTGTATTCTTCCCTCTGACCTATACTCTGTCTTCTTCCTACATTGTTCTTCATTTCTTTCTCTTATAAGAAGGAATTTGTACTCTCAAAGCACAGGCTAATGAGAAGTAAGTTTGAATTCAGGCAAACTAGTGAAGCCTGGCTTCACTACTTGTCAACAGCTACTCATCTTTTGTTTGTCTCGACACTTTAAAAAATAAAAGCACAGGATATTGTAATATACTGTGAGATGTCAGGTAAAGTATAATTGTTTCTAAGTTCTATCTAATCTTTGGAGATTATTATTCATCAATCACTTGGGGATACACAGAAACAAAACTCTCTGCCATTCTGGAAATAAAAAAGTCTGTCATCGAAGATCTCTTTGAAAGGTAACATGACAAAAGTGGGTTTAGTTCTTAAGGCCATCAAGTTGACTCCAGGATTCTAGCAGAGCTGAAAGATGCTTAACCAGAGAGAGCATCTTTTTTTTCTTGGTTCATTTGGGACATGAGCAACAAGTTTCTACATTTATTTGGTTTCATTAATATCCATTAATCACAATTCTATTTTCCCACTTAAGTTTACAAACTTCATGCCTTTGGTTGATTTGTTTGTTACACCCTATCTTCTTTTATGCTGTATTTAATTGTTGTATTCATACTTCTGACAGAAAAAAATGCAGTAAGTGTTCATTAATTTCCAATGAGGAAACAGATATTACAATATTGATAGTAGCCTGAATTCTATAATTTTATTATTTATGACTGAAATCACATTCGCTAAATATGATATAAATACCATTATATAGTGTATAGAATTAGGAATTTGAAGTCTGAATAAGAAATAACATATGCCAAAATGGTATATGAAAACTGGTATGAAGCTCACATATATTAAGAATAATTTTATACATATAATTTTATATACCAGATTTCCTCAGATAAATTCAGGATATCAAAAATAGGCTTTTACATCAGAGTTAAGGTATCTTTTTATTGCCATCTCTTCCTTCATTCTACTAAAAAGCTTAAGCATGTGTACTGTAAATTGCACAATATTTACCTTTATGCATGTGGAATTAACAAAGAAATAGCAGTCATTCCCAACTTCTGCCATTTTCAATCTCTTGCTGCTAATCCAATGATTTTTTTTTATAAATATGTACAAATTGCAGGAACACAAATATAAGAACTATCAGTGTGTAAAAGGGGAAAAACTTGTTCTTTTCCACAGTCTTTCAGGCTATCAGTAGTATTCCTTTAAAACTGACCTCCTGTTGACAGTATATTACACAATAGATAATTCTTAAATAAATTTAAATTAGAAGATACCTTCTCTAGCTTTGCAGAAATGTTGAAAGTGGTTACTAGCAATCACACAAACTCAGACTTCCAGAATCTTCCTCATTGTTACATAAGCCATTGTTTGCTCATCATAAATGACCTCACATGCAACTGTAGGCTACTTCACCTAGGTGCATATTTTCCTCATCCAATATATATCAAGCATACTAAAACATTTATAAATTTAACACTGTCTTTTATCTTTCAGTGTTCTAATTAAAGGAGAAACACAAATTCCTATTTTCAAAATTGAATTTGGCAAGTATTTCACAAGGAAGTAGCTATTTCTAGATGCGGTTTGGAAAAGGAACTAAGGTAAATATGCTGTCTATATTCTAAGGAAATAGATAATGACTTAATTATGTACCTGGTGCTATACACTGACTTTTGGATAACCGTATACACATATCATTACATAGTAATAAATGTACAGGAAAATAAGGGGAAGTACCTATTCATCCAGTAGCTTTAATCCATTTCCATCCATCATAAAAGAAGAATTATAGTCATTCAGTTACAGAGGACTCCAGCCTGCTTGAAAACTGGCAGAATTTTTTGAGGAATTTTAAACTCTGATTCCCAGAGCGAGGCATCTCAGTGAGTTTTTAAGGTCTTCATCCTAGCACCTTTCCTATAAGAACCAGACCCTAGCGGAAATGAGGAATATTCATCCTAGGGCAGCCAGAATTTGGTGGAGGGGACTGAGCTCACAGTATCAAAGCAAATTTTTTAAATTGCTGCAAACTTTTAATTTAAATCTCAGCTGATCAAGACAGCATGGATTTCTACTTTAAGTAAAACAGGGTCAACTGCCATGAATTTTTTGTATCCATAGTAAAGAGTAATAATCTAGGAAATGAAGCTAAATTTAGAAACAATGTTAGTTTTTCTAAAAATTTAATTAAAGAATGTTAGTTCACTTGTTACTGAAAGCAGGGAGGCAGTGTTAGAAGTAATGGAGCAGGTAAAGATTTGGCAAAGCACTTGAACTCATTGATGAATATGTAAATGTAAGTCGTGCCTTCTGATTTGCCCTTCTCTCTAGCTCTGCTAGAAACACCTCTAAGAAGTATCTTCAGGCAAGCTCCCACCTATCTCCTCCCGATGGACTCCCTGATTAAGGGTGAAGTATCACAAGACTGCTTTCAAATTCTATTATCAAACACTATTACTTCTGAATTAAGTGATTTCACATAGGGAAAGAGCTGAAAAAAATGCTTTTACCTTTTCACAGCTGATGAGTAGCCCACATTTCAGTAGACATAGTAAAACCAGTTCAAAATCACAAAGGTATTATTTTAAAAAATCCTTCATTGTGTAACATATTAGATGGGTACCTTCTGTTAGTCTTTAGAATATCCAGAACATTTCATTTTCCATTTTCAGTTTCTTTCATTTTCCTATCACTTATTTTTTCTTTTTGTTTTCACCTCACTTTTTTCTTTCTTTCTTTCTTTTTTTTTTTTTTTTTTGACTCCCTGTAATGAAAAGTGACAGAAAATTTGTGTTCGAAGACAGAGCCAAAATTCTGTATTGTCTTGACCAGTATAGATTCACACAGAGAGTTTCTTCTTGGTGTGTACTAGTTTGGTAACACACCAGACCAAAAACATTCTTTCAGTTTATTATTATCCTGTAGCACCACTCTAAGCACAGTGGCCAGGAGCCCTCTACCAGCTCCGTACGGGAATCAGGTGAAGCTGATGGCTGCCATCCTTTAGAGAAGGGACACTGTTTTCAGCCATAACCTTCTCCTGTGATGTTCTCCTGCTGTGGACTCCTCTGTTTCTGTTGGAAGGCTTTCTCCAGGCATTGAAGAAACCAAAATATTGCTCCTGGTCCTTCCAGAGAGAGGCTTAGAGTAAGTGGAATGTTTTTGGAAGATTATCTTTTCTAAGAAATGGCAGAATGTTGGATCTAGAATATTCTGTGGCAGTTTGGGAAATGACAGTTGAGAGTTTTAAAGGTCATTTAATTGTCTGAGACACACAAGACAAGCTGCTGCTTTGGATTCCTCTAGAGGCTCAAAGATGGTACCAACACTTAACTTTAGAATAACAATAAGTTTCTGGTTTCAGTACAGAGCCAGAAACACACTGGTACACTCTCAACACCCCAGTCCTTCAGTGCCTTTTGTTTTGTGTAAAATGTTTGTTCACCTATGAAAAAAAATAGGCACCAGAAGAGAAAGATTGTAAAACTACCAAGTTCTTCCTTCCTTCCGAATCTAGCAATCACAAAACTATGAACTTGTTTTTCAGAATATTTTATTCTTTGAGAGTCCCCTGATATATATATACATATACATATATATATATATGTATATATAATATATATATGCTTCGAAGTGAAAGTTATTTTTTCCAAGAGCTGAAGTAAAATACTAGGCAGTTGGATATGATGATAAGACATTAATAAAAATATAAATTGGAATAATAAAATAATTACAAAAATATAAATTAGTTTTTCCAATTATCTAAGATTTTAAGGTCAAATATATGTCTACTACTAGAATATGTTTCTTATTCAAGCATTCATTTTATTATTTCCATCTAATGTTATTTTGGACAGTAAGTGAAACTATTTCAACTCAAGTCCTTTGTTGCATTCCCAGGAAAAAAAATTGACAATGTTGTTTGTTGATATTTCTATGGTTTTGGATTTGTCTAAATTTAGTTTCACTGGAAAGGACACGGAGAACCAAATTATACACTATGTGGCGATTAATTAAAACAGAAACTAAAACAAACAAACAAACAAAACAAAACAAACAAAACAGTTGTTAATTGTAGTTTTTTGTTTCGTTGTTTTAATGTTTTTTCGGGGAATTCGGGTTTTCTATCTGAACATTAGGAAATGTTCGAAAATTCTTCCTAAATTTCTGTGGTTTCCAGATTTAAGAGAACAAGCAGGTAGGGGAGTTTCAGTAGGAACGCGCTAAATTGCAGCCTAAGTGATTCGATTCATCACTTACAACCTGACATTAATTTCCCATAATATCGCAGTTACTTTGTCGCAGCTATGTAAGCAACATTTTTTTTTTTTTTTTTTTTTTTGGTTATCAAAACGTAGGGAATAGCATGTGGAGGCGCAGGCTCTGTAGCCTCACAGCTGCACTACAACTCCCGGAATGCACCACGACTAGACGGTCGCTTCCGGTGGTGCGTCCCCGCCCCTGGATGGGGTGGGCTTTGCGGGCGCTGTTTGGATCGTCGGGCTGGACAGTGTAGCGTTCTCCCTGGAGGCTGCTGCACAACTTCCTACGCCCGGACCCGGCGCAGAGGGACAGGTTGCTCGTGGGCGCGATGAGCCGCCTGGGCTCGGTGCAGCGGAAGATGCCGTGCGTGTTTGTGACGGAAGTGAAAGCTGAACCCTCGGCCAAGCGGGAGCATCAGGTACCCGGCCGGGTGAGCTGCCAGAAGGCTCCTCCAGCGCTGCGCTGCGCTGCGTCCCGGGAACCCCGCAGGTTTTACCGGGGAGGTTTGGGCGAAGTTCCCATGTACCCCGACCTTCAGCTCTTTGGATTTTCTTAGTTTTAAGGAGCGTTGTGGGAGATTCCGTTTTAATTTTCTTTTCCCTGATTGGGTGATTCAAACATGATCTGGCAGGTCTGAAAACCCATGTCGCACCTGGGTAATGAAGCATCATGGCAGTCTAACTTGGACCGACTGTCGATCTAGAGGCTGATGGGAAGGCATTGTTTGCCTGTTGTGTCCCAGGAACCCATGGCAGTGGTGACAGCTAGCCTAACTAGGTCACACAGATCACACCTCGTGTAATTTCGTGTAAATTCTAACTTTTGGGTTCCCACCCCAAGGTTTCCTAGTCGTCTTGTTTGCACCTAGTGAGCCTTTAGTGAAAGCAAGTGTATGGCTATATAGGTAGCTTCTATCTGTGTGGTTCATATACGTGGCAAAGTTACTAACCTCTCAACTCAGGATCCGCGTGTGCATCTGAAATGAATTCCACTCTTTCAACACTACCACCGTACCACTGACCCCTCTGGTCTTTTCGTTTTTCTTTTTCTTTTTTACTTCATACCAAATAAGAGATTTCCATGTGGGATTTTCATGCATAATTTTGGTTGTTACTTCTCCATCTCAACAGGCTTTACCGTCTTCCTGAGCTTGAAACCTCCCGCTCCGAGAATCCTTTGCCTTTTTTGTGCTCTATTATTCCCCCTCCTAAGAGCCTCATTTTTCTTTTCTCATGGGCCTCTTTATTGCCTTTTAGATTAAGTGGCCTTTAACACACAGAAGCTCCGATATCTTTTCGTCCCACTGCTAGAACTTGACACATGAATTAATATTTGTTGGATACAGTAAGGACCCCGAGTGTCTCTGTACCAGTTTTCCATCAACCTTGATTTTTTTTTTACATTTTACTTTTAACGTCTTTTCGTATTCCTTTCTACTGCAATCGTTATTACACTTAAAACTTCACGATGTTGTTTTTGTACTTCTTAATGGCTGTACCTGCCACCCAGGAGTGTCACAGTATTTTTTCTTGTAAAGCCCCAAGACTAGTTCTCAGTGTCTGTATTGCTGGCTATTTAGAACAGAGATAATAAATCCAAGAACTATTAAACATTATCATCCTTGATAATAGTTCATTTTAATCATGACTCCCAGCTTTGTATATTGAGGGGAGGAAGTAATTTTAAAAGTGCTGTGTACTAGAAGACAAAACAAAACAAAAAACCCTCTGATCTCTTTGCAACTGAAACTATCTTATAGTAATGTTTGCAGCATAGTGTCCAAAAAATTAAATTCTAATGTCTCTCATTAGGTGAGGCCAATTTATTTTAAAGTCTCAATGTGGAGTTCTTGTTTGTGCAACATCCTGTCATCCCATGAACAAGTCAAGAAGACTCATTAATGCTTTTCTCGGGCTGTCCATTCTGTTTGACTCACTTCTAGAGTTTTTCAGTAGATCCTAATAAAATTTGATGAGCTTAGCCTTCCCAGTCATTAGCTCTCCCAAGAAACTGCATACCGCCCAGTTGCTCTTCATTGCCTATTTTTCTCTCGAGTTTGGTCTCTGGGAAAGGATAAGTTCTTCTGCCCTTCAAAGTCTTGTGTTATCTTTTGACCATGTAACTAGCAAACCATGGTAGAGAATGATCTCCAAGGCAGAACAGTTTACAGTCATCAAAATCTCATTGGGGATAGTAATCCTCCTTGCAGTTTTGCAAATTTAAAGACACACACACACAAAGACACGCACGCACGTATGCACGCACCTGATATTAGACTAACAGTTTGCCACTGTTTGTCAGCATTATACTTCCTGGTACCTGTGTCATAAATGGACAACAGATTGATCTTAAACTAGTATATCATGGACCTTGGAGATGGCTTAGTTGGTAGAGTTTGTGCTACACAGGCATGAGAACTGAGTTCTGATCCCCACCACCCACATGTCTGTAATCTCAGGGCTATATAGAGCTGAGGTGCAGGAGAGCCCTAGAGCTTACCTTCCCAAACCACTAAGTTCTAAGTTCAGCGAGAGACCATCTTAGAAAGTAACGTGGATAATCGAGGACACCCAGTGACCTCTGGTTTCCACATGTACTCAAACAGGCATGAACTAACACATGTTCACACAAATATACATATATGTACCTCACACAAAGTAGTAAATCAGTAACAGAATGACTATAGTATCCTAGCATAAACTTTTCTCAGAAGTAAAAATTATAGCTAAAAAGTTGTATAAATCTCAGAAATGGTCTTTTCTTCCATCCCAATGCTTTACTTTCTTCTTGAGAGTAGCAAAGTCATGAATGAAATTTATTTTTTTTAATTTATTTTTTTTTAGAATTGGCCCAGGAGTTTTTTAATTAAATTTTTCCTTTTTTACATTAATTATATTTTATTTACTTTGCATCCCAGCTGTAGCCTCCTCCCTCATTCCCTCCCAGTCCCACCATCCCTCTGTCATCTCCTCCCTGCCCTTCTCTAAGTCCACTGATAGGGAAGGTCCTCTTCCCCTTCCGTCTGACTCTAGCTTCTCAGGTCTCATCAGGACTGGCTGCAATGTCCTCCCCATCCCCCCCCCCCCCCCCCGACTCTTCCCTACACCCCTCCCTGAGGTAGAAGCAGCCTTGCCAGGCCACAGAGGAGGACATTGCAGCCCAGCAGTTTTAAATATCATGAATGAAATTTATAAACAACTAATTGTGGGTAAATATGGAAGGAACAAGAAGTGAATACTTGGAAAGCAAACAAAATTGAAAAGAAAGAGTAGGCAAGTGATTGTTGGTGGTTTTTAAGCATGAAAACTGGGAGGGATAGAAATAGAAAGCGAAGTCGGCCCCAGATGCTCAGTGTGCATTGTGCAAAGAACAGACCTGGAGTAGCGCTGCATCCCCGGAGTGTTTCAGTGCAAGGATGGGCCACTTTGATCATCAGGGGTGGATTTACCATAATTGTGCTTGGAAGTCTCACAGGGGACGCAATGACAGTGAGTGTCGTTTCTTTAAAGTTGGCCTAATCCTGGAAAAAGCATTTCATAAAAAGATTCCCTCACTTAGTTGAATGGGTAACCACAGAGATTCTTAGAGGAACAAGATAGTGAGACTTCAGTCACTGCAAGTTCCTGCTGCTGCCTGACTTCCCTGCCTGATGGGCTGTATCTTGAATCCTAAGCCACAACAGCCCCTTCATTCCTTAAATTGCTTTTTCCAGAAAAGAGAAGAGTAACTAATATACAGCCTCTATATATTTAATTAAATTCAAGTATCTTTATCTAAAAAAAAAAAAAGATAGTGAGACTTCAGAGAAAACTTAGAAAGTAAAAGACTTTCACAAGATTGCGTAGGAATATCTGGTAAATGTGAGGAAAATTATTCTCCAAGAGAAGTTAAATATATGAGACTTGTTTTTATAAAGGCAGTTTTCCTTCTCGGAGATTTTAAACTAAGAACTTGAAAACCACAGTAGATGCAACTTTGTCATATTGTTAATGATAAGAAACTTCTGTTTTTGGCAGATGCTGTATTTTCTCAGAAGACTTGTTGAGCTTTATAATTCAGCCAGATGTCTTTACCATTTAAAAGCAGAATTAAGGATAAACTGGCTCTGGGAATTAAGATCTCTGTTTGGTGGCTGGCAGGTGTGTGTGTGTGTGTGTGTGTGTGTGTGTGTGTGTGTGTTTGTGTGTGTGTGTGCGTGGTTGTGTATGTACAATCATGCGTGCTTGTGTATCTGATGGCCAGAGGTCTATTTCCTCAATTATGCTCCTTTTTCAAAATTTTTTTCATTTATTTGTTGTGTGTGTGTGTGTGTATGTAGGGACATGTGGAAGTCAGAAGACAATTTTGATTTTTATTTTTTAATTTTTTTTTTTTTCAGTCAGTGCTCTCCTTCTACCATCTTTGTCCAAAATCTTAAAAACTCAGGTTAGGCTTGATGGCAAACACCTATTTGCTGAGCCATCTCATTAGCTCCCACCTTGTTTTCAGACATGGTCTCTCACTGGACCTACAGTTTACTGATTGGTTAGACTGAGTGGCCAGCACATGCCAAGAATCTCATGTATCCACCTCTGCCTTTTGTATGTCACGTCAGGCTTTTAACAATTTTTAAATACGGGTTTTGGGTTTGGGGAATCAGAACTCAAGTCCTTGTGCTTGCACAAGTCCTTTACCTACTTGAGGTATCTGCCTCGTTCCTTGTGATTGGTTTTGTACGTTAGCAACTTAAGTATCAAGCTTAGAGTCTCACACATGCTAGGGATATGCTTTTCCACTGAGCTACATCCCTGTGCCTTAACGTGATTCTTAAATCTGTGATGTGAAGTTTGATCTCAGTTGATCAGAGATGACATGTTAAGAAAAGAGAAATGTAATGTTCTATCATGTAGTTGAGGAAATTCATAAGAAGGGTACATTCATGAAGGACTTTGCCTTTGCCTTTTTAAATAACTTGTGAATTTTAGAAATTGCTGTTTCTGTTTTAAGGGAAGGGATATTGAAAAGACTAGAATTATGCCAAAAGCTTCTTAGTGATATATATCTTTGTGACATCTTTGTGATGAGATCATTGATGACTTCTTGTTTATACTTTTATATATTTTAACTTTACATGTTTTCTATGGTAAACATGTGGATTTCAGCTTTGCAAGAAAGTCTTTCAAAAACTTAAAATACGAGTCATCTTTATTGTCTCGTTTTCTGAAAATGTGGCCTGAGACAGAGGACATCCCTAGACTCCTACTACAACTAAGAACAAAGCATGATTAAAAAAAAAAACAAAAAAAACCCTTTGTAAATATATCATCTTTGAACAGTAGACTTAATTTTGGAGTGTGGCGAATTATGATTGGTGAATACATGTGTTGAAACAGCAGGAAAAACCCTCTGGAATTAAGGAAGCGTGTGATCTACTTTACCTGTACTTAGTCCCGAACACACGTGCTGACTTGCATTCTTCAGACACAAGAACGTGCTGACTGTGCGCCTTTCCTCCCCACATAGCAAATCTCCTCAGAAGTTGTTCCTGCCACAGTGGACTCCATGTATCAGTCTTCTGTCCTTTTCCTCTTTAGAACTCCTTGCTGTCATACTCCTCTCAAGTGTAAGTTTCACTAAAGCTGGGCACTTCTTTGTCCACCCTTCTCTGTATTACCAGTGTCAAGAACAATGCTTACTGTAGTGCATAATCACAAACAATGGGATTATTCATTTTGAGCCTGTGCTGAGGGTGCAACATAGAATAAGGCAGCATTCCTGCTTTTGTTGTGGTGGATGAGAAGCATATAAATACTCAACAGTCTGTGTGGAAGTTAAATTTTACTGAGAACACGCTAAAAAGAGTAGGTGAGCTGGTATGGTAGGACAGGAGGGGAATCCCAGAACTAGAGGCTATAGGAAAAGATCATGAATTCTAGGTCAGTCTGGACTACAGAATGGGACATAGGCAGGCATTTTTTAAAACGTGCAAATCATTCAGGATACTTCATAAAATAAATTCCTTCAAATTTTCTTGCAGAACGGAAAGGAGACAGAGCTTCAGAACTAATGAAATTAGGCATAATTCAGGTGAGCCTGTGTAATGAAGACCGAGGCTGTGTATCTCACACGAGTTTGTTGTTTTTTTTTCTCTCTTTTAAGCCATTTAAAGTTTTGGCAACTGAAACTCTAAGTGAAAAGGCGTTAGATGCAGATGTATACAATGCAATTGCAACAGAAAAAGTGGATGGAACATGTTGTTATGTTACTAACTACAAAGGTAAAAATACAACTATCATGTTTACTAAAAGTATTATCTTAATCATGTATAAATCTTGTAACACCTAAGATGGATATTTATCTTAACTCTTGAAAACTTAACTATAGTAGTTGAATAAAAAAAATCACAGTCATTATATTTACTTTTCTTGGGGGATGAAAGATGTGTGCTTAACTTGATACCCATGAAAGGACAGGTAGCCTGATAAACAGGTCTTATATGGACCCTCATTTGCAGGGTAAGCCTTTCTGTGTCACTGATGAGGAAAGTGAGTCTCAGCCAGGTTCATGATTTCTCAAAGACCATTCAGTTACTGAATGGCTGAACAGTAAAGGAACCTGATTTTGTCCAACTCTGAACCTTGCTCGCATTGCAGCATCCTAGTGCTATTTCCAGTGTTTTTATTACCTTCGACCAGGTGTCTGATCAGTTACATCCTTTAAATAAAAGCCCACATTGATAATACTAAGGGGAAAAGGTACACTGAAAAGAGAGAACTGTTGTTTGTAATTACTAATGGATGGTGAAATTAACTCTGTTCCTGTCACAAGAATGTAAATGAATGAGCTAGATACATTCCTTGGTGTCAAGGAATGTTCTCAAATGCACTTTAAACTTTCTTCAACTGTGAAAAGTAAGATACACATAAAAATTTGCTGTCGTCATGTACTTTAAAATGGTGTGTAACTCAGTGCATTGAGGACATTTACATGGTTGTACCATCACCACCATTCACCTCCAGAATATGACATCTTCTAGAACTAAAACCGCTTGTAGGGCTCCCTCGCCCACCTCCCCTCCCCAGGCCTCTTATCCCATTCCACTTTGTCTCTCTTAATTTGCCTCTTTGTGGCTGGCTCACTCTTAGTCCATATTGGATGATATCAGATCACATACATTTCTATGATTGCTTAATATATACATATCACATCTTGTTCAATTCAGGCACTGATGGGCATGTGGGTTGCTCCAACTTTGAAGCCATTGTGGATAACGCAACTAATAATGCTAAATTAGTCTCCTGAAGTACTACCTTCAGGTTTTGGGGTATGAACCTATACGTGGGATTAATGGATCATATGTTAATTCTAATTTAGAAAATTTGAGTACCCGTCATTCATTTTCCATAATGGTTACACTAGAAGTTCTTGCTTCTAGATATTTAGTTTTTCCATATTCTTTCTAGGACGACTACTAGTATTACTACTACTGTTGTTATTATTATTGGTGATAGTAGCCATCCTAATGAAATGAGTGAAATGTATTTTTGTATGTTTAGAAGTAAAAACAAAAAGTCCATTCAACCAGAAACTGTAATTTTAATATAGTTCTTTATCTTATGTGTATGCATAGCTAGTAATAGTATTGTAATAATAACTATATTTATGAACCTCTGATCTTCATATTTAGTATTTCTCGGGCTCTTATATTTATATGTATGATGTGCATGATGGGAAAAATTAAGTGTTTGGAGTTTTTATGCTCAAGAATGCTCACAGAACCAAAGATGAGAAATGGATAAATACATAATAAAATAAGGATATCAGAAGTAAGACTGTCACAGAACAGCAGGTGTGGAGCTGCCAGGGACAATCTGTATTTTGTTCTGTTTTATAGCCGCAGCAGGATACATTTCTCTCAGAGTAGGAACCACTAATGTGCTCAGGTAACACTTCAGAATCAGGAACTTGAAGTGGAGTCTTAGTTGTGGAATTTTCTGGTTTTGTTTGTCACATGGGGATCTTCCAAGCTAAGTAGTAAGCAGGGGCAAAAGCAAGCTCTCCAGGATTCTCAGTGAAACCTGTGTCACTGTTAGCAATAAGGAGTACTGGCATAGTGCCCCCAGACTCCTCACACCGGGGCTTACAAAGCAACCCCCTTCATCAGTGTGCCTAAAGACTTAGCCATGTCAGGCGGGTCGACTTGATGCTGTGTCTGCCAGAATTAACCCCACAGTGCAGTGTAACGTTCAGGGGAGCGTGTGAACACAAACACCTGGTTCTGCTCTCACTTGGAGAATTTAGGAAGGGACATGGGGTATTCTGATAGGAGGGTCATGCATTTTTCTCACTCCTCATTAAACAGAGGAATTGCAGCCTTTCACTTACTGGAATCATGACCCAGTGCTGTGCATCTTGGATTGTGTAGTTCCTTTGTCTTTCAGGGCTGTTGGTTTTCTTACAGAGAAGACCCCCCCCTTTTTTTTTTTAACACTGAAATGTCTTTGAAGATGAATTTTGTTTCCTCTTGAATTTTTCTTTTATTGCTACATTTTTAGGTAAGCCCTATCTTTGGGCTCGACTGGATAGAAAACCTAACAAGCAAGCTGAGAAAAGATTTAAAAAAATTCTACATTCCAAAGAAAGGTCAAAAGGTTAGTGGGTTTTTAACTTTTCATATTAAAAATTTGAAATTTGTGGCTTATTGCTATGGTTCTTCTGTGTTTAACCATCTTGAATTTCCATCCTGACATATATATTCTGTGAATAAAAAAATTGACAGCACCCTGACAGTCAGGTGGGCAGACAGGGATACACAGACATACACACACGATTACTAAAAAAAAACAATCTATTTTATTTAAATATACAGTATTATATGTTCTTATTTGATTTTTATATTTTTCTAAGTCATGTTATGAATATAAGAGAATAATTTTTATTATTGTACTGATCACTATGTATTGCATATGTATTTATTACCTACCTATACTCACTTTTATCCATATATAGTACTAGGTAGCAAGTTCATTAAAACTCATAAATCCCCACAGAATGCTGGCTACTTTAAACTACAGTGTGTATAATTTGCAGTATATTGAAGGCTGAATATTTACAGTGTTGGTTCCCTAACTTGGAAAGTAGTCACGTGGCAGTGATAATAGAGGACCTGTCACACCTGAGAGTGATGTTGTATTTGCTACTTCCACTTCGTCTGCTTCATATTTCACATCTTAAAGCAACAGCATCAAGTGTTTAACTACTCTTTGTAGAGTTTCTTTGGAACACTGAGGAAGATTTCAAGCCTGTCCCAGAGTCCTGGATACCAGCAAAGGAAATAGAAAAACAGAATGGGAAGCCAATACCTGATGAAAACGGACACATTCCTGGTATCATATAGTCTCCCAAATATGTTTTGTGTTTAGTATAAGAAACAAACAAAAAAAAGATCCAATCCAAAATTTGTTTTAATCTAGATCTTCATTTTATTTATTTTTACAGTACAAAATTTCTAGTTTATTGACAAGTGTAACAGTTTATATTAAAAATGAAGGAAAGAATGGCCTTTCAGGTTTTAATTTTTCTAAAGAATGCACATATTTTATGAGATTTTGGTCAGCGTGGCTTGTTTCTTTATTTGTAGCAAGATTTCCATATTGAAGGAGCTTATTCTAGCAATAAAAGTAAATACAGTAACAACAAACAGAAAATCAGTAAACTGTTCAGCATGATTGGAACAATAGTGTAAACTGTGGAGCACCTAATGTATCTATTTGTTGTCTTTGACACTGGAAGGGCGCTAGAAAGAAAACTCACTATTATTATTATTATGTGAAAGAGGTTTATTGCATGGAGATGGAGAGAGAGAGAAAGAGAGAAACATGATGGGGGGGAGGGGAGCGAAAGCAAGAGACTCACTTTATTAAATGAGAAAAGTTTTGACAATACCAGGCAGTTAGAAAAGATGCTAAAATAAATTAAAAAAAAATAATGCTCAGTATAGTTTTCAGTTGCTCCTGAACCAAGATGATTTTTTAAAGAATATGTTTAATTCATGTTACTAACCAAAAGGATAAACAAGTAAATGAATCCTTTGTGATTATCAAGAAAAACAGTAAAATTGTTAACTTTCCCACTGATTTTAAGTGGCTGTATGGTAGGGAATCTAGAAATTAAGAGATATTTATAACCAAAAAATAAAAAATTAAAAAGCCTGTATCTTTTAATAGAACCAATGTGATGAGAATCATTTTTTCTTCAATAACAGGTTGGGTGCCAGTAGAAAAGAGCAGCAAGCAATATTGCTGGCACTCGTCTGTAGTGGATTATGAATCTGGGATTGCCCTGGTACTAAGGCACCATGCTGATGACCCTGCACTTTTGGAAATTAGTGCCGTGCCTTTGTCAGAGCTTTTAGAACAAACCCTGGAACTGATAGGAACAAATATCAACGGAAACCCATACGGTAAGGGAAGGTGTTTTATAAAGAGATGTCCTACTCTCAGATTGAGAAACATACTGTGGAGGTAATAAATGCATTTGTGTCCATTTCCTAGAGCACACCCGTTTCTGAAAATCTTATGTTCATGGAAAAAGTGATACATGGAAAATAATTTTGATTTATTATTGCAAATGCTGGCATTACCCTATTATCCTTCCTTGTGCATGAAAAGTAATTACTGAGCTGCAGCTTTTCTTATAAGTTTTAACAATTTTAGGTAAATTAGTTGAGTGAAAATGCACTGTTCCCTGTTAGGTCATTAACAAACACAGAGTAGAGTAAAAATTGGCAATAGATACTATATAAACCATCAGAACATGTACCATAATGAATTGAGTAAATCAGTGGCATTCTGGGGTACAAAGCTGAAAGGAGAATCATAAAATAAAATAAAGACACTAAAACTGTAATAACAATTCTAAAGAGATCAAAAGCAGATTGAAGGTGTCAGGAGGTGGCCCAGTCCATAAGAGTTTGGTTCCTAATGCCCCATTAAAAGCTGGGCACAGTGGTGCATGCCTCTAGTCCAGGAGCTAGAGAGGTATAGGTAGGAAGCTCTCTGGGCCTCACAGAGAAGACAGTGAATCACGGAGCTTCAAGTACAGTGAAACACCCTTTTTCAAAATAGGTGGAAAGCAAGTGAATATATTCAGTGTTGACCTACTATCTCACAGTGTAGTGTATAGACAAGCACACACCTATATTCCACAGAACCGTATGTAAACCCAGATTTCAGTAGGCTTGATTGATGGGTAGTAAGATACAGGATCAAAGATATTAGGTAAACTGAATAAAAGCAGAATGTAGCTAATGATATAACACGTGCTAACAATTCTGTTTTGTAAAAAAATGTTTGCTAGCCAGTATTTTAAACTTTATTAACTGTATCTTTGAAATGGGCTATCAGTAAAACTTAATAAATAAGGCTGCATCCTATTGAAACTATGTTTACAAATAGGTGTCTGTCTGGACTTGGTCTACAGGTCGGTTTGCTGGCTCCCCACGTAGACAGTACATGAACACGGAATTTAGAGTTGTTTTTAAAAGAAGTCCCACACTTGAGTAGAAAAGGACAATGTACTTGGATTATTCTGTATAGGAAATTTTGTTAACATTATTCCTGAATGTTTAGACATTTATACATTTGGGGAAACACATTTTATCCGTCTTTCTGAAAAGAATATAATTGAAAATTTTTAATGGCAAGTTTTATCATTTAGGACTAGGAAGCAAAAAATACCCATTACATTGTCTTACACCACATGGAGCATTCCAAGTCAGAAATCTGCCTACACTGAAACATGATGACCTGCTGTCCTGGTTTGAAGACTGCAGAGAGGGTAAAATTGAAGGGATTGTATGGCATTGCGGTGATGGCTGTTTAATTAAGGTAATGACAAAAACAGCTTAAATTAGATTTTGTTCTTAAAGATGTAACACTCCGATTCTCTGTACAGATTGCATTAAATCTGGCATGCAGTTAGTATAATTCCATTAAATTTCATATGCCATCATTCTTACAGGCTAAAACAGAGTCAGTTTTATGGAAAGTGTCAGACTGATACACAGTCAGTGTTGGGCTGGGCATTGGCTAGTCCAGATGTGCTTCCGAGTTCATTTGCTGATATGTTACCTTCCTTGGGCTTCATGTAGCATATGGAGTTCCCTGTGCATTTTTGCAGGCAGCTTCCAGATCCCTGGGGGTAGAATCTTCTCTCCAGCTGTTGTTAGTGCTCATGGAACTGTGCAGGTAGTTTTGGGGAACTTCAAAGTTTTAGGGAACTTCCTGAGATTAGTGACATATGTTTACTTCCTGAGTCTTTAAAAAGGGAGCTCTAGAGAGGATGTTTTCATGTGGAGGAAATAGCTACACAACAATGTCTTAACCAACCATTCCGCCACAAATATTCTCCTTGGCAACTCTAGAACCTGGCTCACATTTGTGCTGTTTTTTTTTTGTTGTTGTTGTTTCCAAAACCCTGTGTTCACCAACAGACTCTATTTTCATTAAATTTTGGAGGAGCCCCTGATTATGCTATTGGCAATTTTCAGGACTGGCAGAATTATTAAAACAATTTCTCTGCCGGCAGAATTATCAAGACAGTTTCTCTGCCTTCCGGAAGCTCATCTTCTAATGGGGAAGACACACAGCACTATGTCAAAATAACAGCTATGACATTTAATTAAACTAAGAATAGGAAAAGGTAGACCTTCCCATTGTGCCTGGGAGGTACCATGTATTTACAAGTAAGTTGTTATTTCCAGACTAACGCTAACACCATTTTTTCTCCTTACAGGTCCATCGCCACCATCTTGGTCTGTGCTGGCCACTTGCTGATACTTACATGAATTCCAAGCCAGTTGTTATTAACATGAACCTGAACAAATATGACTTTGCCTTTGATAATGAGTGCTTGTTTAGTCGGTTTTCAAAAATAGATAAACAGAAATTTGCTAGGCTCAAAGATATAATACTTGATGTATAAAAAGGGAATATAGTTAGGATTATTCTGATTTTCCAATATTGAACAGTCTGACATGTTTACAGAGGTTAAAAGCTTCAATTTAATTTTGCTAGCTATTTGGAAAAACATATGTCATAAATTCTAAACACTTATGTGTCTAGGTATTTATAGAAATCATAGCTAGGATTTGACTATCTTGACACAATAAGTATAAAATAATCACAATAGTAAAATTATTACAAGTTTACCTTTATGCTTTTAGAAATTTTAAGACATGAAAATAGGAATATTTATCATAGCTCATTATGCACTGTATGATCATAAATTATTGAAATCTTCAAAAATATATTTTCTACCAAGTTAAAACTAAATATTTTATTTTTAAGCAAAAATACAATATTTTGAGATGTGAATTCTCTAGTTCATAGTCTGCTTGATTTCCAGCTAAAACTTTTTGTCATAAAAGTTTTAAATCTACAGTTAAATGAGGCCTTTACTAAATAGGGAAACTGATAGGGCTTTCTCCATCTTCTGACTGTTGAGAAGCAGCAATGGGGCTCGGTAATTCAAATCCAAACTGTTCAGAAAGTTTTTGTAGCTTCTCTTCTAATAGAATATTTTTTTTTACTTCTTCCTTATAATTGTACTTCAGGTCTTCAATTTCTTCAAAAAATGAAGGATCAAAATTTTCCAGTTCTTTCTTCAGCTTAATAATTTCCTCCTGAAAGTTATATATAGGAAAACATGTTTTTGGTTTGAAATTTAGGACATTTGACTACTAACATGAACAATCAAATAACAGTAAAATATAAAGCAAAATATTTAAGATGTTTGTTAATAAAATTTCATTGTATCATATGAGTAATGTACCAACTGACATCTTGCACTAAATTATAAAATCAAATCTTTCTCTAAACTGCATCAGATATTCTCAAGCAAGCAAAAAGGACTTTGCTCTTCACAGCATTGAAGCTATTATCTTAAGAGTTTTCAGTATTTTGAAGCTATTATCTTAAGAGTTTTCAGTATTTTTTTTAAAGTTCTGATTTTTTTAATCTTTTATATATAATATTTATGATCATGGAAACTCTGGGACTTGCAGAAGTTAAGCACCTGGTGAAGATTCGGAATGTGAGTGCTAATGGCTTGTTCACACTACCCAGGGATGAGCAGCCAGTGCTCACTACCAGACTTGTGTTTCTCGAGTCTTAAGGTAGAGACCAGAAGTGTTTTAAGGAAAAGATCCCTGAAAATAATTTCAAAAAGTTCTTAGCACTTTTCTTAACTTTTCCAAACATGACCCACAAATTAAGAAAATAAAAAACTGTTGAGAGGTACATTTGTTAACAATTTAAAAATAAATTTATTCTCTAGTCCTTTCTATTTGTCTGCTGCTTTTTTTTTTTTTTTTTTTTTTCTGTTGCTAGCTACTGCTTAATAATGAGTCAGGCAATATATTTAGTAATATTAAGGTAAATGTGATGTAAATCCATGAATTTTTTGGTACATACTTAAAGATGGTCCAGATAATAAATAAAAAATGGTTTCTCAAAGCTATTTTCACAAAATACTGACCATGCTAAAGTTAGGTATAAATAAGAATTACCTTCAACTGTTGCTTTTCTAGGTCTGACTTTCTGAGCTGTGTCTCCAGGTCATTTATCTTTTCCTTTAGTTGATCAGAATCTGCCAAAATAGTCATGAAAATTATTTTTCTTTACTATGAATGAGTTAAAAATGAATAGACAGGAAACTTATGAAGCTGAGAGTCTGTAATCATCTGGCCCTGTGTGGCAGGAACACTTCTTAGGCATATTGTATGCTACCACAAGGAGGTATGGTCATCACACAGCAAGCAAACTGAGGGGTAGCTGCTAGGTATTAGAAATATGGGTTATTCTTTTTCATATGAGAGAAATTTTTTTGAGAGAAAAATCTTGCAACCAGTAAATTTGTTAGATAATAAATATACAAACAAAGGACTAAAATGATAAGCTGGTCATTTATGCCCTCACCCCAGACAGCTTTGTCTGTGGCATGTAGGGTTTTTTTGTACTATGTGTAGCACTTCTAAGACAAGTGTGTGTGTGTCACAGATGAAAGAGAACAGTCCTGATGGTCTGGTAGGAAATCAGCTGTTTAATGAGGAAATAAAAGCAAATTTTCACGATAAGGACAAGTGTGCAGCAGTGCTTTGGGTGGTCCTCTATAATTCAGAGACAAAGAACAAACAAGTCATAAAAAAAACCCTTCTCTCTTCATGTTACATACACATACACATTAGTCTGAATACTCCACATATGAAGACAAGATACAGTATTTGCTTTCCTGAGACTGGCCTACTATACTGATCAAGTGTAGTTACATTTTCAAATATATATATTTTTTACAAATATAATTTTACAGCTTAATAAAACTCTCCCCTATATATATGTATGTGGCACATTTTGTCAGTGCATTTGCTGATGAACACAGGCTGATTCTATAACCTGGCTACTGCAAATAGTAACCAAATAAACATGTATGCATATATTTGTTATTTTGTGCATAGTTCAGTGAGTTCTTTATTTGTTATACACACTGATGGTGAAATAATGCATCAAGAAATTACGTGTAACATATTCTGAAAGTTATTTAAAATGTCCTCATCTTAAAATGCTTATTTGGAAACCTCCAAAAAGGTTGGTTTTGTAGCAGAGTACTCTAAAATGTGACAGCTTTCTTTCCTCGCTTTACTTAAGACATAAACAATATAACGGCTTGGGTTTAGACAAAGTAGAGAACCGCCTAATGTCAACAGAATTACCAGATCTTTGGTACTGTGCTAAGAGTACACCAAGCTATCTCCTTACATTCACACATCAATTCCAGATAGTTGAATGCTGTTTTTATTTATCAAGAAACACAGTAGTACAGTGGTTAAGACCTGGCATGATGGCATGATAAGTTCTCAACTTTCATCAAATTAATGCTTAACTTTCCTATGCCACTTCCTAGTTATCCTGATCTTGAGGATATGTTATTAATCATTTATCAACTGTAAAATAAAACAATATTGATCCTATGGCATTTTAAGAAGAAAGCAAAGATTTTTGTAAAGCCCTTAGTATGGTGCCTGATACAAATTACATCACACATTAATACAAAGTAGTATCAGGACTCAACAGTAGCTGTATGAAATAGTTTAATATCATTCAGATATAAATTGATATAATCCCGTAGGGAAGAACATGACCCTTCCTCAAACTATCAGATAATGGTAAGGTTAGGTTAGGAGGTACAGTACAGTTATGCCAGAAGCTTTGGGACTATGCTAAACATGGACCCTGGAGTAAACTGTTCACTGGTATCCATTCACTTAGCTTACTATGGAATTATTAAAGACACGAGTGAAGTACACATCTTAAAAGATCTCTGTAGCAAAAGGAAGTAAGATAAGCTAGAATATAGTGTGTTCCAGAAAAAAAAAAAATACACAAAACTCATTGTATGTAAAAAGTCTGTTGTCTTTGTAAAAGTTTTATTTTGTAAACTTGGTAAAAGCAATGGTTTGATATCTGCTAATACATCCATAAGCATACATAGTCAAATTGTCATCTTAAATTCTATAAACAATTGATCCTGATTATATTTTCTTTAGTTTTAAGAGAAAATATTCAGAAGTCTTAAGCAACTTTCCTGAGGTTGCCCCATTAAAAGTGTCAGAGCTAGGATTCAAACTCCACCTGGCTAAAGCTGTACTCCTCCCTAGATCACCTCTGTATGAACAAGAATCCCAAGCACCACCTTGTTATTCATAGGGTGGGAATATGGGAGACTATTTAAAATTGTCACTGTGCCTGTTTGCAAAAGCGTCATGAAATTTTAAATACATTGTGATGAACAGTTATATTTGCAAATACAGATTTGCAAATAATGAAGATCAACTATATTCTGTATGTGTACACACATACAAAATGTTTTGTCTGTAATTTTGTGATACAGGGGAATGACTGCTAACTTCTGAATAGGAATGAAAGTGAATCAAAGATGCATTTAAAAAAAATAACATTAAGACAACAATTAGTAGCCTTCATAGTGCTTACAGGAACTATACTTAGAAACTGGAAGCAAATGACAGCATTCATTACTTAGTAATATACTATGACTAAGTCTGTAACACCTAGGTGGATCACAAGGAGAAAAACTTAGGCCACTTAGTAGTCTAGGCAATTCAAAGTGCTAAACTGGAATATTTTCATAGCCTGAGAGGAATGGCTCTGAATATTCCTATTAGGTATTTGATACTAGAGACAAAAATGAACAGAAACAAACACAAAAGCAAGCCCTAACTTAAACAACTTGGGAAAGCCAACAAGCCTTATGGAATACATTACCAGGTGTGCTGCTTTCAGCCTCAGTTTGGTCCTTGTTAACTTCTATCTGATGGATTAATTCTGCCTTTTCTTTATCCAGCCGACTGTTGGCTAATCTAGAATACAATGATAGCACGTTAGAAAAAATAAACAATGGATGCCATTCCGTAAAGTACATAGGCATTTCATATAAACTAGTGGTAAACAGTTCTGATGGTGTATGCTGGTAGGATATGCTGAATAGATGGCAGCAGGATCATCAAGGTAATTTGCCAATTCCCAAACAACATAAAAACTAAATTTTTACTAGGATAAGTCCTATATTATATTTTCAAGAGTAGTTTTCTTACAATGAAAAGAGGCTGCAAAAACTCCCAGAAGCATAGAATTCATTGTTTCTCTTTCATTACGATTTGCTTCTAGAATGATAAGGCTTAATTCTATGCTGCTACAAAAAGTTGAACTAGTTTACAATCTGGAAATATTAGTACTGGAATCCTCTCCCTTTTTGTTTCCAGACATAGTATATATATTAGAAGGATGGCATGACACTAAACTTTGAAGAACCCTAGTCTTTAGGTGTAGCAAGTATTGCTATATAAAGTAATTTTCTAAAAACAAATGGTAAGATGGTTCAGGGGATAAGGGTGCATGCTGTGAAGCTCATGTCCTGATTTAAGTTTTTGGAATGAGAGAACCAAGTCTTGCAAGTTGTCCCCTGACCTTCCTTTGCACGTGGCATGCACACCCTCCCCAACACGTACACAAATACATACACTCTCTCACATACACACTCACACACATGCACGCATGATGTTAAAAAAATTTAAGTCAAACATGTACCTAAGAAGCTGGAGTTCCCGTACAAGCTCTTGCTCTGTCTCAACACCTTCAGGAACATTTCTGAGGATCTCAATCTTTAAGCAGAATGGAAAATTAGAAGATAAAACTTTCAACATGGAAATAAGAGGTTTTAAAAAGAACTTTAGTAAAGTGTAAGATTTGGAAGCATGAAAAACACTGGATAGTGTTCTAGCATCAGTTTCTTAAGCAACTCACTATTGCATGGCTAGGCATGTCCCCTAGGTCATGAGGAACCAGCATATGGAGTAGCTGGAATCTCTTGCAAAGTTGTTAAATTTTTACTGAGAGAAGAAAGCAGTGATACTGTGACAGGATGAGAATAGGATGTCACACATTAGCATAGGGAGAAAGGCTATCCAGAAAGGAATCTATGGAGGACAGGGTGCTTATATAGGATCTCTGAAGACCATTTAAGCAAAGTTCACTCATGAACTGCTGGTTCTAGACAGAGCAAGCAGGTATAAAGATAGGAAGCTTAAACGAGTTTAAAAGGGTTAGTGTTAGGAAAACCATTAGACAATGCAAAGGTTTACCCTTGTACATAGATACAATGAAGAGAGCTGTATTAGTTTCATTCCAGTGTGATGGGGAGCCATTAGAAGAATCTCAGAATGGAACTACTATAATTTGCAATATGCTTTACAGGATTATTGACAACTGTGGAGAATAAACTAGTAGTGTAGAAAACATGAAATGATGCAACCAGAAGCCCAGGGACCAATAAGAAAATTACTGCAGTCATTCAGTATGAAATAATGGCTTCTAGCCTGAATGGTAGTCAGATTTGGGATATATTTTAAAAATACACTTGCCATGATTAATATGAAAAGGGTGTGGAAGAACGAGAGAATGAAGTCAGTGATGACCTTGCTTGTGACTTAGATAAGTGAGTGAAAGTAAGTACCATTCACTGGATGAGTTTCCAAGGGGAGACATTAGTCAGGAGTTCATTTTTTTCACCTGCAGGCAATTCAGGGATTGTTCATATGTATTACATTGTTTTATCATTTAAGGACTATTACATGCCTGTTGTTCAAGATCTTCAGTGTATTTCTTAGCTTTCTGTTCTCTCTCCATTGCTTCTCTTACAAGCTGTTTAAGGTCAGTGATGCTTTGATTCTTTTTGGCAATATCACTTTCAAACTCTTTTATCTTGCTCTCATACATCCTAAAACATGAAGAAAAATTATTATGGGTATTATATGCAATTTATCACATTAATTTAAAAATTCAGCCTAAATCACAGTAAAATATACATGGCTATATTATAGCACTTCTTTTTGTCAAACCTTTGGCTGTGTAGTTAACTTAAAAGGTGTTAAGGGATAAGCACCCTAATTAACGTGCTAATTAAAATAGAAAATTAGAGTGATCCTGTGGAGCCTTAGATCAGAGGTGGGGATTGAATTTGGCAACTGTAAACCTTTTAGGTTGTTATCTTACTTCAGGCATAAGACAATTATCTATTTCATCAGACTACAAAACTCTTTCCTGGCTTCTAGTACCCTTCTCTACCCCAGGAGCTCTTTAGTAGAAAACCCCAAAGGGGCAGTGCAGGCAGAGCAAGCTGTTCAAAAGCATGAATGAGACAAACAGTGCATGCTGCGGAGAGTATGAAGCAACACAGATTTGTGACTAGTAAGGAAATGATAAATGGCCTAAAGAAATCAAATCGAGAAATTTTTAAAAATTTGACCCAAGTAGTTTTACTAAAGGCACATACTTCCAGGAAGACAGTGTTTACTGTATTCAAACGTTTCCATAAGAGAACATGTAATATCATCTAATTTAAAAGGGAAGGTATTGACTTAGAAAAAGTATCTGACAATGACAGCATAAGGAAGGGCAAGTTATGATTACCTAAATACTTAAATCTTAGATGGCCCTTAACACAGATTAGAAGGGCATTCTTACTTGACAAGATATACCAAAGGGTAATAATATAAACTACCACAGCTCATTCCTCTACTTCATTTCTTTGTTAAAATGCCACTGTGGAGATTTGAATGAGAATGCCAAGCCCACCCCCACTCCCAGGCTCATATATATGAATGCTTGGTCTCCAGAACGTAGAATTCTGAAAGGATTAGAAGGATTAGGAGTTGTGGTCTTGTTGGAGGAAGTATGTCACTGAGGATGAATCAAAAACCCTTGCTTGGCCAGTCTTGCTAGGTCTGCTGCCTACAGATCATGCTCCTGCTACGGTAATGTACTAAATCTCTGAAACTGTAAGCAAGACCCCAGTTAATGCTTTTTAAAAAAAAAATAAAAAAAAATAAAAATAAAAATAAAGAATTGGACATGGTGTCTCTTCACAGCAATAGAACAATGACTAAGAAAGCCTCCTAAGAATAAAGATCTTCTTGATCAAATTACCCCATCTAAATAGCCCATACATGAACCTGGCTCTTCTTAGAGGTCAATACAGTTGGGACATTTGAAAGGGAAGGCAGAGTTAGAGGTCAGCCTTGGATAAACAGCAAGAGTGTCTTAAAAACAAGTTGGACATATGCTTACTGAGATGTTGCCAATGTGCAGTTCTCAGAATAAGAACTCACGAGTGATTTAACATATAAAGCCAACTTCAATTAAGGTTAAATAGTGCCATCAACCTACAACTGTCTTAAAACTGAATACTCTTTTCATGCCTGCAAGTAATCATTTTTGTTACCTCACAAGGCAACAGAAAAATAAGGGTAGAGTCTGTCATCTCCACAGTTAAAAATATCTTGACCTACAAAGGGATATAATTTATGAAATGTCACAGTGAAAAGCAGATCTTTGTAAGTGATGGAAGCTGGCTCTTAAAGAAACCTAAGCTGAACTTTTAAGAAACAATCTAAGCACATTGTGGCAGCAGAGGATGAGTGCATATTTGTGGAAAAAGTAAATCTCAAAGTCACTCACCATGTGTGACAACATAAAAAAAGAGTGACTCCAAAACTTAACTGACAGCTGCTGGCTTAAAGCCACAGGGTCCAAGATGACACTTTTTTCTCCCCTTCACACAATTACAGTTGTTATTTCATCTGAACATTATCATTCTGACAGAACTCTTGTTTCCCAACTGTAGAAAGGAAAGCGAGAGCTACAGGAGAGGAGTATTAACACTAACTACTCTAAGGAGTGTTAGGATAGGAAGAAAAGGGATTCTTCTCCAGGATTACAGCCAGTCAAACCAACTGCTCTCAATTATGCCTACATAGCTTTTCTTTTCACTTTAAAATTGGCTGACAAGATGTGCCAGTGTGGGATTGGTAACCATGAGGGCCTCCCCTTCTCTGAGAAGAAGGAGAGAGGGGAGGGGAACATAGGATGAGACAGGGAGGAAAGGGGCCTGTGATCAGGCTGTAAAGTAATTAAATAAATGGAAAAATTAATGCTAATGAGGTTAAAACAAAAGAAAACAAAAACCCAATATTGACAGAGGCAAAAAAATCCAAGGCAATCCAAGGCCCACGGTGGAACTAGCTCTCATGCTACAGCTCACTTTGTAAAAAAATAAATTTATTTTATTTTTATTTTTATTATTATTTATTTATTATTATTATTATTATTATTTATTAATTACAGTTTATTCACTTTGTATCCCAGCTGTAGCCCCCTCCTTCATCCCCTCCCAACCCCACCCTCCCTCATTTTCTCCCATGCCCCTCTCCAAGTCCATTGATAGGGGAGGTCCTCCTCCCCTTCCATTTGACCCTAGCCTATCAGATCTCATCAGGACTGGCTGAAATGTCCTCTGTGGCCTGGTAAGGCTACTCCCTACTCAGGCGGAGGTGATCAAAGAGCCAGCCACTGAGTTCATGTCAGAGACAGTCCTTGTTCCCATTACTAGGGAACCCACTTGGATACTGAGCTGCCATGGGCTACATCTATACAGGGGTTCTAGGTTATCTCCATGCATGGTCCATGGCTGGATTATCAGTCTCAGAAAAGACCACAGGGGTGAGATTTTTTGGCTTTGTTGCTCTCCTTGTGGAGCTCCTGTCCCCTCCAAGTCTTTCTACCTCCCCCTTCTTTCATAAGATTCCCTGCACTCTGCCCAAAGTTTGGTTAAGCGCCTCAGCATCTTTTTCATTGGTATGATAGACATAGTGTTCAGAGGATGGGAAAAAATACAGCAGAAAAATTTTAATTACTTTACAGCCACAAGTAGAGGCCAATAAGATACCAACATTGCTGCTATATTCATCTACTGGGCTCTCTGTAAAGAAAGCTGCTCAGTATACAAATAAAAGCAACACAGCTCATTCTAGATGCAGTATAAAACAGCCCAATAGCTTAGGACATATTTGTGGCAGAAATAAATGAACACAATCTGGAAGTTTGAAGTTGTAGCTTCAGCAACAGCATCCAGAAGTTGGGAAGCATCAGCGCTGGCCCAAGGCTGACAGCAATTTCATGATGCACACCTAGTTGCAGGAAATTAGCTCAACCTCAGCTCTGCTGTATTCTATAGCCTGCCAATAAGACTAGCTAGCCAAACTAGTTAAGAAACTGAGTTTTGGTAATCCTAGGACAGAATGAAAAGTCACTGGTAAGCCATCAAACTGTTCATGAGGAACTAACTATGTTATAAAGCATATGGTCATCTTTGAAGTCAATGATGCCAGAGTTAGAACTGATTTAAACTTTGAAAAAAGTTTGAAACTATCTGATCCTACCTTGTAAGCACAATTGACTTCCAGCTCTTGCTGTCAGCACCTTCCAGCTGGGGACCTCTGCTTTCTACAAACTGTAATCTCTTCCCAGTTTCTTCTAGTTGGGCTGCCATCTTGTCATTGACCAGTTCGAGGTTGTTCTTAGCTATCCTCAGTTTCTCAGAAACTTCCATTTCCTATCAGTAAAGGCTTATAAATACATAATGGCAAGCATAATACTGTTCTCATAGATGTCAGGTATTTAAAATTACAACTATAGGCTGGAAAATAAAAACAAGCTGGAGCTATATTGTCTTAAAACTGAAAAATATTTTCCTCTAAAACAGCAATCTATTCATAGTAATTAACACAAATGATCAATTAAATGAAGACAGAAATATATGTAGCATTATTATCTAAAGTATCTAGTAGATACTATAAGCTTGTTGTTTGTTTCTCATAAAAATGTTCAGAATGAGATAATTTGTCACACCTTGAAAGATGCTTTGTTTTGACTCTGTAATACATAAGGGATCCCTGGCTATTATCATGTAAGTGACAGATTATTTCCAGTAATGAACATTAAGGTTCAAGACAGTACAGATTCTGGCTTCACAGTACAATCACTTACTCTTTTAAAAGTTTTTAGAAGTATAATTTCAATCCATTCACTATGTAATGGATGTTAAAATATGTCGAAGCAGATGCTGAGCCTGATGGCCAACTGATGGGCAGAGTGAATGGAATTTTATGTAAGAAATGGGAAATAGTAAGAGCTGGAGGGGACGGGAACTCCACAAGGAGAACAACAGAACAAGATAATTTGAACACAGGGAACTTCCCAGAAAATCATACTCCAACCAAGGACTATTCGTGGAGATGACCTGGAACCCCTGCACAGGTGTAGCCCATGGCAGTTCAGTGTCCAAGTGGTTTACATAGTAATGGGAAGAGGGACTGCCTCTGACATAATCTGATTGGCCTGCTCGTTGATCACTTCCCCCTGAGTGGGGAGCAGCCTTACCAGGCCACAGTAGAGGACAATGCAGCCACTTTTGATGAGAACTGATAGACTAAGATCAGAAAGAAGAGGAGAACCTCCCCTATCAGTGGACTTGGGGAGTGGCATGCATGCAGAAAGGGGAGAGAGGGTGGGATCGGGAGGGGAGGCGGGAGGGTCTTATGGGGGGATACAAAATGAATAAAGTGTAATTAATAAAAAATTAAAAAAAAATACTACCTCTTTGTCATGAGTAAGGAATTGTTTTATTTTTTAAATAGAAAGGAATCTTATTATTTAACATTGTTCTAATTCATATGCATAGTAACTCATTTAAATTTCTCAAGCTCTGTGAGACACATAATATGTATTTGTGTTTCTTTTTTGAGATGGTTCCTGATGTAGCCTGTGCTTGTCTTTTCTTCCAGTCTCGGTACTGGGATTATATGCATTCAATTCCATGCCCAGCTAAGAGACAGGTGTATTTACTATTCTCAATTTCATCTATGAAAAATTGGGGCAACTTAAAAGACATTTTCTAGCTTGGAACAATTTCCCAATAAGTAACAGACCTAAGAATTGAAACCAGTGAGGAGTTTCTTCATTATATCACCTTAATTCTACATTTTCATATAAATGCACCTCTTGATGAAAGTGTAATTCTTAATTTATCTTAATATGTACTGTGAACTGACACTGCCATCAAGGATCTATCCATATACATTTTGCCAGGATTTGTCACTTAAGGTAAATAAATGTCTTACTTTCTTTAGATCTTTCCGCAGCCGTTCATTTTCGGCAACAATTTTCTCAGTGCCTTTGTTCTTGGATTCATACTGCATACTTAAGTGACGTCCAAAGTGAGATTTAAGCTTTTCTAATTCAGCCTGGTAATCAATAAAGCAACATAGTCTCAAAACAATAAAAGATCAATAAAAGATGATTGATTATATATAACCATATACACAAGCAACATTAAATGGATTTAAGTTACATAGTTACTATGTACATAGTTACATAGTTATGCATATTTACATGGAACAATAATAAAGAAAAGGAGGTCATGGATTTGAGAGGAAATAAGGTAAGGAGGCATGAGAGATGAAGGAGGAAGAAAGGAAAATTTAAATGAAGTAATTATATTTTAATTCTTTTAAATGTTAAAAAAATATTATTTAAACTCACAAAGCTTAAAATCAAGGTAGGTAGTTGTAGATACTCTATTTGATATGATTACAATTAAAGATTCGCCCAAACTAGTTGCTTATAAACAAAGTGCCTATCCAATCTTAGCTATATTTTAAAATGAGTTTAAGATTAAAAGGAAATATAAGAAACCTCACAAAATCCGTACTTTAGAAATCAAATCCTGAAGAGACATATATCATTACTCTATCTGAACAATTGGTTCAGAAACAGCAGAGATGACCAAACAGAGCCACTCTGTAGCTCCCTTAGATTTCTTGCCAACAAATCTGTTCTGTGTTAAATAAAAGCTCATCCATTTATACCTTTAGTATAGTGGTGAGTTTACTTAACATTTTCCTTAAAAAACAAAGCAAATTAAAATAGGAAAATATTCATATAAAATGATCACATAAAAACTAACCTTTAATTTTCCATTTTCTTCTTCAATATTAGCCATTTTTTCACTAGTTAGTATTCCTGATGCTTTTTTCAATTGTTCATTTTCTCTTTGGACTTTTTCAACTACTTTCTTCATCAACCCAATTGTTTTTTCTAGCTCTGGGATTGTCTTCCCACTTCTACCAGACTACAAAAGAATATACAAATTATTAACATTTAATATCTTAGAGACTATGATGTACTAAAGCCAAAACATGTCTAATATTGTACTCTTCTTTAATAATTGCTCATATTTGAGTCTAAAGATTGTGTTAATTCATTACAGTTCTGAAGTATGTGAGACAGGAATTGTAATCTCCCTTTATATAAAATAAAACCAGGGATTAAATGTATTTATATTCCTGAAATCATATACTTAGTAATGGCTTAAACACTCTATGATGTATGAACTAGGTAAGTAAAGAGTCTATTTAGTGAGGCCTTTGGGGTTCAAGCAACAGTTTCAACAGGGTCACACAAGACCATCTGAAAACACAGATTTATATGACAGTACATAACAGTAGCAAAATTATAATTATGAAGTAGCAACTAAATTACTTTTAAGTTTAAGGTTATCACATGAGGAACTATATTAAAGGGTCACAGGATTAGGAAGGTTGAGAACCACTGCTGTAGTACAAGGAAATTTTCTTTACACAGAATAAAATCACAAAAGTGAAACTGTGTTTAAATAAAGACAATTTTCTCTAGCTTTGGCTTGGAAATTTAATTTCTGATAATATAGGACCTAATGAAAACATCAACAGAGATAATTCACAGGTTATTTATTTAGTTAATTTCAACAGCTGAGTAACTTGTAAAGCTGAACTCAGTTCTGGACGTGACAGGACGGCTGTACTCCTTAGGTCACAGCAGCTCTGCTTGCCCACACAAACCCAGCAGATCAAGCCAGCTAATATTCTAGCATGGAGAGGGAAGAGGTCATGGAGTTCTACTAAACCTAGGAGCTCTGAAAACTGGTGTGTTCCAAAAGAGGAGAGTCAGTGTTTCTTTGAGTGTGGCTCCTGGTAGGTCAACCATGCATCAGTGGATGACGGCACATCCAGAAGTACATGGACGGCATAAACTGGAGTCTATGGGTTGTTAACTTGAAAATAATAAAGTATAGAAAGCTGGAGGGTTAGAGAAAAGAGAACATCCTGGGGGAAAAGTAGAAGGGAGGAAATAGAGTGGATATGATCACAATAAACTATATGAAATTTTCGAAGAAAAAAATATTAAAATTTTAGTTAGTATTCATAACTGTTTATATAATTTCCTCCTTTTTGATTGCTGAGTAGTATTCCATTGTGTAAAAATACCACAATTTCTGTACCCATTCCTCCGTTGATGGACATCAGGGTTGTTTCCAGGTTCTGGCTATTACAAATAAAGCTGCTATAAACATGGTTGAGCAAATATCCCTTTTGTGTACTTGAGCAAACTTTGGGTATATACCTAGCAGTGGTATACCTGAGTCTTGAGGAAGCGCTATTCCTAATTGTCTGAGAAAGCACCAGATAGATTTCCAGAGTGGTTGTACCAGTTTACATTCCCACCAGCAGTGGAGGAGGGTTCCCCTTTCTCCACAATTTCTCCAGCATGTGTTGTCCCTTGAGTTTTTCATCTTGGCCATTCTGATGGGTGTAAGGTGATATCTCAGGGTCGTTTTGATTTGCATTTCCCTGATGGCTAATAAGGATGAGCATTTCTTTAAGTGTTTTTCTGCCATTCGATATTCCTCTGTTGAGAATTCTCTGTTTAGCTCTGTTCCCCATTTTTTAATTGGATTACTTGGTTTGCTGCTTTTCAGCTTCTTTAGTTCTTTGTATATACTCGATATTAGTCCTCTGTCAGATAAAGGGTTAGTGAAGATTCTTTCCCAATCTGTAGGCAGTCGTTTTGTTTTGATGACAGTGTCCTTTGCTTTACAGAAGCTTTTCAGTTTCATGAGGTCCCATTTATTGATTGTTGCTCTTAGAGCCTGTGCTGTTGGTGTTCTGTTCAGGAAGTTGTCTCCTGTGCCAGTGAGTTCTAGGCTGCTCCACAAGGACCAAATATATCTGGGCACAGGGTCTTTTCTGAGACTGACATTCAACCAAGGACCATGTATGGATATAACCTAGAACCTCTGCTCAGATGTAGCCTGTGGTAGCTCAGTAACCAATTGGTTTCCCATAGTGAGGGGAACAGGGACTATTTCTAACAGAAACTCAATGACTGGCTCTTTGGCCTCCCCACCCCCCAAGGGAGGAGCAGTCCTGTTAGGCCACAGAGGAGAGCTTTGCAGCCAGTCCTGAAGATACCTGATAAAACAGGATCAGATGAATGGGGAGGAGGTCCCCCCTATCAGTGGACTTGGAAAGGGGCACGGTGGAGAGGAGGATAAGGAGGGAGGGACTGGGAGGGAATGAGGGAGTGGGACACGGCTGGGATACAGAGTTAATAAAATGTAACTGATAAGATTTAAAAAAAAAGAAAAAAATGTTTATATAAATTTGTAATATATGCCTATACATATAAAATATGCAATATTCTTTGTAATTTTTGTTTCTTAAAAAGACAGTATTTGCATATTTTGCACAAATATTTTTTTCATATTTTCACAGTAAACAGTTAAGTAATTTCTATTACTTATTATATAGTATTTACAAAGAATACATCATTTATGTCACAGTATTATTACATGAATAAATCTTTGTATGAATGTTTCAACTTATACCATTCAACAATACAAAATCAACCTTTGGCACTAGCTTCCTTAGGAAAATAAACTCACCCCTCTGACCTGACCAAGTTTTCGTTCGACTTCCATTTTTCCTTTCTTAAGAAATTCACACATCTCCTTCAGATCTCTTACTTGATTCTAAAAGATAAAAGAAAACAACAACAATCTGTAATAATCATATAATTGCCCCCGAAAAAGAGGTGAAAAATTATCTAAATTAAAAACTCTACTATAAGAAGCTGAAAAGCAGCAAACCAAGTAATCCACTTAAAATATGGGGAACAGAGCTAAACAGAGAACTCTCTGTAGAGAAATATCGAATGGCAGAGAAGCACTTAAAGAAATGTTCAACCTCATTAGCCATTAGGGAAATGCAAGTCAAAACAACCCTGAGATTTCACCTAACACCCATGAGAATGGCCAAGATCAAAAACTCAAGTGACAACACATGCTGGAGAGGTTGTAGAGAAAGGGGAACCCTCCTCCACTGCTGGTGGGAATGTAAACTTGTACAACCACTCTGGAAATCAATCTGGCGCTTTCTCAGACAACTAGGAATAGCGCTTCCTCAAGATCCAGCCATACCTCTCCTAGGTATATATCCAAAAGAGGCTCAAGTACACAAAAAGGACATTTGCTCAACCATGTTTGTAGCAGCTTTATTTGTAATAGCCAGAAGCTGGAAACAGCCCAGATGCCCCTCAACTGAAGAATGGATGCAGAAACTGTGGTACATCTATACAATGGAGTATTAATGTATAGATGAATGAAAAATAAGGAAATGAAAAATAAGGAAATCATGAAATTTGCAGGTAAATGGTGGGACCTGGAAAGGATCATCCTGAGTGAGTTGTCCCAGAAGCAAAAAGACACACACTGTATATACTCACTCATATAAACATACAACATAGAATAAACCCAGTAAAATCTGTACATCTAAACAAACTAAGCAAAAGAGAGGACCCTAAATAAAATGTTCAATCCCCATCCTGAAAGGCAAAGAGGATGGACATCAGAAGAAGAAGAAAACAGGAAACAACCAAGGAACCTGCTATAGAGAGCCTCTGAAAGCCAGAAGAAAAAAACAGGAAACAACCTAGGAACCTGCCACAGAGGGCCTCTGAAAGCCTCTGAAGTGCAGACTGTCAAAGCAGATGCTGAGCCTGATGGCCAACTGTCGGGCAGAGTGAATGGAATTTTATGTAAGAAGTGGGAAATAGTAAGAGCTGGAGAGGACAGGAACTCCACAAGGAGAGCAACAGAACAAGAAAATTTGAACACAGGGAACTTCCCAGAGATTCATACTCCAACCAAGGACTATTCATGGAGATAACCTAGAACCCTGAAAATGCAGCCACTTCTGATGAGAACTGATAGACTAAGATCAGAACGAAGGAGAGGAGGACCTCCCCTATCAGTGGACTTGGGGAGGGGCATGCATGAAGAAGGGGGGGGGAGGGTGTGATCGGGAGGCGAGGAGGGAGGGACTTATGGGGGGATACAAAATGAATAAAGTGTAATTAATAAAAGTTAAATAAAAAATTTAAAAAAACTCTAGTATAGAACCAAAGTCAACCGTGGTGTTTTTAAATAAATTTTGACAGAAAACGTGCACTGTCTAGTTTTTTGTCAGCTTGACACAAGCTGGAGTAACCTGAGAGGGAGGAAGGAACCTAAGTTGAGAAAATGCCTCCATATTATCAGGTTGTAGTCCTGTGGTGTCTTTTCTTGATTTAAGATTGACATGGAAGATTCTAGCTCACTGTGGGTGCTGTCATCCTGGGGCAGGTGCTTCTGAGTTGTATAAGAAAGCAGGCTGAAAGAGCCCTGAAGAACAAGCCTATAAACAGCTTTCCCCCTTGGTCTCTGCATTAGCTCCTGCTTCCAGGTTCTTGCCATGATTTCCCTTGAGTGGCAGTAATGTAGAAGTCTAAAAGGAGAGAAATCCTTTCTTCCCCAAGTTGTTTGTTGTCACAATGTTTAAGACAGTAATAGAAACCCTAACCAAGACAACATGTTAAAGAGTATCATGCATACAAACATTTAATAAATATTTATCAAATATTGACTTAATAAATTATGAAAATTAGGCTTCCAACCCTGATTTTACTGTCTCAGAATGTACAAATAAAGATTTTTTATTTCTCTGATATACAGAAAAAAACTGAAGTCATTGTACTGGTTTACTCAGTACAAATCAAGATGAGAAAAGCAGGAAGCTTATTTGTATCACCAACAGTGGAAATGACAGAATGCTAACATTCTTTATTTGAGAATAAGACTGAAACCATTAGTTAGCCAAGGGAAAAGCTATCACCATAATAGGGTAAGATACAGAAAATCAAAGATAGCGTATATGAACATTAGAAGTAGTACTTGTAAAGAAACAAATTTTAGTTATAATTACTAATGAAATAGAAGAAATATCTTCTTACCTTGGAACACCTGAAATTGATACTTGCACTGTCTAGAATTCTTAGTGTCAGTATGACCCACCAGCCCTTCTACGCAAAACCCTCTCATTCTAAACCAGACCTCTCCTTCCCTTTTTACCAATCAAGCTTTCCTGTTCCTGTGACACTTAACATCAGCTAAGCTATTACATACTTAACTTCTTTGCTTGTAGATTGGCAATCTTCCTCACTGGAAGATAAGTTTAATTAATGCTTGACTTTTAATGACTACCTTCTCTAGTACCTATAAACATTTGATATAAAGTGGAGACTCAATAAATGTCTCTTAAATGAGAAAATGCATATAACATCACAAAGATATCTAATGAATATGCATTTATATATAAGTAAATTCATGTGTTTGGTAAATTCAGGCATTACAATAAAATTATGTTTACCTTTAGTCTCGGCAAATCTTTATTTGCTTGTTCAAGCTGAAATTTCAGCTCAATATTTTCAGATGACAACTTCAAGTTTTCCTTCTGAAGTTCTTGTTCTTTTTGACAATGATCATCTGAGTCTATTTCTGAAGTCTGGAAAGTGAAATTTAGAATATGTTCAACACTAAACAAAAGCTACAAAGACATATGAATAAGGAAACACTGTCAAAAGTGAAATTTCAAAAAGGAATGTGGAGAAAATGGCAAGTATTACATAAAACTAAAACCAAGTCAGATAGGTTATAAATCCCCAGGAAAATTAAAACAAAAAGCAAAATCAAGTATTGCTCAATAATGTATCCATACAGTGCCTTCACAGATATTCCCAGGTTTAAGCTATTATATGCTAGGGTTTTTTTTTAGTCAAAATAAAGGTTATCAAATTCTGAAGGATGAAATGGTTCCTCCTCCACTCCCTAATTCATAACTCGTAGCATCACAGAATGTGACCTTATTTACTTTACAGAAATAATCAGGATAAAAGAAGGTCATAGGGTCAACCCTGATTTAGGAAGATCAATTCCTATGCAAGAAGAAAATCAAGCAATTTGGGCAGAGACATGTATTGCAGGAAGATATTAACAAACTTTATTTATACTATGCTTCTTCTAAATAAAGAAATATAAACAGATTTTCTTGGATTAAATGTAGGAAACACAGACACCTAAGGGCCAAGCCTCGGAATGGATCTTTCCCTCAAAGTCTTCAGAAGACAATAAAACTGTAGTAGCTTGCCTTTGAAATTCAAATTCCAGGACTGTAAGACAACAGAATTCTGCTTGTTTAAGCCACATCTGTAGACTACTGTTTCTTAGTATACAAAGGAAAGTGGCTTCAGAACACTACCCCTCAACTTCTGTAGGCATTTTAATTCCACTAAATAAAGTAACATGGTATGTGTACATAGCTTAAGTATATTTTCCATATACTTTAAATCATTTTTAAGGTTGCTTATACCTATAATATATAAGCAATGTAAATAGCTATTATACTGCTATATTATGGAATAAAGAATATATTGTGTACAGAATAAAAAGCAAACAAGAAAGTCTGTATACATTCACTACAGACTTACTTTTTCCCCAAATATTTCCTATTGTTGGTTGAAACTTACAGACTTATCGACGTAAAGGGCTGCACTCTACCTCTGGCAAACTAACACAAGAACTATAAAATATCCACCTCAATTTCTTCTTCCAGAGGCATTTAGTAGTTTACTGAGATACACTTATCAGTTCTGTCCTCTGAAATACATTGAACACTGTATTTGCATTTTTCATGGCATAAATCTACCCTGGGTTACTATTTATGCTTATTTTATTTTTTATTCTTAATTTTATGTGCTTTGAAAATGAAAATTTTGAAATGACTCTGAGTAGGCTAGAACGTTAGCTACGTTTTAGGACTATTGTGTGCATAATATAAAATATGTGTAGTCATCAGCAGGGCTTTGGTTGTTTCCCACCATCACTCTACTAGCTCGATGAGCTATCAAGTCAGTAGCTTCCTAGATATTCTGCTTAAAATAATATTATATAAATAGATCATTTATAAATTCCTTATAACATTTCAAGTTATTAAAATTATACGTACTTCCAATACATAGTTGAAGTAAAGAAACACATTTTCTTAGATCAAACAAAAGAGAAATAAAAAGGACACAAAATTAAAGTCATTCTGGATAGACCTTTGATTCTGATGAGACTTGTACAGAATACTGGCAAGAAGTCAGCATTGATTCTAATTTTTTATTTACAGGATACATATGCATACATGCAATGGCAAAAAATAAAACAATTTTTTGTTGTTGTTGAGGGTATAAGCCACAATAAGTAGCATGGCCCACGCATGTATTCACGCTCTTCTACTATTACTTTACTACAAATCTTTACTAAATCTTGATAATTAAAAAGCTGACAGAAATTGTGGTATTTTTACACAATGGAATACTACTCAGCAATCAAAACAGAGGAAATCATGAAATTTGCAGGCAAATGGTGGGATCTAGAAAGGATCATTCTGAGTGAAGTATCCCAGAAGGAGAAAGACAAACATGGAATATACTCGCTTATATAGACCTATAAGATATGATAAACATATGAAATCTATACACCTAAAGAAGGTAATCAAGAAAGCGGACACGGGGTATGGTGATCAATCCTCATTTAGAAAGACAAATGGGATATGCATTGAACGTATGACAGCAGTCTACCGCAGAAGGCCTCTGAAAGACTCTACCTAGCAGTGTATCAAAGTAGATACTAAGACTCATAACGAAACCCTCGGCAGAGTGCAGGGAATCATATGAAAGAAGGGGAGTTTGATGTGGAAAGGATAGGAGCTCCACAAGGACCAAACATATCTGGGCACAGGGTCTTTTCTGAGATGGACACTCAACCAAAGACCATGAGAGGATAAAACCTAGAACCTCTGCTCGGATATGACCCGGGATAGCTCAGTAATCAATTGGTTTCCCATAGTAAGGGGAACAAGGACTATTTCTAACAGGAACTCAATGACTGGCTCTTTGACCTCCCCACCTCCAAGGGAGGAGCAGTACTGTTAGGCCACAGAGGACGACTTTGCAGCCAGTTCTGAAAATACCTGACAAAATGGAGTCATATGAAAGGGGAGGAGGTCCTCCCCTATCAGTGGACTTGGAAAGGGGCAGGGAGGAGATGAGGGAGGGAGGGTGGGACTGGGGAGGGAATGAAGGATACAGCTGGGATACAGAATTAACAAAATATAACTAAGGAGAAAAATAAAATTAAAAAAAAAATAATTACATAACAAACCACTTGTGGCCCAATATAGGAATTTAAAGGAACTTGAATTTGTTTGGCATTCATAAAATTTTCTCCTTTAACAAATATGTTATTTCTTTGGTGGAATCTAAGAATTAAGAGAAAGTTACATAAAATAAAAATATCATGAATCTAGTGCAAAAAAAAAAAAAGCTGACAATGTTTGCATCTTAGATGATTTTTAAGGTCTCCATCAGAAATGGGAATATTTAAATGTTTCTATATTCTTTTTTTTTTCTTCCTGAAATTTGTCTCTTCTATCTCTGGCACAGATATTTGATCTGACTAATGATAGCATACAACTGCTTCATAATAGTAATTAGTATGATATCATTAATATGTTATATGATTTACAGAACACAGAAAATCTGATGGTTTTACATGATGCCATTTTAACATTTCTCATTGAATTATGAATGTAATTGCTACATATAGATTTGCAACTTTTTCTTGTTATTTTCTGAAAATAAATCTAAATATAATTCTTTAAATTGTCCAAATTTCTAGAAAACCATTTATTAATAGATCTTTCTGTTTTTACAAATCTTATGTTTTTGGTAAATTGTTACAATGTGTGTAGTATATTACCTTTCATAAGCAAACTCAACTAGTATAGAAATAAAGGATGGCAGTGTAGTCAAATGAGGGCATTTTTCAGGATTGATACATCAGTTTCCTATCTGGACCATGCAGCATCCTCAGTACTCTGGTGTGTTAATCAGCATGGTGGCTACATCATGGTCCTCAGCAGGTCTGCTCTGACCAATGTTATATGACCAACATTTTTGGCTACATACTGCTTTTCTTTTGTAATTTTTACAAGCCTTTTTCTTGATCGCATTTTTATGTTTCTGATTTTAATTTTTACAAAATTATTAATTTCCTTACCTTTAGGAGCTGATATATTTTCATAATTGAAGTTAAAAATCTGTAAAGCTGACTTAAATTTTATTTATTATTAGGTATGTTTCCATACTTAACTCAGCAAGATCTACAACATTTCTGCAATACCACAGAATATTTGTAGATATAGAATGATGTACTACATCATGGACATTTTTTTCCTCAGTGTTTCATTCTGAGTATTGTAATGTGGCATTTTGTCTGTTTGTGTCTTGGTTTTGCTTGTACTTTTTGCTGTTGTATTTTGATGAAAAGCATTATTCCTCTATTTGTGAGCTCTAATATACCAAGGGTGGAAACTACATGGACCAGAGGAGAAACGAGCATAAAGCCAACTTGCTAGTCATTACTTAAAATGTAATGGTCCTGCACAGCAGCATCTCTAACTGGAGCTGGAACTGCTTGTAGTTTTTGCAATGAAAGCTTAGATAATTCTCAAGGAGTTAAGATTAACCATGGTCATGATTCAGCATTAGCTAGAAAAGGAGAAAGTGAATGTGCTGTGTCAACACCAATGAGGATGATCTAATGTGCTCTCCAGATGAAGAATATAATTTCACTTATACACATTTAACACTGAGACAGGAAAGATGGATACTTACCAAAGACTGAGAATATGCATCCTTTGAAAGTTGCTTTTCTAAAGTACGAAGTTTTTCTTGAAGGTATTTATTTTGTAAATGTAAGTCTTCAACAACAGAATCTCGTGGAAGAGCTTGGTGGGTCCTATGAACAATAATCAGAGTATTATGAAAACCTCACTTAAAAAATAGATATGATGTTATTATATAAAAAGAACAACTAGAGTGTATATATAATTCTGTAACTTAAATTTTTTTACAAATTTCCAAAGTTCAAATTTAATAAATTAGAACATCATAATTTATATTAAAAAATAATCCCTTACTATCAGGCATCCACCAAAGGCTTCTTTATACCAACAGCTGGAGTGCATTCTGATTGATAGAAACACATTAACATTTTTAAAGTACATGCATTTGTTTATATGGATGAGCTAAAATACCCACTATTTAAAAGAGATTACAGCATAACTGCATACCATCGATTTCATTCACAAAAGGCTCAAAGATTCAACAAGGCTCTAACGGTTTATTTTTTTCCTTCTTTTTCTTTTTTTTTTTTTTTTGGTACCTCACATTTTATTCTTATTCAGTGAAAATATGTTACAGTAGTGTTACAATAGTGTCTGGAATATCACGGGTTCATAAAAAAATTATCTGGAGTCCCCTGGAGCACGCCCAGCTCCCCTGAGCTGCAGGCTGTCTTTCCCAAACTACATAGTCCGGCCACTGCTCACAATTGCTCTGCTACCCTTCACCAGGCCTACTACACTGGGAACATCCAGGTTAGACACCTTTCCCCATCCCCTGCCTGCCAGGTCCCCTGGGGCAAACCCAGGTGCCCTGAGCTGCTGTTCAGCACCCCATCCCCCAACTCCATTTCAGGCCACCCTTCTGCAGGTTCACCAGGCCTGATATACAGCAGGAACATCCAAGTCAGATCCCTTTCTCCATCCTCTCCAAGACCATGACCCTTTCCTGGAGCAAGCTCAGTTGCCCTGAGCTGCATGCTGTGTCACCTCCCCCACCTCTTTGAGCTCCATTGTCCAGTCACCTCTCCACCAGCTTTCACACAGAGGCATGAACAGCAAAGATTTCTAAAGTATAATGTGATATGTGTATGGTAAGTATGCATGTAATATATGTAAAACATTTTTGCGCAAGACTTTCCCAAATATACTCTTTAATTTTCAGGTGAACAGTGCAGATTTGCAATGATATTTTTCGATAAAGAAGGGGAATAAGCAGATTTTAGAATTTGTATGCATTTGACAGAGACTATTAGCATGCCTGTAAGTAATTAAAATATAGTCTCAGTCCAGCATCTTGTCCTATTATCCCTCATCATTTGGTGTTCATATAGACTGCACACTGAATTCAGTAAATGGTTGCATATCAAATCCAAACCTAACAGACTAGCTGCAAGACATACCACACTCTGGCCCAAGCAAACCTATGGAACCTTATTGTCCAAGACTCTCTACGTTTAATGAATAAATGAACACCTAATGTGAAAACATGAAAATTCACTCGTCTTGATTTCTTCACTAGGAACATGTCTATAACATATCCTTCCTCTTGTTAACATATGTATTTGATTAATAAAATTCAGACATTCAAGCTTCTTGATTTTAGAGAAAAGACAAGATAAATCTCTTATGACATTTTGAGTTATATCAATGTATTCATATTAGGAAAATAAGAAACCTTAAAGAAATGGGAAGTTTCAAAAAATTAAAATGATTTCAGTAAAATTCACAGGTTAACAGAATTTTTGTTTGTAGCACATGTTTGGATGCAGAAAAAGAAGAAAAGGAAAGCTCCATGGCTGAATGCCAGATTATAGCTGTCAAGAAAAAAAGTTCCTTAATCATACTATTCCTTAAAGAAATATCAAAAGATAAAGGTTGAAAGGAAGTAAATTTAAAAGCAACTGTAATTTAGAATTCTAGATGAACTATCTGATAGAAGTTGGTGAGAATGCTTATCTAAAAGCATTCTTTTCCTATGTTCACACCACTGGATTCACACTGACATCCTTTACAAACATTAACTGAAGGTACTATTCTGAGAAACAAAAATTTACAAAGCACCCCAAAATAGATACATCAAACTAAGAATCTCTGCATCACAAAAAAGAGAACCTACAAAGAGAGAAAAAGTGTGTGGAAACAAAGTTAAAGAAGAAGGGAGACATAAACAGATATTTCTCAAAAGTCTTGCATAGGAAACCAGTATGTAAAAAATCTAGGAGTAATTTTGAGTGCTCTAACTTCATGGAAGTGATAAGTGCCTACCTTGATTAGAACTTTACATGATGTATCATTTGAAACATCACAGGCAACTCATTGTATAATTTAATGTGTCATGTTCTATTTAAAAAAGCACTAACAGTAATTTATAATTTTTAAGGAAAAAGAAGTATCATAAATTTGTGAGAAATAAATATTTTACATGTATGTTTAAAGGTCCTGGAAGAACTGAATCAAATAGAAAATTTTATATAGTAGTACATATTATTGTGGCATGATTTTAACTTAGTCCGACCATGGCTCTACAGAAGACACAGATTTTTAAAGAGAAGTGAAGTTAAATAAATCTCAGTCTTTCCTAAGATATATGTGAATACTGTGATAGTTGGGGGATTTTCCCACCTGGAATACAATCTCATCTCTGTCAAATATAAGGGCAAATCACTTAGAACTTTGAAAAGCAAACCCATTCAAAGTGGGACAGTAGCAGAAATATCAGGCAACAAGGCAAAATTTACCCTTTCCTTATCATTGGCCTGAACACAGGACTTGAACCCTGAAGGTGGCCATCAGCATTGAGGAGAGTTCCAGAAAGGCCTTCTATTTATGGCTTGATAAGGAAGGGAATGGCTGAGGTCCTTTCTGAGGGAGTCTTAGTTTAACAGTGAAATTTAAACTCACTAAACAAAGGCTGCACTCCCTCTTCCCTATGTCATCTCATATCTCAGCCCATGGTGGCTGTGCGGAGCTTGAGATGGGAACCCAAAGCACACACCTTTTTAAAAGAGGAAGCCACCCTCCCCAGTTGTTGAGTGAGGATAGCAAAAATCCCTCTGTTCCTCCTTTGTGCCTGTCTGGAGCCTGCTCAGGTGCATCCTTAGGGCTAAGGTGTACAACATAAAGGTTTAGCTAAAGCCTAGTTCTATCCAAAGCAGCAATGTCAAGAGACACTGGATGCATCATACAGACGGCTAAAGGCAGCTGCAAAGAGGGGCCATACAGAGTTGCTACGACCTAGAGCTGCATATGCACAAAAAAAGATAATCGAGAAAACCCATACTTGAAGCAATACATTCATATTTTCATATGTACAAGCCAAGCCATTCTTCCAACTAGATAATAAATTCCATGCACTTAATTACCTCATGTATAATATGTCATTTTCTAAGTCCAGATTTCTCTTTTTTAACTCTTCCAACTCTTTTTCTGACTCCAAAGCTCGCACTCCTAAAACATGATCAACAGTCATGCCTGTTGTTTTTAGTTTCTTCTGCAAAGTAAGTTTCTCTTTATCAGCTCTGTAGAATTTAATAAAGAACACAAAATATAACTGCAATTTTTATTGTTTAGTTTATTAAGCTGCAGCCTAGTCATGATGGTACTGACATGCAGTAAGTGCACCACTTTGTACTTGGCATGAACTTGGTTGAAAATGTTAGATGATTCTTCATACTTGTTAAAATATATTACACCACATCTTAAAGATGATAAAATGTAAGTAATACTAATCTAAACAAGCACTTGTCACTCATCAAATACACTACATAATTTCAAGATAAAAATTTACATAATATTAGTTTTTCAATGAAATTTAACTCACTTGGCAAAAAGCTCCTTTAAAGTACTGAGCTGCTTTGTCAGACTGTGGACTTCTCCTTCTTTCTCTTTTAATTTGTTGCGCATTCCCTCTACTTTGGTTTGCCATTTTTTTCCTTCCTCCCACCTAATTAATTCTTCTCTAGCACTCTGTAAACAGTAACAAACATGTTATAAAACTATAAGTCAACATTTTTTTAAATCTCGTTTTAAATACTTAATCAACATTTTAAACCATACAAGATAATATATATAGTTAATTTTGTTACATAAATTCTGAAATCTTTAGGTATGCCCAAACTATTAGGAACAGAAGACCTTCCATTTAAGTAGGCTTTACTCATTACTTGACAGATAAGAGTTTCAGAGAAGATTCTAATGCTGATACCATTACGAAGTTAATTGAAAATTCCAGTATTTGATTTTCTGAAGAAAGCTTCTGAAATATAAATCTATGTGAATGACCAACTCAATCTTGTTTCCGCATGACAATTTCCTGCTACTGGAACTTACTCTATCTAAATGCACATTACTTTACTCCCCAGTATGTATTTATTTAGTGCTGCCCATGTGCCAGCTACTAGTCTACATATAAAGAGCACAAAGCATGTGTAAGCTAGACAAAAGGGTGTAAGTTAGAAAATCTTCAAGTCTCTGAAGAAAGAAATCGAAGAAGATCTCAGAAGATGGAAAGATCTCCCGTGCTCATGGATTGGTAGGATTAACATTGTGAAAATGGCCATCCTGCCAAAAGCAATCTACAGATTCAATGCAATTCCCATCAAAATACCAACTCAGTTCTTTACAGACCTTGAAAAAAAGATTCTCAGCTTCATATGGAGAAACAAAAAACCCAGAATCTCCAAAATGATCCTGTACAACAACAGATCATCTGGAGGTATCTCCATCCCGGATCTGAAGCTGTACTACAGGGCAACAGTAATAAAAACTGCATGGTATTGGCATAGAAACAGAAAGGAGAATCAATGGAACCGCATAGAAGACCCAGAAATAAACCCACACACCTATGAATACTCAATATTTGACAAAGAAGCCAAATCCATTCAATGGAAAAAAGACAGCATCGTCAACAAATGGTGCTGGACCAACTGGATGTCTACATGCAGAAAAATGAAAGTAGACCCATATTTATCACCTTGCACAAAACTAAAGTCGGAGTGGATCAAGGACCTCAACATAAAACCAGATACTCTAAATCAGTTGGAAAAAAAAGTGGGGAACAACCTAGAACTCATTGGCACAGGAGACAACTTCCTAAACAAAACACCAACAGCACAGGCTCTAAGAGCAACAATCAATAAATGGGACCTCATGAAACTGAAAAGCTTCTATAAAGGAAAAGACACCGTCATCAAAACAAAACGACTGCCTACAGATTGGGAAAGAATTTTCACCAACCCTTTATCTGACAGAGGGCTAATATCCAGTGTAAATAAAGAACTAAAGAAGCAGAAAAGCAACAAACCAAGTAATCCAATTAAAAAATGGGGAACAGAGCTAAACAGAGAATTCTTGAAAGAGGAACATCGAATGGCAGAGAAACACTTAAAGAAATGCTCAACTTCATTAGCCATCAGGGAAATGCAAATCAAAATGACCCGGAGATTTCACCTTACACCCATCAGAATGGCCAAGATCAAAAACTCAAGTGACAACACATGCTGGAGAGGTTGTGGTGAAAGGGGAACCCTACTCCATGGCTGGTGGGAATGTAAACTTCTACAACCACTTTGGAAGTCAATCTGGCGCTTTCTCAGACAATTAGGAGTAGTGCTACCTCAAGACCCCGCTATACCACTCCTAGGTATATACCCAAAATTTGCTCAAGTACACAACAAGGACATTTGTTCAACCATGTTTATAGCAGCTTTATTTGTAATAGCCAGAACCTGGAAACAACTCAGATGTCCATCAATGGAGGAATGGGTACAGAAATTGTGGTATTTTTACACAATGGAATACTACTCAGCAATCAAAAAGGAGGAAATCATGAAATTTGCAGGCAAATGGTGGGATTTAGAAAGGATCATTCTGAGTGAAGTATCCCAGAAGGAGAAAGACAAACATGGTATATACTCGCTTATATAGACCTATAAGATATGATAAACATAATGAAATCTACAAACCTAAAGAAGATAATCAAGAAAGTGGACAAGGGAGAAGATGATCAATCCTCATTTAGAAAGACAAATGGGATGTGCATTGAACGTATGACAGGAGTCTACCGCAAAAGGCATCTGAAAGACTCTAACTAGCAGTGTTTCAAAGCAGACACTAATACTCATAACGAAACCCTCGGCAGAGTGCAGGGAATCATATGAAAGAAGGGGAGTTAGTATGATATGGAAAGGATAGGAGCTCTACAAGTACCAAATATATCCGGGCACAGGGTCTTTTCTGAGAGTGACACTCAACCAAGGACCATCTATGGATATAACCTAGAACTTCTGCTCGGATGTGGCCTGTGGTAGCTCAGTAACCAAGTAGTTTTCCAAAGTAAGGGGAACAAGGACTATTTCTAACAGGATCTCAAGGGCAGGCTCTTTGACCCCCCCCCCCCAAGGGGAGGAGCAGTCCTGTTAGGCCACAGAGGAGGACTTTGCAGTCAGCCCTGAAGATAACTGATAAAACAGGGTCAAATGAAAGGGGATGTGGAAAGGGGCAGGGAAGAGACCAGGGAGGGAATGTGGGGTTGGGGAGGGAATGAGGGAGCAGGATACAGCTGGGACACAGAGTTAACAAAATGTAACTAAAAAGAAAAATAAAATAAATAATAAAAAAGAAAATCTTACAATTTTGATTTGTTGAACAAACTTGGAAAAAAGATATAAATTTAGGGAGTAAGTTAATTAGTGATAAGTGCTATTAAAAATAGAAAAGACATAATCTAGGGTCTTACTGGAGTAAATTATCTGGTAATAGTGATGCTATTGTTATGGTCACTAGTATTATAATAAAATGATCAAAAGAAAGCTGTCTGATGCACAATAATCCCATGTTCTGAACAAGTCCTGCTGGATCTTTGTATAATTAAAAATTCTGTTCACAATTTTATAGACTAACAATTTATCTCCATGTTAACATATTAACACCAAAATTTTTTATAACTTTTCCCTATACAATGAATTTAATAAAACTATAATTGCCTTTTAAAAATAAAGGCTAGACATTATTTTGCTGAAAATTATACTAACATTTGCTTATCATTTTGGAAATCAAATTACTAGCAGCAATACCATTTACATTATACAAACTGCCATTAGAACACATTTTTACAGGGTATGCATCAGAATCTAATATCTGAGGCTCGAAATGCACATTAATACTACATAAGGTACAAAACCATGATTACCTTATTCTTCTAGTGTAGATCATACACATGCTGATAAAAAATAATATATTATCATGTTCATTCTTTCATAAATTATTTTTACATTTCCAATTTCATTTTGGTACATTTATTACAGTTTTTAAATTATAGAAACTTATATTGACTTTAAATTTCATTTGAATAATATAGGAGATATTATGAAATATCATGTTGATTATAAATGGGGATTTCATGTCTTAAAAGGCTGGGAGGTGTGGTTTGAAGTCAAATCCAAACAATCTCCTCTAATATTAGAGAACATTCAATACGCTTTCTTCAAATTAATTTCTAACCTTATTTATTCAAATCAACTACTAATATCCTTTTAAAAACAAAACATTTCCTGATGGATAATTTATTGGTCTTTATTTAATGTAAAGAATAATCTGACTTCTGGAAAAAGAAATACTAGTTTGGAGAATGAGGTGTATGTATATGAATAATTCAGCAGGATGGAATAGAATCCTTCATAGATTCATAGAGACTGAACAAGGTGATGAGAAGATGGGAGAAATTATGAACTCACAGCCTACACAGGCGGTAAAGACGTACTAATGGCACTCCAATATCATGAAGTGACATGAAGGTACACTAAAGGTGTGTCTTCAAGCGGAGTGTAACTTCCTAAACAACAGAATCCTGTCTTTATATCTCAACCTTATATAGTACCATAGACAGAATATATGAGGCCCTCAAACCATTATCAATACAGGTGTCACTTAGTTTAAAACTATTAATGAGTATACTTCTCATACCTTTTCCTTCACAGGCTTTATGTCTATGTCATCCATCTTTCTTTCCAATTGGCTTTCGAGTTTTTTAACTTTTTTCTGAAGTTCATCGATTAAACTTTGCTTATTGTCTATCAGAGGTTTGCTCTAAAAACATTAAGATACAGCTTTACATGACCAATAAATATCAAAGGACACATTAAATATTCCAATTCTAGAAATTTTGGAAGTCTACCATTAATCATGTTTTCTACATGATACTGAGTATCAGTACAACATGGAAGCTACTACTGTGCTTTATAACATGTCCCACTGTACACAGAAAATAGAACAGAGGCCACTCAATAGTTATTCAAATAACTGGAGACAGTAGTTTTAGCACATATTATGAAATGAGTGAGAAACATGACTTACACAATACACAATAACCACATGATCTGAACAAATACAAAATTACCTGCAAACCACTGGACAGTCTTTTAATTTGCCTTCTCAGTTCATCATTTTCTTGATCAATTCCATCTTTCTCTCTAAGAATTTTATTATAAGCTTTTTGCTTCTTTTGCAGTTCATTGTTTAAATCATTTAAGTTATTGACTAGTGAATTTTCTTTGCTTTTACTTGTTTTAAGAGCTTCTTTCAATTTTAAAAGATTTTCATTCAAATCTTCAATTTGTGACTAATAAGAGATAAAAATGTTATTCACAAACCTTCCTCATTATTAATAATAAAGCAACAGAAAACTGAAGTAATACTATTAATATGTATTAGAAACACCATTCCAATATAAATTTCTAAGTGTAGCACACAAGGAAAAACTACGAACTGAAATATTTTCCCCGATCATGTCAAATGAAACAAGTTCACTAGGAAAATAACAACAACAGCAAAAAGACAAAGACAAAGAAAACAAAAAATGTTCCACTCCAGGTGAATTAAGAAAAGCAACATTCAGAGAAGGTTTTAAATATTATAAAATGTGAGATTAGCATGACAAAATCTCTGACTTCAAATACTTTTGTACTTGTAAAAACAAGACATGGAAGGATAGTGTGAGAGAGCAGATTCTGCATTTAACCAGAAATTCTGAATTTTTCTGAACAAAGACAATGGCAGAAACATAATGACTAAGACAAATGTTATGGCTTATTCAACTAAGTGTAAATGTTTTATGAAAAGAAATTACTAAGATCAAATGGTATTATTAGTAATATTAATCATTATTATAATGTGTTTAAAAGAAAATTATAACATCTCAGAGAAAGTTTCAAAACAAGTATTTGAAAAGATGTAAAATTCAAGAACATTTGAGAAGAGGGAATTATAATTCCATCAGTAAATGACTACAACCTTTTATATATTCATTTAGTTAACAGGGTTTTATTATTCACATGACAGCAAGACGAACGGATGTCTACATGTGGAAGAATGCACACTCGCACAAACCAGTGTCCAAGTGGATCAGAGACTTTGACATGAATCTGGATACACTAAATCTGATAGAAGAGAAAGTGGGGAATAACCTTAAATGCACTGTCATAGAAGACAGCTTCCTGAATAGAACACCAACAGCTCAGGCACTAAGATCAACAATTAATAAGTAGGACCTCAGAGGAAGATGATATAGCCAGCTCTGATGAGACCTGATAGGCTAGGGTCAGATAGAAGGGGAGGAGGTCCTCCCCTATCAGTGGGCTAGGGAAGGGACACAGGGGGAGAAGAGGGAGGGTGTGTGGGACTGGGAGGGGATGAGCGAGAGGGCTACAGCCAAAATACAAAGTGAATAAATTTTAATAAACAAATAAATAAAAAAAATTTAAAACGGGAACTCATGAAACTAAAAAGCTTCTGTAAGGCAAAAACACCATCAAAAAGACAAAATGACAGCCTATAGTATGGAAAAGGATATTCACCAACCCTATATCTGACAAAGGGCTGATATCTAAAATATATAAAGAACTTGGGAACAACACATCAACAAACCATATAACCCAATATAAAAAAAAAATGGGGTACGTATCTAAACAAAGACTGCTCAACAGGGGAATCTCTAATGGCTGAGAAGTCCCTAGACAACGGAAACTCCTGGGAATCTATGAGGATAACTGTAGCTAAGACTCCTAGCAATGGGGGATATGGATCTTGAAATGGCCATCTTCAGTAATCAGAAAGACTTCCAATGGAGGGTAGGGACACCAAACTAGCCACAAAACCTTGGCCCCACAATTTGTCCTGCCTACAAGAGGTGCAGGGGTAAAGACAGAGCAGAAAATGAGGGAAAGGCTAACCAATGAATGACTGGCCGAAAGGACTGAAGCAGCCCGAGGAGTCAGAAAACGAACAGAATCAACCAACCTGGGCTTACAGTGATTGAACCACCAAACAAAGAGCATGCATGGAAAGGACCTAGGCCCTCTACACATATGTAATAGATGTGGACCTGGGTCTTCATGTGAGACTCCTAACAGCAGGAGCAGGGGCTGTCTTTGACTGTTGCCTGTCTCTGAATCTCTTTCCCTCAACTGTGTGCCTTATCTAGCCATAACAGGAGAAGATGCTACTAGTCCCACTGGAACTTGATATGCCAAGGATGGTTGAGGAGGCCTTCCCTTTTCTGAGGAGAAAGACTGGCTAGAGGATAGGAGCCAGGGAAGGTGAGATAGAGGGGCTTGGTGGAGAGGGAGAAGGGGAAGCTGCAATTTAGACAGAAAGCAAAGAAACAATCTCTAAAATAAAGTGTAAGCTAACTTTTAAAAATTAGTGAACATCTACTTCCTAAACTAGTTAATGATCATAAAAGGCATATAAAGAATCAAAAGTAAATAAAAATTTTAAAAATAGATTAGATTTTCTTCATTTTACCACAATATACTACATGAAATTTTCCATAAATTTGTAGGGCAAAAGAGAAATTGCAAGTTATTATGAAACATATGTTTAAGAAAAAAAGTTTCAATCACTAAGCTTAATGGTCGGATGAAAAAATAATAAAGTATGTTTGTAAAAATAATCTCATGGAAGAAAAGGCTTAAGAGCCAGGTAGCTCTATAGATAAAAAGCCTTACAAACAGTAATTAACTGTGTCAGTTGTAGAAGAAGCTGCAGACATTTGGTGTTAAGTAGTATTTGCTATATTTCTGTCTTCACATTTGGCTGTGAACCTAAAACTAACCCAACAAAACAGCCTTAAAGGAATCCTGAGGGCTGGAGGTTTAGCTCAGCAGTGGGGCATTTGCCTATGTTGGACCTAAATCCTGGAAATGCTTAAGATGTACTGAAAAATGCTTGGAAATTTTCTAAATAAAATGTTTCTTAAAGGAGTCCTGTTATTAAGTGTCATAGTGGCTTATCTTTTCAAACTTAAGATGATAGTCAATAGGAGTAACATAAAGATATACACTGTTTAAAACTGTGTATGTATCTGTCTAATTGGCCAACAATTCAGTACACGTTCTCTGAACTGATCAGGCATCCAGCCATAGTAACACATGTGCTGCTGCTCACCTTGAGCTCTCTAGTATGTCGCTCAACAACCTGTTGAACATTGAGATTTGCCTCTTTTTGAGAAGTGACAGCAATAATGCGTTCTTCAGCTGCTGCTGTCATTTCTGCCCTAAGTTCCAAAAGGGCTCGACTAAGTGCCTAAAAAGTACAATATACAAAATTTTTTAGTGGAAAACATTTTATATGAACAAAATAGAATACAAAATGGACAGTATTACTTTCTATTACTTTCCGGTTAGATGAAAAAACCTAAGTGATTTTATGTATGGTGCTGTAGACCTTGTCTATACTCTCAGCACCAAGGTGGCTGAGGCAAAAGATTACAGCAAACCTGAGGACCACTTAGACCCATTGAGTTCTAGGTCAGCCTGGTTACACAGGGGTACCTGTCTCAACACAGAAATGAAGATTTACAAAAGGAATGTGGTTAATTAAATATAATCCACAAATTCCTAAACTTTTTCAAATGAATTTCCTTTGTAGTTTTACTCAGTTCTTCACAAATTGACAGTTCAAAACCCTGACAATTATTTTCAGAACAAAGCATTAAGTCAAGCAATTCATATTAGAAAAAGAAAATTTTTGAAAATTTCCAAGTTTATATATCAGAAATAAATTCATTTAGCAAATAATAATATTAATAATAATAATAAACAAATAAAAAAAGAAAAAAAAAGTAAGTATCCCTCCATAGGAGGGTGGGGCTTATGGGGGGATACAAAAATGAATAAAGTGTAATTAATAAAAAAAATAAAAATAAAAAAGAAATTTAAAAAAAAAAAGAAATTTATTGACTTTAGGTAGATGAGTAATGTTTTAAAGTCATTGTTTAAAATATTTGTCCATAAAGTTCCGAAGCTAAGGTGGGGAAAATGTAGCATCTTCTAACCCATTTTCCAAGTCTGTGATAAATAAAAAAACAAAGCAAAACTAATATATCATATTAAACCTATTGACCAGCTTTCACACAGAGGCTGTGGACGCCTTCTTCCTTTTTACCACCATTATCACCCCTAACCCCCCAAATTGTTCAAAACTGTCTCAGCAAGAAACATGAAAACCCAACAGAAGATGAGAAAACAATAAAGTTAAGATTTCTTTTCCTTTTTTACAGATACTTAACAAATCACCATCATAAAAAGATAAATTACACCATATCTATATTTTAAAATAGCATGACTACATTGCAGAGCCATGGAAAGAATTGCTCTATGCATTAGCGTTAGATAATGCTCACTTTCACTTTAACAGCTCTCAGGGCTTTTTTCTGATGTGCACACCTAACTTCAGGCCATTTCCTTCAGTGGCCACCAGCCTCTTACCTTCTGTTGCTTCTCTTTCAGGGCTAGTTGGCTTTTTAGCCTGTCCACTAAATTCCTCATTGTGGTTGTTGGGGCTCTTGAGTTTGCTTCTTTCTGAGCTTGGAGTTCTGACTTTAAACTCTGGTAATCCGTTTGTGCTTGGGCAAGAGCATGCCTTAAATCCTCTGCTTCTGCTTTCACTCTCTTCACTTCAGTCACATGGTTTTCCTGGAGCCTGAGATAAACAAGCATATGTATTTACTGGACTAAGTATTGCAAGTAATACCTTGACTGAACAAAACAAAAAACAACTTTATAAAGGTATAAAGCCATGACCACAGTACCTTATATGTTGAAAGACTATACATGAAAGTTATTTTATAAGATATTTCCTGCACTTAGGAATGAGATGCAAAAGCCTAAGCAATTTTCATATGCCACAGTGATTCATGCCTATGATCTCAGCACTGAAGCAGCTGAGGCAGAAGATTATGGTGAACCTGATGACAGCTTATATGTCCAGTGAGTTCTAGACCATGCTGAGTTAGAGACATGTCTCAACAAAGAAATGAAAACATATTATAAAAAAACATAATTTTCTAATCTGGAATATGACATAAGATTAATATATAAAAATTAATTCTCCTGTATATTCAATAGGAGAAAAACAAGACAAAAGCAAAAACTACATACTATTTTCAAAAGAAAAACAATCTCAAGTTGCAGCTACTTACATATCCACAAATATGTGGTAACTTTTTGAAAGGTATCCTGGGTACAAGAGTAAACAATCCATGTTCTAATAGCCCAACAGAAAAGGAATAGAATTGTAAGTGGGCCAACATTCTTAATTTCATCAGATATAAAATGAAGCCCAGAAAGAAGGTTCTATGATTAGAAACTGAATAATTTTTCCACATTCCCCCTCCTCATAAATTTATAATTTTCAAGTTACTTTTGTACCAAGGGGACTTCATCTAACCACTCTAAAAGAGCCAAGTAAATAATGCCATTTCATTTACAAAGAACAAAGCAGACAGTGGAAGTGCTTAAAAATAAGATTCTAGAGAAGAAAATAAATTGGCTTTTGGGTAAGACTGAGTAGTTATAAACTGTCATTTCCCCCGGTCGACTCGGTCATGCTATAGAGCCTTCCAAGTGCCCTACTTCTACTGTAAAGCAATGAATCCAAGTAGTCCTGAGGACAAAACGGGATGACACACATCAAGATTTTAGGAGAGAGCTCACACAGCAGGTACAGGCTTCATCATAGCATAACACCATTGGCTTATTTAAAAAAGGTTTCTAAGAGTTACCGTAATTTGGTATTTTCAAATTCTTTAACTTTTAACTCAGTGATTTCTTTCTGTCTTTCCAAATCTTTTGATACTTTCTTTAGTTTGTTCAAAAGTGAGGACAGAGAGTCATCTTGTTCTGCTACTGTCTGTTCCATCTCAGCCAGACGAATGAAATGTTTGTTGGTAGGTACTGGAGCAGGAGACTGTTTTATTAAATCCTATGAGATATGCACATATTAGTGATGGGTAAGTACAATCTGAGACTATGACTAATCCTATAATTTTCTTTATGAATCAATGACATCTAAATGTTAAGAGGAAAAGAAGGCTAGGGAAGACAGGCTATAGATTTCACTACTTTTAGCTAGTGTCTAAGTACAGTGCAGGGTTCTGAAATAGGAGGTGAGGCTTAAGGAACCCAATGCTGTGAGTTAAAAGAAGTACATAAAGAACAGAATCATCAAAAGGAGGCAAGCAGAAGGTAATTCAAAAGACAGAAAATAAATTTAAGAGGACTCATACTATGGCAGGCTTTGAGTCAATGGTAAAGGAATATAAAGATGACTCCATGAGCAGTGACAATAACTGAAGGATTGGGATTTAAGACAAATGATCATGTTGTCATGATCAGAACTGGACTGGTTTTCAGATTATTTTGGCAACAAAAAGGTGGGGTGTGTTCTACTGTGAGACATGAAGAAAGATAAATTTTAAATTGTGTGATATCAAATCTTAACAAAGAACAGAACAGAGTTCTCAGATCCTTACCTGGGCTGTCTGCTTGAATTTATTGAGTGAATTATCGGCCTGTAGTTCTAATTTATGATGAAGAACATGAAGGTCTTCCTCATGTTTCTTAACAATTTCTCTTTGCTCCTGTTTCATAGAAAGTTGAAGCTGTTCTGTAAGTTATGGCTGGAATAGATTCATATTCTAAAAGATCTTAGTTAATCTCTAACCTTCTAAAACTTCAAAACAGGAAACTATAATCTCTGTAGGCTTTCATGTATTGAATCATTCTACATTTCTGCTAGTATGTGCTCATGTTGACCACTCAAGCATTACATTACAATTTATTTTTAACATTAGAATAACACATATCCATCACCCTTAACTTATTTGGAGGAACATTTTAAAATACCAAATACCTCTCCCACTGTTCTAGAAAATGAGATCTCCACAGATAACCCCTGTGGTAGCATCATTTACTTTAATGTTTCAATTAATGAATCAAAAATTCACCTGACATTTCCAAAACCATCCAGCTTCACCAATGAATATCTTCATTGGAGAAATTCCTATTTAACTCAGTCCACAAGAAAACGACATATCTGCCAGTTTTACTGACAGATCTGTAATCCAATCATGTGAAAGCAACAATTCCTAAATAGAATCATCTGAAAGCAGAAAATAAACTACCATTTTAAGAAAAAATAAAATAAAATAACTTCTAGCATTTGAGTGAAAAACAACATAACAAAATACCTCTCTGGCTTTTTCCAGAAGATGCTGGTATTTCTTCAAAACTTCTTCCTTTTGATTTAATCTGGCCTGCATGTTAGCTATAGTTTGCTGGGCAATTTTCATTGTGTGATGAGATTTTGGCTCCAGCTCTTTACTATCTAACTCAGCTATAAGTTTCTCTCGATCAGCTGTGGTAGGCAATCGAAGCCTCAGTTCATTGATTACTTTGTCTCTTGACAGAATATTTTGCTCAGCCAACCGTAAAGACGATTCTTTTTCTTTTAGTTTCTGTAGAAAAGTCACAATAATTTATTGCAGTACAGTTTGTCCTTTCAAATACTTCATATAAATTTTACTCAAGACTACTTACAAACAAAAAAGCAGTTTCATTTTATTCTTCGCATATTTATAATAGCCATTTGGCAATAAAATTCTATTTATTATACTTTCATGTGATAGTACATTTATTTGCATATACATTTTACTTAAAAGATTATCACTTCTTAAAAACTTTGTTATGTTAAGCACAAAATGTAATAAGTTAACTTTACTTATATATTATAGTTTAGAACTAGAAGTGAGTGGTGGTACTAAAATCAGAAAATGAAATTAAATCATCCCTTTGATGTCATAAAAGACTAACACAGAGGGTTTACTTGAGTATAGAGCTGGGATTTCAGTGGCACAGATCAATGAGTTAGTGCTTTGCTATTAGAAGTTTACCGTACCAAAGTAGAGAAGAAGTTTTAATTTTCAGTAAGATTAAGGCGGGTATTTTAAAGCAAGTGTTTTAGTGGTAATTCATATAAAGCAAAAATTTTAAATTAATTTTTATGAATTGTTAAAGAGGCAAAATTTTACACAATAAATTCTTAATCATACTTACAATTAATATGTTTAGATATTTAAATTTGAGAAATATTAAGGATTTATTATTTTATGAATAATTTAATGATCTGATTTGACCAACTATTAATCAAATTCAGTACCATTTGCTTTAACTTTATTTACTCACAAAGAAAATGAACAAACTATTTAAAATATGTATAACAAATAGTGCAAAATAAATTATAAAAATAAGTAGCAACGAAAGCAGCAGTTAAGGGAAAGGTAAACACCTATTTTACCTCGATGCTCCCTTTTACTGTTTAGTGTGCCCCAAAGGAGAATGTAACAAACACATGAATGGTAAATTGAAACTAACTGTGTGCCTATTCATCATTAGCTATTGGAAATAGTGTATGACAATAGAAATAAAGGGGGATTAGCAAAATATACCAATTTAAACTTTATTACTACTAGCAAATATTATTTAGAAAATTCTATAAGCATACCCAATAATATACTAATCAAAATGCAAATTATTTCAATTACCTCTTCAAGTGATTTGCAAGTTGCTTGTGTTTTAAGAATTGTTCGAATATTCTCCTTAATTTTTCTTAGAGCCATCTCAAGTTGGTTTGGAAGGGGCAAGCTAGGGTCTGGCATTGATCCTGTAGCTTCTTCAAACTTTTGAGAAATAATACACTTTAAAAATAGTAGTGTAATACTGAGAAAACAATATGACTCTTTTAAATGTATGAAAAAAAAATAGACTGGCTTTTATTTATCTTTCAACAAAGACACTCATGACATTTCACATAAAGCACACATCATAAGTTAAACAGATATCTAATTCATAGACTACTTTGGTTAATGCTTTATGCCATGCTCCAAAGCAGCAAACATAGCCATTAATACCTTTTGTGCAGCACTGAGTATTTCATTCTGCTGACGGTCAAAAATGTCTAGTTGGCGTTCCAGCTCAACTTCTCTTTGATCCCAAGCCATTTGTCTTTCTTCATGAAACTAAAAGAAAAAAAATAATAAAAAAACACCAAAACCAACATTAATTGTGTTACGCACATACAATGAGCATTTAACAGACATACACATATTTTTTTATTTAACCCTCAGCTTCTGCTGTCACTACTATCACTTTTATTTTATGGCGAAAAAAAATGCAAAGTTAGAAGGTCAAGCAACTTGCCTGGGAACCGAGAGGTAAGCATGTATGAAGTCAGAATTTCAGTCTAGTCATGTATCTATTCATCCATCAATTCCAAAGATGCAAATGACACATATTTGTCAAACACTATTTGGGGCAGTGCAAGTATAGCAATAAATAAAGTGTCGTCCCTGTCACCAAGGAACTTACATCCCAGGAAGTAGGAAGCAGGTAATGAAAAATAAATATGTAAGATACCAGAGGATGGCAAATACTATTTAGAAAATGAAAGCAAATACTCTACATATAGGAAACCTTGATAGCACAATTTACTATTCATTACTAAGGAGCCTTTAATTCACTGGTAAGGAAATGTAAAGACCTTAAGGTAGTGAAAAGTATAAACAAAAGTATCTAGGTTACGAGAGAGAGGAAAACTCTAAGCATGGGGAAAGAAGTCTCTGTGGTGTGTGTTTTATGAATATCACCTTGCTCTAAAGCATCTACTTTTTCAACCCCATGCTGTGTTCTAAATCAGCAGTGACATTAAGGAGAAACTTAGCTGAAGAAGTAAAGTAACTAATATCAAAAAAGAAAGTAACCTACCAAGTAAGTTTGCCGAGGTAGTGTTATTTTAAGCTTAGAACTTCTGTTACAACTAAGTAAATTTGCATGTTTGTAGAAAGTGGTTATTTTGTTACTCAATATAATGGACAATATATTTAATCATTTAATCACAATAATACAGTTAAAATGCAATGATCTGATATGTAAAGCCTTAGAAAGAACAGAAATAGAAAATGAAACCTTGTTCTGCTGAACAATTTCTTCCTCTAGACTGTTGATTGTATGCTCATATTCAGAGATGATATTATTCAAATATTTGATTTCTTCTTTATCCTTGAGTAGTTCTCTATTTAGCTTAAGTTCTTGAAGGCGAAGTTCTTCTATTTTCACATGCCAATTGAGTACCTAAATTATATAAATGCTACATACCTCATCATGATTTTAACTGAAATTAATGACAAAGTTATTTAGAATTTCCACAGCTTTTTCTAAAGTATGTACAATAGAAAATAAATCATTCTCCAAACTATTTTCAAATTAATAAACTAGTATTAGTAATATTTGCTTTCATTTTTTATTTACTATGACTTTATTACTGTAGTCATGTTATTTACACATTGGTTTTCAAAAATGAAAACCCTGTCCTTTTCTACAATGATGTAGCTACTGGTCATTTCCTCATGCTCCAATGGACAACTTCAAACCCATGCCATCATGAATGGTGCTGGATTAGGGTTAGTGGGTCACAAAATGAGAACAAAAACATAAAACACAGGGCAGAGGAATTCAATTGGAGGATGTGGTGAGGAAAGAGGAGGATACAATAGAAAGATGAGTGTGACCAGAATGTAGTGTGTGTGTGTGTGTGTGTGTGTGTGTGAAATTGTCAATGGATACATTTTCAGAAATCTACCCAAGAAATGAAAAAATTTTTAAAAGTAAATTGTAAGTATTTCTAGTACAGAGAATAGGATTTAACTGCAAGATAATTATTTACCATTTAATTCTTCCCAAATTCTAATTGTTGAAGTCTATGAAAAGTTTAAGTTATGCAAGAAATATACAAGTAAAAACAAAGAAAAACAAATAATTCAAACAGATAATATTTGTGCAGAGTAGAAATCAATAATTTAATAACTATTAAATTATTCAAATTTATTATACTTAGTATTTCCTTAATATAGGTTTGGACTTTTCTAGAATGTTTAAAATTCTGTGCTATTATCACAAAAAGTGATTTGATAAGGATCCTTGCTTAGGAACTCCCAATGTGTAAAAACTAAGCTGATTACAACTAGTATTTTATTTTAGATGCACACTGAACATTTTCACATGGCTACATATTAAGAGAAATATTAATATATAACAAGGGAATACTAAATTTCAGATAAAATTTTACCTTTTGGGCTCCCCTGGCATCCTTTAAAGTACTTATCAATTCTTCTAAGCCTTTTAATTTTAATTCCATCTCCAATGTTTTGTTTTCCATATTTCTGTGTTCTTGTTGAGAATTTTTCATTTCTTGCATTATCTTAAGTTTGTCATTTTGCAACTGAATCATTGTTTTAGAGAACTTTTCCTGCTGAGCCAATGGTAAAGCTCCACTGAACTGTCTTCGTAGAGACTGAATGGTTTGGCGCAGGTGTTTTGCTCTGTTTCTACCTTCCAAACGAGCATAGTAGAGAGCCTGCTCTTTTTCATCCAGTTTTTGCTCTAAGCGCAAATTGTAGGCCTCCATCTTCTGGAGCTTAGAGGTAACTGACTCCAACTTACCAAGGGCAGTGGCCTCACTAATTTGAAGAGAGACAACATGTTGGTGCAATTTGGCAATTAGTGCCTTTTCATCAGATTGTGCCTAACAGTAAAAGAAATACATATTTATAATAAATTTCAGGGTTTTGTTAATAAATGTCATGGGTTCAATGTCACAGTTTATTAATTAAAATTTAAAACACTGTGGCACATAGATTTTTAAACAATCTAATTTTACTTTAACACAATAACTACCAACTATATATCCAGAATGAAAAATACTTAAATTTCTAATTAAATGATAGTTGGAATAGTAGTGTTTTGCTTTTAATTCATAGATAACAGCACAATTCTTATGTATACAATTAGTATCTTTTAATCCTTTAAAAACTACAGAACATGGGGATATTTGAAAAATTACAAATATATACATAAGAAAATATAGAGAAAAGTCATTAACTACTCCTCTTTAGTATGTTAAAGATTCATTAATTACTTTTTCTTAGTATGTTAAAGACTGATTAAATACTTGTCTTTAGTGTGTTAAAGATTCACTAATTACCCCTTCTCAGTGTGTTAACTGACCAGCAACCGTGAAATGCATCGATAGGGATTTCAAATAAAAGAGGTTTTCTAAATTCCCAGCTAACAGGAATAGCTACTGTGGCCACAACTAACTTCTGGCTAGCATGCTACTCTCGTGCCAGTGTCTAAGATAAGCCTAGAGAAAAGCAGGCTAAGCAAAGGGCTGACACTGTGTGCACCTGGTAGTCCAGCAGCTGCATTCTCAGGGAGTCCACTTCCTTTTCCCTGGACTGTTGTTGCGAATTCAAAAAATCAGCTTGTCTTTTGGCAATATCAGAAATCTCTCTCAGTCTAGAAAGTGATAAAATATTTAAGCAAAAATTCAGTAAATACCAACAGCCCTAACTTTGAGATACTTTTCTAGAGAGCAATTGGTTTTTTGCTTCTCTCCTTTGAACTATTTCCTGAAACCTAATTACATAAGTGATCAAGCTTCTGTCTCTTAAAAACATCCCCTACTCTGAGAAGTCCATAACCTGTGGTATAGAATAACACACATTTTGAAAGATAACAGATGGCATTTTCCAATTCCAGGTGGTCAGAGAACACCTGCTCCCACACATTTTTCCTAAGATACTTTTATTATATTTCAGAAATGGCAGGCGGATGCAAATAGGTTAGCCTGTTACCACTGCACAGTTAAGAATCAATGTAAAATTCCACACTATGAAGGTTATGTACTTCATACACAGAACTTTATATTTGTAAATTATGTTATATGTAGAAAATGTGATTAGTTTATTACAATTTACAAATTAGCTGAAATATACAAACACATACAAACACACATACAAACACACATTCACAAAAAGTAGGCATTTGCACAAATTTCTTTATGATTTCTATGATAACAAAGCCAAATGAAAAAGACTTTTATTTGGGGTAGAATAATTTGAACTAAGTGGAACATATACATTAGGTTTCCTCATACTGACTGGATGGCCTCTATACTTGGTGGCTAATAAAAATTAATAAAATGAATAATTATAAATTAGTCATCTTACAAGATAAGGTTTATGAGAAAAAAGAAACAAGTAAGTCATAATGGAAGAGTTAAAAAATGACTGATTTTCCCAAAAAGACTCAGGGTTCTAAAGGAATGGCTACAATTTTATGTGTAAATCCCACACACATACAAAATTCCAAAAGTTATTTGTGCTTTGCAGATTAACTCAAAGCCCCTCATGATTACCCTCTGAAGCAGCACCTGACTAGAAAAGTGAGTATATAGCGTCTACCCATCACATATATTCTTAAGTAGCTGGGCAACTTTCTACTGCAAATAAAAAAAAACAAAACAAAAAATCTCACTGTTAGTAAGCAATAGTTCATGAGTTAATATGTCTAACATCTCGCATAATGCCTACCACATTGCTAGGTCCTAAAAAGTGTATATTAAATCAAAATGTAAATTATGTATTTATATCAACCTTATAAAAAGATAAAATTCTTTTTAAAGTAAATAAACTAAATCCTAAGTGACCCTTGTGCTTCCATCTCTACTTTCCCCCAAAACAGGCAATATGAGTAAGATGTGGACCCTACATAATTTTGTTCCAACTTAAGTGCCTCCTACAGTTGTATCCCTACACTTGGGGGGAAAAATTTTCCTCTTCATTGTTATGTAATCTGGTTAAAAACTAACCCAGATATTAATCCTCTTCTTAAAAAGAAAATGAGTATGGCTATTGCTCTATATATTTATAATTGAGTTTCTTAAATACAAATCAAATAGACATACTCATGATTTAATTTTCTTTGTACTTACTTAGACACTTCAACTTTGAGTTCCACTTCATTCTTCTCTAATTCTAGAATCCGTTGTCTATCTGCATCGCTTACTGCCTTGCTGACACTATCAGCTAACTCATCTCTCAACGTCTGCTCCACCTTTTGTGCATCCAAGTTGATTTTGGTAAGCTATGGAAAAAGTAACAACAACAAAGTACTCCCAAGGACTATTTTATTTTACTTATTCTACTTTACCTTATGCTGGGAACAGAAGACAGGCCTGTGCAAACTAAGCCTATCAATGAACTACAGCCCTAGCCTAGACACAGACCTTCTACACTCCAGAGTACTGTAGTCTTTTTTACTTTCCCCAAGTTCAGACACAGGTACAAAGTAGTAAGAACAGAGTAAAGAAAGAATCAAGAGCAAATTATAAAAATGATGTAGTAATATCCAATGCCATCATAAATTATTTATTTTAGGCAATCGCTATTTAAGAATTTTTGAAATAAAAGTACTTAAAAATAAATCCATGTGAGTTAACAAAATGTTACACATTTTACTAAATTATTTTATATTTATTAATCTTTAGTAGGTTAAATTAAAAATGATACTTATGTGTTGGAAAATATTTCAGCATAAGTAAGCACCTGCAAGGTTTAGGTGAATCATAGGTTTCTGAGTATGTATAGTCTGCTTAATACTGACCACATTAAAAATCTTTACTAACCTCCTATTAAAGCTTTTGAAAGTAGAGATTTTTAACTATTTTATCTCTTATTATAGTCTTAGCTCTCAAACAAGTTCTGGAGTATAACACAGAATGAGCATTTTTTTAAAGAAAGGATGAAATTGAAAGACAATTTGCTTTTCAAAGAAACAATATCCTCTGTTCATTAAAACCAATGCCATGACATAGGCAAGAAAAATAGGTGATATATTTTTAAGATTTATTAATTTAATTATTATTTATTTATACAGTATTCAGCTTGCATATGTGCCTACAGGCAAGAATAGGACACAAGATCTCATTATAGATGGTTATGAATCATCATGTGGCTTCCTGGGAATTAAACTCAGAACTTCTGAAAGAACAGCCAATTCTCTTAACCTCTGAGCCATCTCACCAGCCCCAAAATAAGTTCTTTAGTCTAAAGAACTTTAGATTTTAAAATAATCGTCTATGTATCCATTACATGAAATGCTGAATGTATATGCTACCTTAGTGATACAAAGTTCTTCAAAATAATCCAATATTACTAATTCTTATTGTCTAGTTACATAATAAAAATCATATCAAACCTCAGTGAACTTGGTTTCCAATTCAAAGTTACGTTCTTCCATGTGTTTTAATGAAGTTCTTAAGTGCTCATACATTTTCTGACAGTGTTCAGCCCTCTGCCTTTCATTTAATTCCTTCATCTCCAACACAGTGATTTTTTTTGAAATAGAAACAATGTCACTATTTGTCATTGATTTCCTTGCCTTATCCATGTTTGATTCATTTCCTATATGCAATAGTACAATACACAAAAGGTAATTCAGGAGAGATATAAAAAAAACAGTACAGTTCTATGAGAAAGCATGAACTTTTAAAATTAAGACATATCTGTATTCTACTCTTCATTTACAGACCTTGAAAGAACAATTCTCAATTTCAGATGGAAAAATAAAAAAACCCAGAATAGCTAAAATAACCCTGTACAAAAAAAGATCTTCTGGAGGAATCTCCATCCCTGATATCAAGCTGTACTATAGTGCAACAATAATAAAAATGACACGGTACTAGCATAGAAACAGACTGGTAGGTCAATGTAATTGAATTGAAGACTGAGAAATAAACCCATAGCACTATGGATCCTTGACTGTTGACAAAGAAACCAAAACCAAACAATGGAAAAGAGAGAGAAAGAGAGAGAGAGAGAGAGAGAGAGAGAGAGACACTTCAATAAATAGTGCTAGTCTAATTGGATGTCTACATGTAAAAAAATGCAAATAGATCCATATCTGGCTCCCTGCACAAAACTAAAGTCCAAGTGAATCAAAGACCTCAACATAAAACCAGACACACTAAATCAGTTAGAAGAAAAAGTGGGGAAGAGTCTGGAACTCACTGGCACAGGAGACAACTTCCTGAACAGAATACCAACAGCACAGGCTCTAAGATCAACAATCAATAAATAGGACCTCATGAACCTGAAAAGCTTCTGTAAAGGATACTGTTAACAGAAAAAACCACAGCCTATAGACTAGAAAAAGACCTTTACCAACCCTACATCTGACACAGGGCTGATATCCAAGATATATAAAAAACTCAAGAAGTTAAACAACAAGAAAGCAAGGAATCCAATTTAAAAGTGAGGTACAGAGCTAAACAGAATTCTCAACAGAGGAATATCGAATGGCAGAGAAACACTTGAAATGTTCAATGTCCCTATTCTTTCAGGAAATGCAGATCAAAACGACTCTGAGTTTTAACCTTAAACCCATCAGAATGGGTAAGATCAAAAACTCAAGTAACAACACTTGCTGGAGATGTTTGGAGAAAGGGGAACCCTCCTGCCTTGCTGGTAGGAATGTAAACTTGTACAACCATTTTGGAAATCAATCTGGCACTTTCTCATAAAATTAGGAATAGTGCTACCCCAAGATCCAGCTATACGAGTCCTGGGCCTATATCCAAAAGATACTCAACCATACAACATGGACATTTGCTCAGCCATGCTCATAGCAGCTCTATTCATAATATCCAGAAGCTCAAAAGAACCTTGATGGCCCTCAGTTGAGGAATGGATACAGAAATTGTGGTACATTTACACAATGGAATACTACTTGGCTATTAAAAACAAGGAAATCATGAAATTTGCAGGCAAATGGATGGAACTAAAAAAGACCATCTTGAGTGAGGTAACCCAGAAGCACATGGTATATACTAACTTTTAAGTGGATATTAGCCATATAATACAGGATAAACATACTAAAATCTATAGTCCTAAAGAAGCTAAACAAGAAGGAGGACCCTAGGGAAGATGCTTAATCATCATTCAGAAGGGTAAACAGGATAGACATTGGAAATAGGAGAAGACAGGGAACAGGACAGGAGCCTTCTACAGAGGGCCTCTGAAAGACTCAACCCATCGGGGTATTTAAGCAGATGCTGAGACCCATAGCCAAACTTTGAGCTGAGTGCAGGGAATCTTATGGAAGAAGCAGGAGAAAGAAAGACCTGGAGGAACAGGAGCTCCACAAGGAGACCAAGAGACACACACACACACACACACACACACACACACACACACACACACACA